CTCCCTCAATTATGGAGATTAGTTGGCCAAATTTTCGGACTGCTGCTCAGAAATTCAGGTGAATCAGAGAAATTCGTCATGATTTTTCCTAGCAGAGCTGGGCAACGGAGAAAATAGAGCGAAGGAAAGACTGGACCGAAGGAGAATAAGTAAGGGAAATGCGTCACTTTTAATTTGTTTGTCGCTCTGCTGGCAGCTCGGCCTTCTATTTTTCTATATATACATACATATATATAGTGCGAGGTATGTATATATTTCTGAATTACTACCGTTGTCTGTTGCAACAAACTTAAACTTGTCGAGCACTTTCGTCTTGTCGTCTTGAGTGTTGCAATTAGCAAATAAAATAAGTAGAGCTCGCTGCGTGGGTATTGCAACAATGTTGACAACAATGGCCGAGTTAATTGCAAACAAACACGGCGCTGGCAACTCTGGCGGCGCTTGGGGTACAGTCACGTGCCATGCAAATTAGTTTCCATTCAACTTAACCTTGTTAGGAGCAACTGACAGGCTCCCACTCTCGCGATGCCACGAATATGCATGAGAAAAGTGAAAAGCACTGCTGTGGATATAAGTCACTCAAAGAAAACTGCAGGATTTCAATTTTGAACTCGAACTGTGTAAATTCGATTTATTTTTAAACCTCCTACTTTATCAAATAATAAATATAGAGGTAGCATAAAAAAGTTTCCATAGTAAAGTTATTAGAAATTAAGCTTTTAAATGATATATTAGCATTTTTAAATAAAAACATTTTTTTATAAATGTTACATTTGTTATATTAAAGCTTTAATTGGAAATATTGAAAAGTGTCCTTTCAAAATTTAATAAATCGCACTGAGGAGAGATTTTTTTCCTTGTGCGAGATGTACGGGCAGGAAATAATTTAGCGAATATGGAGAAAGTAGCGGGTTGCATCAAATCAATATGCGAGTGGTTAGAATTTAAGAGTTGCCAGTCTCTGGCTCGTTTTGATTTTCGAGTGCTAGGTGCAACACCTGCTGGCACTTCCACTTACGCAGATTACCATCTGTTTTTATGGCCCCGCCCACTTTGCCTTTGCCTCCGAGGCAATAAGATGCAGCAACTGCAGCAGCAACAGCAACAGCAACATATGCAACACATGCAACCACTCAGGCGAAGCAGCAGCTCCAGAACAATTTTCGCTCCATTGCCAACAGTTAATCATACTGCGGGGTTCCACGACCACGACCACGCCCACGCGTGAGGATGAAGGCGTAACTTCGTTTCCTTAACTTAAGGCCAAACCTATTTTAAGACATTTAAATGAAAAATATAAATTACAAAAATTATGTTTAAAGTCTTTTGAGAACATTTTTATTTTAAATAAGATCAAATATATTATTTAACAAAAAATCAAAGTTAATTTTGCATAGTTTCAAGTCTTTTTGTCTCTATATATACTTTATATTTCTAAAATAGTTTATTTAGTAATCAATTAAGAAAGTGTTTAAGAAAAAGATACATGCATAAATTCGATAAGGTTTCATTTAAAAATAATAAATTTCAAATGTCATAAAGAATGCGCAAACAAAAATGAAAATTATTATCTGCCAGTACATTTAATCATTCCATTGTCGTTAATTAAATGCAACAACCAAAAAGGAGAGATTTCGCATGCGAATCAATTTGTTCACGGACAAGGACAAATAAACTAAATCGTTATTGGTTAAATTTGCCATTTGTCATTTTTTGATCAGTCAACAATTAAATAAACCTCTTCGGATTTGCATTATTCGACTTTGGTGTTGGCATTTCGACTTTAGTAAATGTCAAAATGCAAACTAAGCCAATTGCGAAACGTTTAAGTTGAGCAAATAAATGCAATCAATTGACAAGCGGCAACAAAGAGCATAACTTAATAATACTATGGGCAACAACAAGCTGAACAACACGATGTACAATGATACAATGGCAAATGGTCGCATGCAAATGAGCGTTGAAAATGAAATCGCCTTAAAATCTATGGAAATGCGCTTAAGTGCTTAAGCGTCATGCACACACACACACACACACACACGGGCATTTAAGCACCCACACACCCACACACACAAATGGTGCTTTGGGTGGTGGGGGGGTGGGGGGTGGTAAAACAAAGCATGGATTAAAACAAACGTGGCTCCAACCACGTGTCCGTGTGGCTACGTATCCTTGTTTTCCCCTGTCTGTGTGATTGTCTGAGCTAGTGTGCCTGTGTGTGTGTGTGTTTGAGTGTGCGACAACATGCGTAGATTTATTTCAGGCATGGACCAAAAAAAAATGTCAACAAAATGCAAAAAAGAATTCCAACAGTTGGCAACAGTTTGCAAGCAAATAAAGCGGACAAAGCCACATTGTGGCATTTATTTATTTAACTACAGGGTGTCCTTAAAGGATCCTTAACATGATCAATTTGTGTTTTTAAATATTGATTTAAAATCTCCACTAATTGAAATATTAAGGCACTAACCAGATTCAGAACCCTTTTTTTTCTAAGCTAAAGGGTAATATATTTGACTAATATACAACAAATTTTAATTTTTTAAATAGATTAAATGCTAACTATTTGTTAAAGGAGGTAAAAGGAAGGTTTTCTTCCCAATAAAATACATATATTCTTTAGTTATTCAGTCTTTTAACCATTTAAAACATCGAGTTTAAAAAAATGCGTGTTTATTATCTTAAATACAGAAAAAACGTTTATATTTGAACAAAACTTATGTTTTTCTTTTCCTTTTTCTGAATGCCATAAGATTTAAAACATTACAAAAAAACAGGATCCATTAAGACTTAATCTATAATTGTCGAGAACTGTTAAATAAATTTTTTTTTTAATAAAAAACACCCTTTATTTTTAGTGTTGGCACACGCAACGTAAACAATTCGGTTCGCTTTTTGTCTGGGGGACGGTCATTATTTTTTTGACCCATGTTGCATACATTTTAAGCAGCTTAAGTTTGCGTTGCGGCCGGCCAAAAAGGGGGAAATTGTTTTTGGGGGGGGGAGTTGGACAATAAATGGGGTTTTTGTGGAGGCTGGGGCATTTGTCATTTGCTAATTGCTTGGACGGCAAAACAAAATTGTTCGAAAGCAATTAGCAAAAGCGTCGGACGGACGGAATGAAAGGAGAGAAAGGCGGCGCGAATCGATAACGATAAAAGCTATGCCTAAGCGACATCGATTCGACCCAGTTTCCGGTGTCGTCTCATTCGAATATTTCAAATATTTCAATCAACTGGCCAAACATCGCTTTTCCACCCATTGGACCCCACTTCCCCCCACTCCCCCCTCCACGCCCTTTTGCAATCACTTTTCCAGCGAGCGTGAAAATTGAGTGCCAACTCTGTGGGAAATGTGGGTAGCAATAAGGACGGGGGAAGGGGGTGGAAGGGGGGCGTTGGTCGGTGGGCGTGGCGCGAAATGTGAATACGGAAAATAGCTATTCGAGTGTCAAATCAAATGTCAATAGTGAGTGGGTGGGGGGGGGTTTTGTAGTCGAGCCATTTTAATGACATCTTCCAAAGTGTTTGCCAGTGCAATTTGGCGACACGGCCCCCGCTCTAATCCATAACTCCCCCCATTTTCCACCCGACTATGCTTTTGGCACAACAACAGCACCACAGTCCCTGACCCTGCCCCCTCCCCTTCCCCATCCCCCCTAATCATAGCCATCGTCATTGGACCCATAATTAACACCACTAGGAGCTGCAATTTGGAGTGCATTGTTGTCGTTCCCGATGTTCCTCACGCTGTTCAATCAGCTTCAGAAATGGCAGCGTGATTATTGCATTTCGAAAGAACTAGCTTTTAGAAAATGTCATTACAAATATGTATAGTACTTTAATTCTCAAAGAATCTCCTCTAAAATTTTGGTTTGTAATTTATATTTAATTTCTTAAAAATTTTGACGAGGTAACCTCTTTTCAAATCATCGAAAAATTGTCTTTACAGAAAACCTTGGTAAAACCTGAACTTTAAAGCACATAAGTTTTCTTACGGAAGTTACAATTTACAAGAGATAAATTTTAAAAATATTGTGATTAAATTCTGTTAAAATCTTGGTTTATAATTTTAGGTCGATTTTCCTGACATTTTTAAAAAGTTTTTAATAAAATTCCCAGAAACAGAAATCCAAATCTAACAGAAATGCGATAGAATTGACAGATCTTTATACTTGATTTTTATGGATCAATTATATTTTTAATTTTACTTTTAAGTAAATTTTTGTAAAAATAGATGAAAACGTTTATAGCCAGTTTTCAAACGAAACTAACACTCATCGATGACTTTCCTTGACCTAATTGTATTTAGCAAAGTTTTGATGTTCTGGGCATGAGATTTGGTGACCTCAAACTTCCGAGATAGTATTCTGTATACAGATTTTGTAACAGTTCGAATTCGTTATACCATTCCGACAGTGTCGAATTGAAATGCTCAATTTCATTTCCGTTTGCGTTCGTGAGTCTCGGGTCACGCTCCGCCCACTACAGTTGACCTCTGACCCTCACACACACTCACACACTGGGCGCAATCAAATACTTTACATCTACATACACACCAGGAGGCAACCGCCAGCACACACAAAAGTGTGTGTGTGTGTGGATGTTCGGTGGTGTGCGGGGGATTGGTTTTGCAAATTGATTGGTTTTTGAGGCTGTCACAGCTGGACGTCTGGCAAGTCAATTAGTTATTGGCAATTAAATGAATCCAAGTGAAATTTGACCCTGCCCTTCTGCTCTTCGTTCATAACTTTGTGATATGAAACCAGGTTTCGAGTGTATCTTCTTTACGTAAGCAAAAAATCCGATTTATTTTAATTATGAAAGTCCAGATGTTTGAATGTTTGGTTACCAGCTACCAATACCCATTAAAATCTCGACTTGTTTGACTCCATTTTTAATTCCAAAATACTAAAACTGATGTTATTAAAAATAAAAAAAAATAAACAAACATAAAACAATTAAACGCTACAAACTAGAATGCGCAGACAACACTTGACGTACGTGAGTGTGGAATCAAGTGGAGTATTCCGTAACTCGATGTACAACTCTCGATCGTTGTAGAATTTGTTTATAAATTAATTTGGTATCCAACTTCAAAAACACTCGACTAAAAGAGAAACTTTCGATTTAAATAAGTTAAATAATGATAAAAAAAAAAATGTGAATTGCTAATGCTAGACTGAGTTATTGATCTCGCTTTCGATGGCCACTCGAATTATGTGGGTGATGTGCTCCAATGCGGGGGCTTAAAAGTCCCTAAACCTTGCGATGCTCCTGGGCGTATTGCAGAGCTCCGGCGAGGATGCTCCTCTCCAGGCGGCGGTATTGCAACAGCATTAGCTCGATCTCCTGGACAGGTTTCCCCTCCTCCTTCAGTTCCAGCTCAGACAGCTCCTTCAGCTCGTCGGCCTCCCGCAATTCCTTATCGAAAACGGCCAAGAGCAGCTTCAGCCTGTCCTCCAGGAACTGCCAGGTGCGCGTCTCGTGATCCGTCTCCAAAGCACAGTCGATGTGCAGCAGGTCACCCGCCCGCTCCAAGTCGCTGCACCAGTGTTCCAGCTGCTCGGCGCTCATCTTGAACACCCGGACGAAGGCCAGCAGCTCCTTGGATATGAAATCCGGCGCCGGCAGCACTCGTAGCTCTGCATTGTGACGGATGCTTAGCTTGTCCAGAATACTAGCCCTCTTCGCGGCAAGTGCGTCCGTGGGACTCAGGCCCACGCGGATATTAACGTAGTCCTTCAGGTTGTTCACGTCCACAAAGCTGATAAAGAAAGCAGAAAAAATAAATTAGTTAGAAATTCCCAATATATATGTATTTCAAAGAGCAATTTCATAAAAATATAGTTACAATTCATTTAAAAATTCAACATAAAAATAATTACCCCTTAATAGGTTTATAAAAAATATTTTAAAATCACCAAAGTTTAACTAGCATTAAACTATTCAACTCAATAATGAATATTTACCAATTACAATTAAATACCAATTAAAATTAGTACTTTTATATACATTTTTGTTCGATTATCAATTACTGGAAATGGCCGGGGTCAGGTACTCACCCATTGTGCACCAGAAGATCGGTATTGGACCGATCGCCGTAGTAGATGAAGAACTGCTCTCCGGCGGCACACGCCTCCTGGGCGGTGCACTCCAGTTGCCTGGAAAAGGAGCCGTAGAAGGAGGTGATCTTGCCCGGCCTGTGGTTGGCCATATCCCAGTAGGGAATCAGGGCCGAGATAAACTTGGGGCTGCCCTCGCTTTCGCTGGGCACCAGATTTTGGCGGGTCATTACCGTGGAAACGGCCCATCTGGAAAAAAAACAAGTGAAGGTGGTTAATTCTCTGCTCAAAAATCTATAAATAATGTTAAAAAAATATATTGGGTTATAATATAAAGCATATTATCGTTTTTGGAAAAATCTAAGCTTTACTTAAATTATTTCATTCGTAATTGTAAACTATAGAACTTATCTGTACGCAGCTAAAATTAAACTACAACCTTTTAACCTATAAAAAAAACCTCGCATAAATAAATAAGATACGTTTATTTCGGCACCAAGAGTACAATTTACTCGATTCTATTCAGTATTGTTTTTTTTATCCCCGTTCTTGGGTATTTTTGGCTTCTTTTTTATTCGCTTTGCTGCGGTTGCTGCTGGTTAGGCCACAAAGAAAAGTTTTTCATTTAATTGTGCATAAATTTTTCAATTTAATTATGAAAAGCAGCAACTTGTTTGAAGTGGTTTCAGGGTGGGGTAGTCGCCACTCACTTTGTTAGAAATCACCATGGACTAGAGCAAGAACAGCTATTGCAGTAAGTTTTCCCCCCCCAGTTTTTTTTTTCTCATTCTCTTGGCTGTATTTATTTCTGGACAGCAAAGAAAAAAAAAGAAAAAAAGGAGCAAAGTTTTCAACTTTTTCTGGAAGCCTTTGTATTGGCTCTTATGTCTTTCCAGCCAGCTTTTGGCACAGAAGGGGCAGGGTATTTTTATTAAAAGTAATAAGTTATCAGATGGCATTGGCAGTGTTGGAAAGGCCCAAGCGAGTGGGGCTCCTTTTGTGCCGACTGTACGAATACCTGGGCAAAAGTTAATCAGCACTCAAGGGTCTGCCACTTTCTCTACTTTCCCCATTTCGCCCTGTTGCAGTTAATCGGATAACTGAACTTGAATGCGCTGTTAAGTTTTTAAGTATGACGAACTTTTCCTTTGCTGAACTATATATTTCCAGGTGATGGCGGCACTTGTTCTTTTTAGGAAATTCGTTTTTTTTTCTATTGATAAAAAGATTACGTATTTGCATGATATTTTTGGATGGAATTTAAATGATGTCAAAGGACGTATGTGTGCTGCTGATAAACTGTACCTTTTTTTGAGAGATTTTTTCTTTAACTGGTTTTATATTTATACACCTTTATGATCAGTCTATAACAGTATTTTCTGCAGAGTCCACTGCTCTTTTTCAACACTGTTTGACTTTTATCGATGGAAATTGACTGGCTTTAAGGCCACACAAACGCTTTCAAAGGCCATTGACAGAGTCGTCTGCCATTGACAACCAAGGATGAAGGATGCCAGGCTCGCAGAACCAGATGCGATTCTCACCTGTCACCTGGCAAAGGGAAGTGAGTCAGCCAGTCAGCCATTCAGCCAGACAACAAGCCATCCGGATTTAATAACTCACCGACATGACGTTTTCAAGTGACTCAAATTGCCGACGTCTTTTGTGCTTTTCTGTTGCTCGAATGCCCTTCGAACTTTGCCATGTCATTACTCTCCATACAAATAATATGACTCACAACAAGCCTTTGACTTACATCAAATTCCATATGCAAAATGCAGGGTGAACATGCTTTTCATTTAATTGAGATTTCCATAAAACTCATCTTTAAGCTTGGTTCTGCGCATTCTACTCCCTAATTTCCTGTAATCCACCTATGAATCTACAGGCGAAGAAAAATGCTGATTTGTGATTCAAACTGGCAAACTGTTTTCCCTGGCTTTGCCATATTTGTTCACCGGACAAGTTGAGACTCTTACGATACAATCCAATTGCCGGCGAAAGGACTCTTTATTTTCCAGTCTTCGTCTGTTCTTCATTATGTATGCATACTCCTGCAGTCCTTTTCCCAAACATTTCTTCTTTTCACGGGGAAAAGCCAGAAACTTAGACCAAATTGAAAATGGAGCAGATGGGGAAAAAAAAGGGCAAAAAAGAAAACACTGTCGAAAGAGATGTCACAGCAAATGACGTGACAGAAATGCGTGTAATGTTCTGGGCTGCATTCTCGATTTCATTCCATTCGCCTCGATTCGATTTTCTATGGCTTATGCAATGTTGGCCATTATTTCTCCATTTTTTGTTCCTGTTTTCGTTTGCATGATAACATGTATTTGTTGCTGGCAGTTTTTCTCGGCATTGCAATGAGTTCGGTAGAAAATTTCCATTACATAGTTAGGCCCGTGGCTTTTGGGTTAATTATTTTGGCATCTGTCTGGCCCATCGAATGGCTCATGATGGTGAAACCGCAAAGGGGATGCAATAATGCATTAGTCTGATTAGATGATGAGGTTGTCGGCGATCGACTTTGCCAACAGTTAATCAAAGGCAAACATCCTGTGCATACAGCTATACATATATATTATTGATGGCTTACATATATGCACTCCTGCTGTTCATAATCAATCACCTGTATGCATCTTTATCTGAGCTTCCTTCCGGTTCTGCTTCCAGCCGAAAATTGAAAATTAATTACACATGCACAAAAGGTCCTGCGGAGACACCTCATTTCCAGTCCACCTCCCAAGGGATTAACATACTCTGGAGGCGATTTTATAATTATGAGCCAAGTTATTTCAATTGGGCCGATATATTATTCAATTATATGCGTGGATGACTTTTCCCTAATTTGCAGCAAGTAAATAACTGAGACGTTTTTGTATAACAAACGGGTAAATTCATTATGGCAAAAGTCTTCTCAATAAAAAACGATGCTGCAATAATAATTCTATGCACATCTGCTAATCGAAATTGTTAAGTATTCGTGCCGTTAACAACACGCATTATTTTCACCATTCAATTTTTATGATGTCAGAAAAGAAGCCAAGCTTCAATATCATAACATAAAACCATGGCCATTATGTTCACTTATTTTTAGAGGTACTTTCCTTACTTTCCAGAAAATGGTAAGGAAAGGAGTGCAGTAGATGGTTTTTATCCTCAATAAACAACAGACATTTGATTAGATGTCAATAACGCAAAATGAGCGTGGGTTTTTCCCTGCTTTTTTTCGGGCAGCTGATTATGGTGGAAAGTCAATAAAGAGCACGGCAAATATTTATAGATTCCAACTATCAGACGGCTCGGGCTCATCCATCACACCCACTCATATGTGCAGAAACATGGAAAAGTAATTTAATGCACTGCGGAAATTTCATTTTGATTGAAAAGCAAATAAACCTTTTTCATTTTCACTTAGTTGTTTTTTAAGACTATCATATTTTGTGAAATAAACTTTTGGATTTACTCAACTTAACATAATTTATACATATGTATTGAATATGTATTGTTAAAAGGTTGTTGTTAATATAAAAATGTGCAGTCTTAACTCATTAAAATGTATATGTGCGTTAAAGGACTTTAGTTATTAAATCCTAAACTGAGGATATAATCTATAAGCCCATATCTTTTCTTGCAGACATCCGATTTCAAAGTGGCATATCTCTAACTGATTCTGATTTAATTCTTTAAAAAACTGTGTTCTCAGTTTATTTTTTATTCTTTGGTCGATTTTTCGTCATTTTAAACGATGTTACCCCTTTCCAAATTTTCGAAAATTGGCTTTGCTGAAAAATTACCTAAAACCTGCATTTCAAAGCTCATAACTTTTCTTACAGACATCCGATTTCAAAGTGGCATATCTCTAAATGATTCTGGTTTAATTCTCTAAAAAACTGTGTTCTCAGTTTATTTTTTATTTTTTGGTCGATTTTTCGTCATTTTTAACGAAAATTGGCTTTGCTGAAAAGTTACCTAAAACCTGCACTTCCAAGCTCATAACTTTTCTTTCCCCTTTCCAAATTTTCGAAAATTGGCTTTGCTGAAAAGTTACCTAAAATCTGCACTTCCAAGCTCATAACTTTTCTTACAGACATCGAAAATTGGCTTTGCTGAAAAGTTACCTAAAACCTGCACTTCTAAGCCCATAACTTTTCCTTCAGACACCCGATTTACTAATGGCATACTTCCAAATGATTGTGGTTAAATTCTCTAAATATCTGTGTTTTTTTTGTATTTCATAAATAGAGATTTACAAACAATTCTTTTCAAGTTGGGAAATGTTTTTTTGACTATGGAACTTTCCCTGATGACTGATAAACAATCACTTGTGTTTTGTTCTATTTGCAGCTGCTGCAGACGGGTGTTTCCCTGATTGTGGAGGATCCAAAGGGCTCCGGCGATGGGAGTGGCAGTGGCAATGGCAATGGCAGTGGTGTCCCATCCAATCGCCGGCGCACCGCTCAGCTGGCCACTCGCAAACGGAAGCGTCGCCCCCAACTTCCGCTGGCCACGATGGGGGCCACGGAGGAGGATTCGGGTCCGGATGCCACCGCCGCCTACTGGCGTGGCCATGTGGAGGACGATGCAGATGCTTTGCGAAGGCGCAAGCAGCCTTTAGTGAGGGAACCAATGGCAGCCCTCGAACGGGATCGGGATCGGGAAAGGGAGAAGCAGCGCCAGCGGGTGGAGCCCACGGATGCCAGTCCGCAGGGCAGTAATCCCAGCAAGGCCTACCGTCGTCCGTATGGCCAGGCCAAGAAGGAACCATCGGCGGATGCGGGCGAAGCAGCGCCGACCAAGACGGCCGTGGATCTCAAGAATATACTGAAGAATTCCGGCGGCCTGAGTCTCAGTGAAATCCTGCAGCAGAAGAATCTCTCGTTGGACGATCTGCTCAAGGGCAAACAGAATGCCCTGCTGGCACTACAGACCACAGCGGTTGCCCCAGCAGCAGCCGCCACCTACTCCTCCTCCTCCTCCGCATCCACCGCCGCTCGAGGGGATTCACCGAAAAAGGCCACCGGTCAACAGAATAAACAGGGCGTACGGCGATTGCCCGCTGCCTATACCACCACTAGCACCACTGGCCACGAGGAGGGGGGTGAGTCCTCCTCCTCGATCGCCTCCTCCAAAAGCAAGGCCAAGTTCCCCAGCGCCCTGCAGCGTTTGAAGCTCTTTGGCAGCTCTTCGCGGGAGAGCAGCACCACAAGACGGATTCTGGGGGGAGGCAATGGAGGCTACAGCAGCACCACCATGGCCACCAGCACCACGGCAGGTGGTGGCACCACCACCAGCACCACCCGCGTGCCACTCTACAAGAAGCGGCAGCACTTGCGGTCCACCCTAAGGCCCTTTAAGCCGATAACTAGCACCACTAGTACCACTAGCACCACTAGCACCACTGCAGCGGCGGTGACCACCACTCAGGAGGTGGAGACGAGCACGGCCTACTCCACCACCACGGTGGTGAGTAACTTGGAGGAAGGCCAGGAGGAGGAGAACTCAGAGGAGGTGGAAAGGGAGAGGGAGAGGGAAAGGGAGGAGGAGCAGGAGGCGGAAGAAAGGCCAAAGAACGAGGAGCAGGAACAGGACCAGAACCATGAAAATCAGGACAACCAGGAGCCGGAGGAACCCGAAGAGCACATCGATTCCAGTGAAGCCGAGTCGGAAGAGGGCAATTCACATACGGAGCCACCAGCAGCACCACCTGCTCCCTCTCCCTCTCCTTCCCTGCCACCCGGTAATCCCCGATATCGCTTGAGAAACTCCAGCATTAAGGAGATCCAGAAGCGCCTCAAGGACAACTTCATTGGCGGGAATGTGGTGGAGAGTGGTGAGGAGGTGGATCTGGCCGGCAGTGGTCCCAGTTCCACGACATCAGCCACGCCCTCGAATAAAAGTAACGAGGAACTCAGTTACGGAGACGACGAGCTGGAGAACTTCTTCGACGAAGTGGAGAGCCATACGCACCACACGCGAGTGCCGGCACCACCACCACCAGCCCTGGCACCACCGGCAAGGTTACCCACTCCCGAAGCACCACCATCACCACCCACCTATCCCTCCTTCGAACCACCCCCCTACCATGCAGCACCACCCACTTTATCGGCGGGCAAACCAGCACAATTGAATATTATAGACGATGTGGACGATCGGACGGATTTGCTGGAGCTGATCGAGGATCGGCGATCGGGCAATCGGCTGTTCAAGGTCCTCGAGCAGCGCAACATGACGCTGGAGGAGTTGATCGAGCACCGGAAACGGGGCTCCAGCCAACTGCATCTGTCCACCATTGTGAGCGGCGGCGACGAGCACTCCCGGCTGTATCCTGGCCAGAAGGTCCTGCTGCAGGACAACATGGACATCGTGACCGCCTTCGAGAACTTCCCGCACTTCAATCTAATGGACCTGAAGAGCGTGAAGCCGGATGAGATCAAGACGGACTCGCAGGGCTCCAGCTACTTCACGTCCATTATCGATATTGAGCCGAATGACGAGGTCAAGCCCATTGGAAATCGAGGTATTACGGCTTTGCGATTGCGTAAGCAACGCCAGCGGTGGGCAGAGGGGAGGGGCGGGGGCGGTTTGCGGGGGGCAGTGGCAGGAGGGGTGAGGGGTGAGAGGTCCTTTGCTCCTTCGCGGGCTAAAAACATATAAAAACACGAATTAACCAGTCCCCTTCTCTCAACAAAATACCCATTTAAATTATACATATTAGTTTAGTTTCCGTAAGTTCGAAACAAACCGTATGGATATACTAACTAGAAATACATATGCTATACAAATAAAGTTTATAAATGAGATTATAAATAGCAAGTAATGCTGGTGCAATGGATTTAAATAGGCTTTAAGATCCCTGCCTGCCAGCTGCCCAAAAATTAAAACTTTGATTTCCGTTTAGCTGCAGTGGCAACTTAAGAAATGTTTTAAACTCTTTTACAAAATGGATTATGTAAATTCATTTTTAAAAAAAGTTTAAATGTAAAAGAGATTTTTAAAATTCGTATAATAGCTAAATTGATCAAAGAGTTTAGAACCCGGCATAAAATGGATAACATTCACCCTGTTTCTCGCCCATTTCTCGGCCAATTTCTATCCCTTTTCCCTGTCGTTCAAATGCGTTTTTTTGCAGGTCCCGCCTACGCGCAGACATCCTCCTCATCGGCGACCATTGGAGCGGGCACGGGAACGATATCCATTAATTCGCGTGGCGAGAAGTCGCTGGGCTTCTTCCCCTCGTGGAAGACCCTGGCTTTAGCCTCCTTGGCCACGGCCACCGAGGAGCGGAATCCCTACTTCCTGCCGCCGCCACGACTGCTGCTCGACGGGAGTTCGCAGGAGATGGACTCGAATCCGGAGGCGGAGGCGGAGGTCGGCGGTGAGCCCACCAGCATCGACATCGACCTGAGTGTGAGTCCCTACGGTGGCGGTGGCAACTCCTCCTCGATGGTGGACAACAGTCGGCTGCCGCCGAACAACGATGTGATCGATGAGATCGAGAATGAGGTGGCGCGGGCCCATGACCTCATGGATCTGGAGCTATCCGGTCCCGGTTTCCATCGCAGTCCGGCGGCAGCGGCGGCCACGTCCGCCGTATCGCAACAGCACTTGGGCAGTCTGTATGCCAGCATGCCGTCGGGCCTCAAGTCGGCGATTGTGGCCAGCACGGCGATTGTGATCACGGCCCTGGCCACTTTCCTGGTCATCTTCGTGGTCTGCCGATGGAAACAGCAGCGGAGGCGGAAGAGCAGCTACCTAAGGACCTACAATGCGATGAAGAGCAAGCTGCCGCAGATGGTGCAGCCATCGCGTCGCTCCTCGATGCGTCACCACATGGAGGAGCTGGTCATTGGATCTGGATCTGGGTCGGGATCGGGATCGGGAACGGGATCTGGAAAGGGATCGGGATCGGGAGCGGGCATTGCCAGCATCTCCACGTCGGTGGCTTGTTGCACGCCCGTCCATCAGCTGCAGCGCCAGAGTTCCCTACTCTTTGGTCGCGATGGATCGGCCACATTGAGCACTGCCACCTCGCTGACCACGAATACCACCACAAACAGCAACATTCCGACGGGGGCGACACCACCTGCTGCTCCGCCGGAGGCGTTGAGTGGGCGTGGCCTGGCCATTTCGCTGAGAAGTGCCCACCAGAAACTGAACACCATGGATCCAAATTCGCCGGAGGTGCAGGAATATCTCTTCGACACGCTGCGCAAATCCTTTGACAATTAAGCAATAGGCAATTGTAACAATAGACCGTTGTTTAGGCCAAGTTTTATATAAATATACACGTAACACACACACACACACACTCAAACACACACACTCAACGCGAAGGAGCAAAAGTTAGTCGATTAATTAGTTTAAGCAGGTAGGAGGTGGAATTTTTTTGAGCTCGATTAGAGGAACATTCTGTGAGAGAAAGTAAAACTAACAAAAAAAAAATAAAAAACCTAGAAAACACATTTAAACAGTGCATGGCATGGCCATAAGGTAGTTTGAAAAAAGGTTAACAATATTGAAATGATTACGACTTTTATTTATATGAAAAAATAATGTCTAAATTTAAATATTTGGTTACATGATAAATATCATTGAAATTTTAAAACCTATTATTTTCGGTCATGTTTAGTTCATTGATTTTAATGATATAATTTTTATATAAAATGTATTATAATAAAAATAAATTGAGTTTACAAAGGTATATTTAGCGTCTATAAAAGCAGAAAAAACATAAAGCTGAATTAATTATTATAACGTAAATTATTTTTTTTACAAAAAATATACAATTTTGAACATTTATTGAAAGCATGTCTAAACAACTAAACTTTAAACCGCCCTACGTTTATGCCGCGCACTGTTGCTAGTCCCTAAGCTCGGCAAACTATCGTTTCCAACTATCTAGATTTAATGTATGAGTATAAACCGTCAACTAAAGCGACTCTTTCAACTAAATTATAGGACACGGCATACAAATGGGTTTCTTAAGCACGAGATAAAAACGAAAACTAACTTACACGATGAGAAGAACCGAATCTTAGCCAAAAAGAACACATGTGTTTTAGACACTCCCCCGAAAAGCCCAAATCGAATATATATTGAAATTCGAGAGAGAACAAGTAAACCATTTATGAGGACAATAAATATTAATGAGAGAAAAACGAGAAAAAAAAAGAGGAAAACTGCGATCGAGACGATTTTACAAAAGCAAATTTCTTTCTGGCACTGACTAAAATACCAAAATTTAATTCAAATTGGATCAAGGCAAAGCATAGATGGGCGCTAGATGGGCGTGGTCATTAGCACAACAACACAAGCAACCACATCAAAAAAAAAAAAAAACAACAACAATGACAACACTAATAGATTAAATGTTCAAATGCACTGCAAAAAGCAAAAGGAAAATAGAAAAAATACTTGTATTTATTTTGTAGAGCAGACACTTTATTTTTGATTTTGATTTGATTTTATTTCATTTGATTTCCTTACCACCCCCGCCCCTCTCACTAGGCAGTAGAACATCTGGCGACAGTATATATATATATAAATATAATTATATATTTAAGCACGCTCAAATATGTATGTAAATAAGTTTCAATTTGATTTTTTTGAGAAATAAAATGTAGATCAAATTGTGGCAAAGAATGCAAACATTTTGAAAACACTTGAATGAGTCATTCGATGGGTTTTGTGGACTAGCACCGAAATATATGAAGATCCCTAAATCTAGTGCCTAGTGCACCATGACCCGTCCAAAGTGAAAGCGGATCCGTAAATAGATCTTCGGCACAACAATGCGATCGCAATGCCAGACGGGAAGGTCAACAATGGTCGGGCAATCTGGCCATATGTACTCTCGATTAAAAACAAACAGCACCAGCTGTGCATGTAATTTATGGGCAATGGGACAACTGGCACTTGCAAAGGTATCTCTACACAAAAAATACCCCAACCCAAAACCAAATCAAACTTAAATAAGAATAATACATCATGATCAACCGAATTTTAAGAGGAATTCTAAGTTAACAAAATTGGATAGGTACTTAATCTATTTCTAGAGAAACTGAAGACATCGTCAACCATTTAATATCAGGACATAAGGAATCAAACATTATCTATAAAAAGAAAACTTGGTCTAAAGCCATATTTCATGTACATATTTATAATTTTACGTCCAGTTAAACCAATTTTTAAAGGTATTTTTGGTACAAATTTAAAGTTAAATTTAGGATAAATAAAAATGCACTTGTGAAAATATTATAAATATAGGGAAATATTAAGAAATTACTTTATAAAGCTAATAAGATATGTTTTTAATACTTTAAAACGTTTCAAGGTATAAACTTATATGTATAAAAACTGTATTTAGAGGGTATATTAAATCTGCCCTATAAGAATTAATAAGTTAAAACCAGGTAGATTCAGTACTTAAAGGGGCTACAAGTGTGGATATATATATGCCAGTGAACTACCTATATGGTAGTAGTATTTGGACGACTAAATCCAGTTCAAAACCTTAAGTGACCGCTGGCAAATACAATAATCATATCTGAAGGACATTTGAATTACATATGCTTAAACCATAAACCGTAAAACTCACCTGTAAAGCTGGTAGCAGAGTCCGCGCTTGGTAAGGAAGAAGCAACGGTTGTCATTGCCGGTGCGGTTGCCCAGGATGTGGGCGTCCCTGTAGAGGAAGGCGTACTGCTTGGCAATCACGCGGCACTGGCGCAGCGCCATGGAACAGGCGGCGGTGCCACGGAGGCGCTGCATCTGCTTGGTGCTGAAGTACAGCACGGTGTTGTATTTGGCGGGCAGGACATCGATGTAGGGTCGCCAATCGCTGGCCTCGCCGCGGATCTTCTCGATGACCAGATCGTGGGCCAGATTCAAGTGGGTGGCCTGCTGCATGTTGCCAAACAACCGGCAATTGGATTTGCTCTCCTCGGAGAAGATGAGGGCGCGGGGCACACTGAGCACCAGTTCCTCCTTTTCCAGTTGGCGGGTGGCCCGTAGTCCCAGTTGGTAGCCCGGAAAGATAGCAATCTCCAGTCCCTCGCTGTGGACTCCTCCGTTTTTGGCCCACGAACTGAAGGCTTCGACTTTGGCCAGGCGACTTTGATCGTCCGCGGAGTCGTTGACCTGTTGGCAGACCACCTTGCTGAGTGGCTCCTCCAGGGTCATGATTTGTGTGAGGAGCTGCTGGAGCTGCTCGTACTGCCGCCACTCCTCGTTGGGATTCGCCGGCTGCTGCTCCACCAGATCGACCAGTTCGCTAACTAGCTTGTTCAGTTGGTTTCGCTTTTTGGGTATCAAAGTTGGCAATAAGCTTGCCGCCGCTGGATCCTCCGTAGAATCCTTATCCTGCGATCCGGATGAGGATGCAGGTGCTCCGGATTGCTGTTGCTGCGGCTTGGCCTTCTTGTTGCGCTTGTTGTTCTTGCCCATGGTGGGAGAGAGGAGAGGTGCCCTAGGTGAGAGAGAGAGAGAGAGTGCGACAGAGACGGAGTGCAAAGCGGTACCGGCGGCCCAAAACAACAACAGCCAAATAAGGAAAATCCACAAGGAAAAGAAAACCGCACGCGGCGATCAGCTGGCCGGCAGTGTGACCCTGCGCAGGGCGCCACTTAAATACCCGGCCAATCAATATACCAAACCCCTAAATATACCAAATTCTAAGGAAAGCTCACTGCTGGTCACCCCAATTATTGATTTTACAATTTAGTCCTACTTAGGGTATTCCCCCATTGTTAAATTCTTGAGCTTTCAACATTAAAGTTCAGCAATTAAAAGAAGATTATTTTTTACGATTATATTTCCATAAAACAGACAACAGTGACTTTTTAATTAATTATTTTCTATCTCTTCTCTAGTTAAACGTTATGAAAAATAAATTATCTTATAAAAAATAAATTGAGCGTCTAAATTTGTAATTAATTGGGTTATACTTTTCAGAATGCAAATGCAAAATCTCTTTTTCTTCTGTTCCTCAGTTTGGTTTTTTCTTATTTATACTTATATTTGGCAATGGCCTAGAGGGTTATCATCAATTTTCTACCGTTACTCCCTGATTTCACTTTGTTTTGACAAACATAAAGCTGATAACAAGAAACCAAAAATATAAATATTATTTGGTGCACCGGCAAGTAAAATTAAAACAAATATATATGTATGCCAACAGATGCTTTGTTATTAGGCTTATAAAACCAAGAATGAAAAGCAAAATCACACTTGGGAATTATATTGTACATGTGTATGTGGCCTATTTTTAAACGAATTAAAAATAAGAAATCCTTAAGAGTATTTTAATGTGATGCTTCTGTCCTTTATTGTTATCGGTGCTGACCCAGAAAAAACAAGAAGATAAGACCCCATCAGATCACTACGCACTTTGTTCCCCCTCAAGTTAGGGTGAACCATCAGATGTTAACCTGTTAAAACATATATTTTGTTTAACTATTATTTCCTTTACTATCAGTTTAATTCAAATTTTTTAATTGACCTGATACATTTATTTAGCACATATTCGTGATCATGAATCCTGTTATTTAATACAAAAATTAATATTATTTATATAATAACTATGTATTTAAATAACTATATTCAAAGTAAGTTAGTTTTAAAATTATTTAATGATATTATTTTCCCGAATCTGGATAATCAAAAACTACTTTGATTTAAAGCATCGCCTTAAAATATGGTCCATCCAGTTGTGTAGAGACACTCTCAGTTCCCAGTTCAATGACTTCTCTGAGGCAATCGCACCGGTTGGGGCAGCAATGAGCCAGAGCGGGAAAGAGAGGCAGTGGGGCGTATCCAAAGGGGTGCCAGTTCCCCAATCAAAAATATTCAGATATATAATTCCTTAGTTTTATATACAAGTTACACTGGATTTTAATGCTTAGCAAACCTTTGCTTGGGTAAACTATTCCAAAAAAAATCTTTAAAGAATATATGTTCTTAATACACTTTTTTATTTAAGGCCTTGATTAATAAATTGTACCAGTCTAGGTAATGCGGATTTTTAAAATATTTATATTTTTTATAAATATCGCGCTTGTTCTTAAATTCACTTCTATTTGATTACTTTTTTCAAAAACAAACTTTTATAAATTCTCGTTTTTAAAAACCACCGCCTAACATTTCGCTTCAATATTTTGAAGTTTTGTAATTTGAATGTTCGAGGACGAGTCACCTAGAATTTTATGATATTGGTGGAGATCTTTATCATGGGAGTCAGGGAGCCCCCTTTGTCCACGCCCTTGTCAATCTTGCTCTTATGCCTTGTGCTGCAAAAATGTTGCTGGAAACCATTGGTGCACAGTGCAATCGGGCAGTCCGACGGGAGAAGTTGGAAGAGCCTGAAGACAGAGAGAGAGAGAGAGATCGGTGATACGGGGACCATGTCTGTGAATGCGGATCTGCAGAAGGAGCGGGCGGCGGCCACTTTGGACAGCGAGGACTTTGCCCGCTGGTGGGCGGGTGGCGCCTCCCAGTTGGAGGAGCGTCGCGCCCTCGACCGCCGTTTCTACGACGATCCCGACTTCGCGGAGGCAGTGCATCCCAGCTGTCTGTCCTACAAGGAGCGCTACGAGCAGACGGTGGCCCGATCCACTCGATTCCTGGCCAAACTCCGGCAATGGCAGCGGGAGAAGCAGCCACAGCTCGATCTCAGCGTGAATACGCTAAGGGATTTCCGCTTGCTCCTCTCCGGATCCCTGGGCACCGGCCTCTTCCAGCAGAGTTTCCCCCTGCGGGTGCACTTCTCCATGTTCATGACCACCCTGCTGGGCCAGGGCACCGAGGAGCAGCAGGCCCAGTGGCTGAATCGATCCTGGCACATGGACGGCGTCCTGGGCACGTATGCCCAAACGGAACTGGGCCACGGCACCTTTGTCCGAGGACTCGAAACCCGAGCGGATTACGATGCGGAGCGGCAGGAATTCATCCTGAACACGCCCACCCAAAGTGCGTACAAATGGTGGCCCGGCGGACTGGGAAATACCGCCAACGTAGCCATTGTTCTGGCCCAGCTCTATGTGAAGGGCAAGCACTATGGGTTGCAGTCGTTTCTGGTGAGGATTCGGGACGAAAGGACCCACGAGCCGCTGACTGGAGTCGATGTGGGCGACATAGGACCGCGTCTGGGGGGGAATGGCGTGAACAATGGCTTCCTAGGACTGCACGACGTGCGCATACCGCGAAACCAAATGCTGATGAAGAATGCCCAAGTCCTGGCCGATGGCACCTTCGTCCAGGGCAGACCTCCATTGCTGCTCTACGGCACCATGGTCTATGTGCGGGTCATCACCCTCAAGGATGTGCTCTTTGGACTGCTGCAGGCAGCCACCATCGCCACCAGGTGAGCTAGATTAGATTCATAGATCATAAGTTGGATATCATTTGTTTTCAACACCATAAAATACGTAGGAAAGTTAGTTTAGGTGCATTCCGATAAGAGTTGGATTATCTTTTTCTTTACTTTTATACATGCTTTAAATAGGCGGTTTTTTATAGAAAGGAAAAGTTTTAGATATGCTAAAATATATATATAAAGCGTACTTCCAAAGCTTAGTATCGTGAAAAGCAATGATTTAAAAGAATATATCAAAATAGGAAAAATTAAAATTTATAGGAGTATTCTCCTTTAGTTTATTTAGTTTCATAATAATGATAAGAAACTTTGCACTTGGTCTTTTAAAATTACTTCAGTCATTTGTATACCCTATATAGTAGTTTTAAAAAACTTTTTAATTACCGTTATAGATTTATAAAAATTAGAAGACTTTATAATATAGGAATGATGGCCATAGATGACTATGTCATATATGTATGAATATATTAAAAGCATTGACATAGCTTAATTGTTTTTAAGCACATATTTAAGCATATCAAAATCTAGTCATTTTATAGAATATTTTATTTTTGTAATAGCCGTAAGGGTATATAAACTTCGGCTTGCCAAAGTTAGCTTTTTTTCCCGGTTCAAAAAAATTTATCTGTACTTCTACATGAAAAGGTTGTTATTGTCCACATTTAAAATTTCCTTTTTTTTAAGCCACTAAAACAATTTTAGCAATAAAATATATCTTTATACCATTAAGATTAGAGGCAAATATGATAATTTACAAAAAAGTGGCCAAATCGATAAAGTTTTAACAAAATAGTTAATTAAAACCCAAGTGTGCCAATAATTTTGTTCTGGGAAATTTGGTCCATTCTTTGGTTTTTTATTTTTAATAAATTATTTATAAAAGATAAATTAATGCAGTCACTTGTATTTAACAACAAATTAATGATTCTATCTAAAAATATTTTGTTATATTTTAATATCAGCATATTAGAAGAAGAAAAATAGCCCTAAAGTTTAACATGCTTGCCGTGGCAATGAAACTTAAGTTTGTCACTGTATATATCTGAAGTATAAATAAATATAAATACCTTCCAGGTATTCCGTGGTGCGTCGCCAGAGCCGGATTGATGTGGATCAGCCGGAGGTGTCGGTTCTGGACCACACCACGCAGCAGGCGAAGATCCTGCCGCAGATTGCCCGAGGCGTCTCCTATCGCCTGGTGTCCGACTGGCTGTGGCGCTTCTACGAGCAGGTGCTGCAGCAGCTGGAGGATGCGGGTGGGGGTGCTGGAGGTGGACGCAACTCCCTGCCGGAGCTGCACGCCCTGAGCTGCTGCCTCAAGGCGGTGGCCACCGACGAGGCCAGCCAGGGCGTGGATCTGCTGCGCAAGAGTTGCGGCGGCCATGGGTTCCTCTCCTCGGCCAACTTCGATAGCATCTATGGCCTGACCGCCGCCGCCTACACCTACGAAGGCGAGTACACGGTGCTCCTGCTGCAGACGGCTCGCTTTTTGGTCCGCCAATATGTGGACAGCTTGAAGCGGAAGGTCCTGCCACCCAGTGTCTCCTATTTGAGGGACACGGCTCGTCTGGTCTGGGGCAAGAACCTCGTGGCGAATTGTGTGCGGGCCCTGGAGATTTCGGCCTTGGAGCAGGTGCGTCAGGCCTGGCAGAGCCAGAGTGCCCACAAAACGAAGAGGGTGAGTCCCGAGATGGCCAGTAATCTGGCCGGCAGACAGCTCACATCCGCCGCCGTGGCTCATGCCCATGCCTTCTTCACGCGCAACGCTCTGGGGGAATTGGAGAGCCTGCGGCGGAAGGGTGACCTCGGCCCCAGTGTGGCCCTCGTCCTGGGCGAACTGGTGGAGCTCTTCGTCCTCGACACATTCCTGCGCCAGTCGGGATGCGTGCTCCGGTGGAACGGCGGCATCAATGGCACCCAGCTGCGCTTCGTGGAGCGCCGCTTTGAGGAGCTGCTGGCCAAACTGCGTCCGAATGCGGTGGCTCTGGTGGATGGCTTCGATTTCCACGATCGCGTCTTGGGCTCCACGCTGGGCTGCCACGATGGACGGGTCTACGAGCGACTGATGGAGGAGGCACGCAGGAATCCGGTCAACCAGGAGCCGGTCAACTCGTCCTTCTATAACCACCTGCTGCCCATGATGCGGGGAAAGCTGTGAGAAGCGGCTGGGAATCTCCATGCCGACATTTATTACACACTTTTTTTTTACCTATCTATAATATATACGATTGCCTATGAATTTGTTATTGAATATTTTATTAAAGTCTTGGAAAATCATTTATGCTAGCATAGGATTTATTTTGTTGAATAAAAGAAACTTATTTTCAGTTGGTGTTGTTTTAAAATGGACAGGTATATCAATAAAGGATTTATGTTTTAGATTTCTATAACCTACACATTTCGGTTTTTGATATATTTTTTTAATAAATAATTAGCCAAAAACCCAGTTGGTTTAAAAGTGAAACTGCATCAATAAATAGCTTGACATTCCAGCATTGGACCATTATTTCCCAGGGTTTTGATGAAACATTAAACTGATATTAAATAAAAATAACAATCTTAAGCCATTTAAATAATTTCAAATCATCGATAAGAAATACAATAGAATCACGACTTACCAACTGAAATGATTAGCTTTCCTTTGATGTAGTTGTCTTTTTCGTTTTATTTATAACGATTTACACTGAAGGCATATAGAATTAAGCTATTAAATTAGTTTACGCTGATAAATAAAGGCTGTGGGACACACACAAAAAAAATGGGAAAAGGGAATTGGAAAGGGGTTCCATCCGGATCTAGAACATCTTCTTTCTGACCGCCGTGTAGCGCTCCATGTAGACATCGTAGCCATCGAGATCGGTGAACTGCTTCGAGTTGAACAGATTGCCATCCACGGCCAGGTTGCAGATCTTCGAGTCCTTCAAGATCCTGGGCGTGAAGGCAGCCGCCTGCAGGCAGTTCTCCTCGAGTCGGAGGGTCTTCAACTTGGGACAATTGGCCACGTCCTCCGCCAGCGAAGAGATTTGGTTCTGATTCAGGTTCAGTTCGGTCACATAGAGACCACCCACTTCGGAGGGCACCTCGGTGATCCTGTTCCTCGAGAGATCGAGCACATCCAGCTGCTTAAGTCCACACAACATGGAGGGGAACTCCTTTAGCTGGTTATTGCTCAGGTTCACGGTCTTCAGGTGACTGCAATTGGCCAGGGTCTTTGGTAGCTTGGTGAGCAGATTGTCCATCAGCAGGAGCACCTCCAGCTTGGCCAGTTCGCCCACCACCTCGTTGAGTTCCACCAGTCGATTGCCACTGAGATTTAGGTGCTTCAGCAGGGTCAGCTTGCCCAGTTCATCGGGCACTCGTTCGAAGCGATTCTCGGAGAGATCGAGGGTTTTCAGCACATTCGGGTAGGCCTTTAGTTGCGGTGGGAACTCCTGAAGGCGCTGCAAGGATATCTTCAGGATTCCCGTCTTCTGGGCCGTCTCCAAGTGCTGTTTAATCTGTTTATTGCCCATTGTTCAGGGAACAAGGTGGTTACTCCTCTAATTAAGGTGGGGTGGTTTACTACCGATGACGAATCCTGGTCTCAAACTCTGCTTATTTGCAGGGTACGGCCTTCTGTCCTGGTTTCCCTTGGGTTTTGCTGCTAAACAAACACTTTCAGGACCTTTGCTTCTGGCCAAAACAATAAAATTAATTATTTACGATTTTTGACGAAGTGTTACCGTATTTGCACTATGTGAAGCCAATCTAGATATATACTAAAACGGAGAAGTACCTAAAATATATCACGAGCGGGAGCGAAACTTCGCTAGACACCTAGCACTGTCACAAGCCACGTGGAGTATAGTAGCTACACAAACCCATTTCACATTACAGTTTTAAAATTTTAATAATAAAAATTTAATTAAAATTTTCAAAAATTCAAGGCTATAAAATAATGCAAGCAGACTTTTTTATCGTTATTTTCACTATATGTAAGTATATATATAATATAATATGTATAAATTTGATAGAATTTGCAGTATTTTATAAAGTACTGCATGTGAAAACGTTGAATTCTTTGTAAAACTTTCCTTACATGTTAAAATGTTCGTTTTTTTTTAGCCGAACCACACATTGCAATTTTAAGCTTTTTCAAATAAACTCTAAAAATACAAAGTAAACAAGTTACATTTTCGCCAGTTGTAAAAAGTTTTTTATTTCATACCATATTTTAGTCTCAAATATATATATGATATATATATAAATATATATATATAAAACCTTTGCAATTTTCGTCTAAAACTACACAATAAACTTAACATAGCTCATTATATTCTCTTCAGTTTTTTCCCCAAAAAAATTGGTTGTTTAAAACGCTTCCGATGGAAATTATTATTATGAAAGACTCAAAAGCAATATTTATTTTTATTATATTATCGGTTGGTTCCGAAGCGTTCAAAACATTACTCGATTTCATGCAAAAATAGTATCTCTTATTATTTTTTTTTTTTTTTGGGGACTCTTTCTTTTTTTAGTGTTGTTTTCTATTTATAAATAAAAGCTAGGTATTAAATTAAAGTTTAAAATTAGGAAAAAAAATGATTTTGTTTGCAGAAAAAAACACAAGGAAAATCTCATCTTTTTTTGTTATTGTTGTTGTTTGTCTTGTTATAATTGATGGAAAATCAAAAAATAAAATAAAAATTAAAATAATTTTCTGCCAAGCGATTCGAGTTGTGATCATTGATTAATCCATGTTTATGATAGTTTTGGGGTTTTGTTGGGTGGGTAACGCGGGGGTGTTTTAGGGAGGGGTTCAAAGGTCAGGGCTTAATCACAGAACTACCAAAAAGGGGGGGCGTTTGGGGAGCGTGGCTCTGTCCAGGGCTTGAGTTTCAACTAAGTAGTATGATTTGTGCTAAATAAAAATAATAATCCAAAACAGAATTTGGAATTTGGGGCTTCGGACAAAATGATGGGGACTACAGGCAGGGTATTCGATATATCGAAGGGCATATCGGGGCATCTCATCTCATTTCATCTCGTCTACTTGGCACGATCGGGCTCCACCTGCTTGGCAAACTCGCTCATCACATCCTTGTAGATGACCGGATCGAGATTGCGGCCCAGCATATAGATGAGCCACCAGTCCCCGATGTCCAATTTCCGGGATAGCGAACGACATATCTCCATCGGAATCATGCGATTGCGGGCGTTCAGCAGACGGGGTCGGAATTTCGGCATGAAGATGATGCAGGCACTGCAAAAAATTGATGTTTAGTTAAAGTTTATGATAAGAGAGTGTTAGATATTGCTCATGGGTATTAAAATCCATTACAATCGACTAAGAATTCCTCTATTATATTACATTAAATTGAAATCTTACCGGAACATCATCAGTCCGATGAGCAGGACGAGCAAAATCCAGAACCAGAACCAGATGAACACGTAGGTCTTCTCGTTCACGATGTTCAGTGGCAGGATGCAGAGGGAGTCGTGCTTCTGCAGCGATCCGGAGGCACCATACTTGTGGAAGGTGCACTTGGTGACCCGGGGGAACACATAGACCATGGGGTCCACCCGCTGCTCCTGCGGCACATCGGATAGTTTCATAATATTGGTGCCGTACGAGAGGAACTCGCCGTCGAAGAAGCGATTCATCAGATACATCTGCACGATTATGTTTATGCAGCAGAGCAGTTCGCAGGCCCAATACCGAATGGCATACAGCTTGTGACGCTAAGGGGGGGGGATATTGAAATTCGATCAGTCTGGGATTGGAAAAAGGCTTATGCAATGAACACCCACCTTCACGTGCTTAATTAGATAGTCCAGCAGGGCATCGCGTTTCGCCTCCTTCTCCTCGCGAGTGCAAATCGTGATATTCAGGCCCATCACAATCATGCGCATCAGGCCGCCCTCGAATTTGTTCCACAGGAATTTGGGCGTATAGCAGGCCATGGCCTAAAATAAATGGATAAATAACTTAAATATATTAACATATTATTTAAGATTCGTTTTCTAAAAAAATCAGGTTGTTGGCTAATTATTTTGGATACTTTAAACACCTGATCTCTAAGATATGTTTATTGAATCCTATTATGCCATGTGAATCTTATCATTTGTTGGAGTAACATTTTAATTACTAAAAAAACAATCTAAATAATTTCGTGAAAATAGAAACCCTTTCACTTTAATGTTTGCACTTGCCAGCTGGAAGATCATATGGCAATAGTGCAGGAATGTGTTTTTGAACAAACACTTTTATTGGAATCTGTCGAAGCAATTGACACATTGTCGTTGATGTTACTGCTGTTGTAATTGCCACTGTTGATGTTGTTCGTGCTATTTAGCAAGTCATTAATTATATTTGGTATTTCACAAGTCCGAAACACTTCTGTTGCGCTTTCCTCATTTGTTTCCGCCGCTTGAGCAATACGTTGACCCATAGTCGATCACAAGCTCCAGTCCAAATGCACAGAAAAAAATTAAATCAATCAAAAAGGGGTCTTTAATAAAAAAAAACAAGTTACTGATGAGCTGGTTGGGCTGACTAACTGACATAAGTTTCTATATTATGGTGATAGTATGAAAATATTACTAATTCGTAATATATTTAAAGTGTATTTTTGTATGTTTATATATTAGAAAAAATTTACAAAAATTTACATTAATTTGTAAAAAAGATAAACAGCTTTTTTATCAGTGCATATAGCAGTCCCCTATATCTCCCTATATATCCACGCATGCCACGCATTCAATTGAACTTAATTGGAGCGATTGCCTCTGAGCAAAGGAATCGAGACCACTAACAACGTAAGCCCATTGTTGCACAGAAAAAAATGAGGATCTCCTTCCATATCATGATATCATATTCTTATAAAATAAACAGAAAAGTTCACAAATATACGTGAACACTCTTTACATATGATAATTGTATATTTGATTAAAGTCTGACTTTCAATTTTATTATCATATAATATTTGAGTTAGATTATATCAGTTAGTGTAGTGTTTCAAAACTCACCTGGAAGAAGAGTACGAAGCACACCCACTGGTAATAGGTGTAGTACTTCTTGGCATCCTCATCACCGAAATCATTGGCCACACCGGGATGAGCTACCTCACGACCAACCTGAAAAGTGTAAGAAACCAAAGGGTATTTAATATCAAGTACTTTTAAAGTACAACCCAAATATTTATTTCATTTTAGACATGTGCTATACAGAGTCTATAATCTGAATCTCTATAAGATACCCACAATTAATCAAACTATCCAACTAAACGGCTACTTAAGTTTCCAGACAGGCATCCGCATGGTTTCCCTAAGTTATTCCGCCCACACATTGTCAATATGTTCAGTTCACTTGTTATATGCGATTTATCGGGTTTTTTGATCGGACAAACTGTCAAAAAATACAAAAGAAAAAACAAGATTTCTTCGAATCGTATCAAATCATGTCAAATTGAAAAAAAAAAAAATGATTAAATTATTTTTTATTTGTTATATACAGGAAACAGTCCGATAAATCTCTAAGCAACGATTTCGTATAAATTTTGATATCAGCCGAGCCCTACAAATATGTACACAAGGAGAAAATAATGTATCTAAACATCGATGATCATATATCTAACATATTAAATTTTTAAATCTAAATCATAGGCATTTTTTAAAGAAATCTTTTCAATACCGATTGAAAAAATATAAAAAAAAATCGAAAGTGAATAAATTGACCTTAAACATGTTTAATTGATCTTGGTTCTGCATTTTTTTTTGGTGTAGTCCAATTGGGGAGTTCCACCCGTGGGGAATTCAATATCGGTTTTTCTTTTTTTTTTTTTTTTTTTTTGTACAAATCTCTGCCCGCAGCAGAAAAGAGGAAGAAGCAGACAACGCCCAGTTTATAATTGCTTTATAGTCCGGGCATGAAATATCACATATCCCGTGTGATATACCTTCCTTCATCCAAAAGGGTCGGACGTGTTTAGCGTACAGAGAACTTGACAGGCAGACAGAAAACTAAGAAAGCCAAGCGAATGGGATTCTGCAAGGGTTCCGCAGTAGATGAAGATGAGTGGTAGAATACCATTTTTGCTGGATCTGAATCGAAAAGGAAGTGCTTATAATTGAACGGAAATGGTTTAGCATTGGGTTAATGAAAACTTGTAAAAGGCATATACGAAACTGGTTTATAAAAGGGTTACCTGATCAGTTAGTTATTAGGTAGTGTTGAGACGCATTATCATAAAAGATATTTTCATTTTTGTCTATATTTTTTGTAATATAAAATATTCAAAAAAAAACTCTATACAATCATACCTTTAAAAATTTTGAAGTTACTAATAAATATTTATGAAAGTATAATAAAATATGTGTCGAATCCAGAAGTTGGATGCTTTTAAAGTACTCTCTTTTTCTGGTTTTAAATCTTCTTAATACTTAATGGTCCCTGTATCTTAAGAAACTTAAAAAAAAATCCCTCTTAATAAGCTCTTGTATTTTGTATGTTTTGTCTTATTAAATATTCCCAAATTATCTTTACAATCATACCTCTAGAGATTGTGAAATTGCTAATAAATATGAATGAAAGTATAGTACTAACTATATGTTCAATCCAGAAATGTAATGCCTTCAAGATTGCCTATATCTCACTTACTTTTCAATATTTTTGGATGCAAATTTTTACACATATTGTTTAAATGTTATTTTATCTTATGGGAAAACAAAAATTTTACCGAGACTATTCGGATTGCTAATACAAATTCGTAAAAAATGAGCAATCAACCATACAAGTGCCCATCACCTGGAGTTTCTTAAGGGGGAAACATTCAAAGCCCCAGGTGATAGGCACATGTACCCAATCATTTTCCGGACTCACCTGTCTGCGGAAGGCATCCGGCATGGTGAAGGTGCTGTGAATCCAGCAGAACGTGTTGACCACGTGCGGTGGAACGCCATTGACGATGCAGCTGATCGGCTGGCCCACGTATTGGGTGGCGGTGATGATCAGGCTGCAGGTGAGCAGGAGCACCGTGGTGAAGGAGTTGTGCAGCCGGAAGACGGCGTTGTCCGTCTGGATGTCCTGCCACTTCAGGTAGCTCTTCAAGCTACCCAGCAACTTATACATCTTGGCACAGTTTGGGTCTCGGCGGCCGAATCACGATCGAATTGGGAGCTTCTCCTCCGGGCAGTGTTGTTGTTCGTACCGCAAAAAAAGGTAGTTATGCTATGTGCGCTCTTAACTTTCTTTTGCCGGTTCTTGTCTTGATTCGAATTCTCTTGCCCTTTAACTTTCGATGCATATCAACTGCAAATGAATAAATATGATACAAATTATAGAGATTACAAATCTAGGTGTATTTATACCAAATGTTCAACTAAAATCAATTCAGATTTCAAATCAGCTATTGAAATTCACAAGTGCAAATTATGAGATGTCAAAAAATAGTAGACTATATCCGCTTAAGACATTTTGATCCTATAAACTCCTTGTGCAAATGAAAGTGAGTGAAATTCTAAGAACTCTTAGCTTAAAGCCTTTCATTGGGGTTTCATTAAATCAAATGAAATCAAAATGATCCCCGCTGCACTTAATTTAATTTCTGTGTAGGTACACTGAGCAAATACAAGGCTGCTATCTTCGTATCTGTGAAGTACATTGCGCTGATTGAAAGACAAGCAACACCTAGCAATTGAAGTTTTGCCGAATCGTGTTGAATTTCGTGGTGAGCAGTCAGCTTCTGATTGTTAAATGCGCAGAGCGTGAGTATTTTGGCATAAATCAACATCAACTAATAGAATCTTGAGACGGTTTCAATTTCAATTAAAGATACATTTCACAGCCACGACGACGAGCAGCTCAGATCTCTTGTCAGCTGAAAAAATTGATGCGCCATTTAAGTAACCAATTGCCATTTGCTCCACTTGCCTGTCTGTGTGGCCCCCGCTTCAGAGTCCGATCTCTTTTTCTCAGTCCAGCAACATAATATATATATATAATATATGTGGGGGCAATGCTCCTCCAGTGGTTCTGGCATCGCGATCTTTGTGCAATGCATTTGACCCAAGCGCCACTGGGAGACCCCATCTCAATTGTGTTAAATCGTAACGATTTCTTTGACTTGCAGTACTTAATACTAAAAGGCATTTATCCTAATGTATTTCCCAAGTTACCTATTATCTTTTTGTTCTAGATTTATTTATTGTTTAATAGCCAAAATGAATATGGATTCAGTCATCAATCAAAACATGTTTAAAGTAATATTTCTTTCAAAGTGTAAATATTTATAAAATATAACAAAACCACACACTAATATAAAATCATTTATTATATCTTATATTTTGCTTGTGATTTTTTAAAATTTAATTATGGTGGTTCCATAAAATATTTTTGTAGGTTCTCAGCTAATTTATTCACTCTCAAGACTGCATTTCCCGAATTCCCTAAACAAACTCCATTGCAGCCTCCATTAGACCATTCCGCCCATAAATTGTCTCCTTCCTGGCTAAAGATCCGCCCCCTTTTTTTTTTTGCAGTGCACCCCCCCTCAACGCTTCGCTGACTTTGCGTTTTTGCTTTTGAAGTTGCAGTCATATATAAACAATGGCCCACCGCCCACATCCTCCCACCATCCCTCCCCCCATCCCACATTTCCACATGTCCACACACATGCAGCTGGCACTTGTTGTTGTTGTTGTTGTTGATTTTCTTTCGTTTTCCTAGGCATTTTCATTGCCAAGGCCGTGGGGACCATGGACTGCCAAGTGTTGCCAGCCAGAAGTTGATAGTCGCGGATTTTGTGGAAATTTCGCTGTGCAAATTGCAATTTGTTTCGGTTTCAGAAAGGGGTGGCAAAAGCGGGTGGGGGGGAAAAGCGGAAAACGCGGGTCTAGTTTTAGGTGTCAGCTCTTCCAATTGTTTTGCGAAAAGGTCGTCGCAACTGCATTAATGTTGTTTACGTGACGCCGCTTGGCAATTGTCTATTTTGGATACCCTGAAAATCTAGGGGAATGCTGTATTTTTTTATAGGTTGCTTGTGCTTTAGAGCATAATGAATTGACTAAGTTATCTGATCTTGAATGAATTAAATATCTTCAAAATGATTTATCCCTTCCCAATAATAGTAAATTTAAAATGAAATTAAGTAATATCACTTTTTAAGCTGCTTTGTAAACGTTTTCTCTAAAAAAAACCTGTTATTTAAATTGAAATAGGAGAAACGTGTAGTTAACACTTCGCCCACCGATTTTCCCTTTTAAGTAACAATTCGTTTTGCTATTTTAATTTTTAGTGACTGTTTCACTTTGCAAATTTATTTAGTCGTTGTCGTTGCCAATTTTGCTGGTGTTCGTACACTTTGTTGTCGGGTCTTTTAAAAGCTTTAACATGCTTAACCTTAACATGAATACAAACACGAGAACTGCAATGGCAATTGCAATATTGCAATGGCAACAGCAATTGCATTTGGAATCTGAGTTTTTTTTTTTTTTTTTTTTATATTTTCTGTTTTGCGGGAGTCTGTCTCTTGAAGTTGTGACGTCAATTTAATTGCATTCGACTGTACAACGAGTTATTTTTGAGTCGGTCCGAGTTGATTCATTTTCATTAGGGTTTGGTTGGTGTTTTATTGGGTTTTTTTTGTTTGGTTTTGGTTAGCAGCTGGTCGCCAGAGCGGAAGTTGCCCTTCGGGGTGTGCGTGTGTGTGTGGCGCACTAGGGGTGGCATCAAACACAACAAGAAAACAGATACTACTCACGCACAGGAAATGGTAAATATATATAAGATCTATAAGGCTAAAACCCTAGCAAGATTGCTGCAGTAAACCCATCATTGTGTCACGTAAATTATTACATTCAGTTAGTAAATATTAGCTGAAAGACAGCTTCCCATTAAAATATTCAATGCATCAGTTATTGAAAAAAATCCTACAAAATCAGTCAACAAATGGCAAACATGAAATCCTCAAGCTTGTTAAAAGATAACACAAAAAAAATGATTAAAAAGTCTTTACTTAATGTTGCGATTAAAAACCAGTTTCAAACTAAAATACTGCAAATCCTATAACCAGTTTTTAAACGTAATTATATTTATTTGAATATTCATTGAGTTACATTTTGATCTACTTCGATGAGAAAGTTAAACCAATAAAGATCAATGTAATAAGATCTCAATTCCTATTATACCGATTACTATCGCCTCACGCAGCCATCGCTAGTGATCTATTTACGCGGCAGCTGGCCCAGAACAAAACCTTTTTGGTCATCCACTTCTGCGGCTAGTAACTTAGCATGCAGCTCAGGGAGGATCGGACCGGATCGGATCGGATGCGATGGGATGGGATGTTTTAGGATGGGATCGTTAGAAAGAAGAAACCGCAACATAGCGTGCACATAATAGGGATACTAGGGCTGGGAGGAGGGGCAAATAGAATGGGGGAGGGGTTGGGGAAGAACAAAGGTAGAGGACGGTAAGGTGTAGGGGCAGATACTACGTGCTCCTCCCCCATTTGATTCCCTGATTGGCGACACATGCTCAAAAACAATGAATCGCCACTGTTCTGCGTCACTTAAATTGACCATTTCCGTTTGGAGGGGCCAAGAATTTTTAAGGGGCAAAGTGGAGAGGGGGTCATCTTTGGGATGCGAAAAGAAGAGATGCCATAGATGTCGCCGAACCCGTCAGACGGGATACTTCTAAGGTAAGCCGATACACGACAACAATACATTTTGTTTATAGTAAAATGTACATATGTTAAAATTTTTTTTTTTTTTACCTAATATTCGAATTAAATTTAACCTTAAACAATTTGATAAAATCATTGTAAAATTAAAAAAATATATCTGTGAGATTGCATGGACATCTTTTTTTCAGTGTATTTTAAGACACGAAAAATTATGAAGCGGGAAGAAAGATTTCATGGAAAATAATGAGGAAACGAAAGAATGAAGGGAATACAGGGAAAGGGGAAAGCTAATAAGAGGAGCATAAAAGAGGAAATGTGAAGTATGCTGGGAAACAAAAGAATCATGGGATTTCAGGAAAATCTAAGAAAGGTAAGTTTCTGAAATCATATGGATTTTTTAAGAAATAAGTCAGAAAAACATATTAATTATGTATTTAGAGAGATTAAGAGATCAGACTCAGATTGATCTTAAAATCAGAATGCCCAATCCAAACTGAAAAGAAACAAGATTAGCCCAAACTAAAGTTCTTTGCAATACTATACTAGAAACAAAACACATTTCCAATATCTATAGACCCAAAAATCTTTCAGTTACACTTAAAAAACTGTGAAGCCCATCTTTGTTTTATGATGAAATAATGCTGGCTTTAATCAGCTGATGTAATAGAAAATAAACAATGTCTATGATTGTTTGCGCAATATCATATTTATCTTAACATAAAGATCATTCAGATGCTATGGAAGAACCCGATAGTTTTTCTCACAAAGAGAAGCTTTTGTTTAGTTTTAAGCAGCGAAAGTCATGGTTTTTAGAATACAAGCCTGGTATTATAATTCGTAATACCATCTTTAAGCCTAAGGAACCCCAATAACTCTGGGTGTCACCCGAATTGAGACCACTACCGATCAAATCCAATTGGCTTAATTGGTTTCTAATCAAAATAAAGCTCCAAAGCTGAGATCTCACTTAATCTCAGGGGTTAATAGTTATACAACTAATCTAAACGTATCTTATCTCTGTCCCTGTCGCCCACCTAGGCTTTCTCGTTCTTCAGAAGTCATCGGTGTTATTCGAAAGCTCGGCTCGAAAGCTTCATCTTAGACAGCTTTCGTTGGAAAGATGAAGAAATGCAATGCATTTCGGTTTTTTTTTACTTATTGTAGAATTTTTTGTTGTTGTTAAACTTACGCAGAATTCCGTTGTCTTTTAGGCTTTTCTTCTGGTTGGTTGTTCTGTTTGTCTTCGTATTGTTTTTTTATTTTGTGTCACAGCATGGCGTGTGCGTGTGTGGGTGTGTGTTTGTTTTGGGGCTGCTTCTTCTTCGTCTTAATTTTTGTGTTTTATTTTACGAATCAGCTGCCAGGTGGCCGTAGAATTTGCATGGAACAGGTTCTTGAATGCAGCAAATAGTGCCTTAAATGAGGATATTTCTTTTTTTTTCAAAAATGGGTTTTCAAGAAAAACCGCGCACACACACTCACTGGAAAAAATACCAACGCAAAACGGGAATTCTCCAAAAAAATTGTTAGTTTATTTTTTTCAAAAAAACTGTTTGCTCGAATTGTTTATACCGTGTATAGAACTTGTTTCATTCGATTTACGCTGGGTGTCTGTTGTGTTTTGAATTTTGTAATTTTCCTGTGTTTTCGAGCGCCGCGTAGACGCTCGCTATGGCTTTTGTAGCACGCTGTCGCCGTCGCCGTCGACTGCCGCTTGGATTTCAAATTTCACAGCGACTCGCACTCAAAACCGAAGCCCATTCCGTTCTCATTCCATTTCCCATTCCGCGCCATTCCGCTCTCCATTTCCAAGCCGTTCTCTCTCGCTCACTTCAAATTGAAACAGCTGGCGGGAGAGAAGAGAGAGTTTCGGTTTTTAATTCTCTCTTTTTTAAAACTCTCTCTCTCTCTCCTTTGCTCACTCTGTCTCTCGCTCTCCCGCTCTCCGAATTTGTTTATTTAAACGAATTAAGCCTTAAATTAAACTGATCGCTAGCAATGAACTAAAATTGGAGCAGCAATTGCCCAGGAGATATACTTTTCTTACCCCCTCTATAAGTCTTTAAGCTCCCTTTTTTTATTTTTCTCTTCCTGCTTGGCTGCTTCCAATTTAGTTTTTTGTTCACTTATTTTCATGCATTTTGGCCCTCTTGATTCTTTTTTTTTTGTTTTGGCTTACGAAAAGGTAAGGAAAAACTCGAAATTCTTAATATGTGCACTGCGAGAAAGTTTCGACGTGATTTCCAAAATTAGTAGTTAGTGAAATAATTCTCTTAAAAGACCAAAAACAAATTTTAAGATCTAATTTTCGTTAGTCTAGAAGATATTTTTAATACATTAATTGTTCGGTACATCTTCAATATACTCTCATATACATATTTCGGTCGCAAGTTCGGTAGTTTCTTTCTCTGGATAGATGAAATGCTCAACAATGCGGGCTTTTGAAGGTGAACTCATCTAAAAATTAAAGATTATTCGAAACAAACCTGATTTTGGTAATGCTTTGATAAGAGGGAAAAGAGAAACTTTTAATAACAACGGGTGTAAAAAACTAGGTATGCCAAAGATCATAACTCAAAAAATTGGTAATTGTTGAATAATTATAACTGATTGATGGATTCAAATATTTCATCATTTTGTTGTTGTTTTGAAAGTTTTTTGATCGTAAATCATGATCATGACATCTTTTGAGTATTGTCAACTTTTGCTTACTACTTGTTTGATATTATAAATATTCGCTGATTTACTTTTCATTTGTTTATTTTATCCTGGAACATAATCCAAATTTTCCCTGTCTCAGCAGGGATTTCTTGAGATTCTGGATGGATCTCGATAAGAACGTGTTTCGCGTCGAAAACCAAGTGATATCGGATCCGATTGCTTGCTAAATCTTTCGGCGTGTGCGCACACTTCGTTTTGTCAGTCAGTCATTGAGTCAGTTACTCAATTGGCCAACCCAGCCATTATGCCCCTCGATATATGGCCAGATCTCAAATTACAGCTATACACGATATATACGAGAGTGTGGGGAGTGCTTTTGGCATTGCAACCACATTTCGGCCTGGATTCCCCATCCCTTTTTGCTGGTTTTGTCTTACGTTTCGGCCCTAAAGAAATCGGCCGTGTCCCCATCCCCAATCTCCATTGTATCATGCGGCGAGTTCGTGTTGCTTTTAATTTTAAATTAAGGTTTTTTTTTCGGGCTCGCTCGTCTTGACATGGCCTTTTTATGGGGCCACAATAAACTCCGCACTTTCGGGCATACAAAAAGAAATCAAAACCAAAAAATAAAAAAAGAATGTGTAGACGTTGGGTAAAATGTTAAGTGCGTTGTCATTGCCACGGACATGAGAAGCGAGTAAATGGAGCTCGGTTTGAAGCCCCGATTGAAGTTTGAAGTTTTTGGGACTATTACTTAACTGCGTGAAAGCTTTTTTTATTGAAATGCCTCTATAGCACACCCACAAATTTTGGGTCCAAAGAGGTTTGATCAGTAGGAATTTCAAGCTTGGTAAATAAGAAGTATTTTGAACGATTTGAATAAGTTAAAATGGCTGTCCGTTTGACAGAATTGTCGTTTATACTTACCATATTTTTGTAATATATGTATATATTTTTTATTTTTTTTATCATGTGATAATTCTATGGGTCTTTGATATTTACAAATCTACTCGCACATGTGCAATTAAAACGACCACACATATACATATTCTCTTCGCACAAACTGTACCCACACGAAATGCCGAAAACATGTGGACAAAGGTATCATTGGTAGTACCTTTCACTTGGCCAAGTGTCACGTCTGTCGCAATCGGTCCATTAACCACAAGCCCCCCGCTCACCCACATACGTTAGTCCAATGTGGTACTTGCACCAGGTATCAGTGGTATCGATATCGGTGGGCTTATGTATGTACGTGAGCAGGAGCACGAACGTTGATTTATATTTATCTCAGTGTGCTTGGAAATGGAAATGGACCCTCCTCCAAACCAAACCAAACCATCTCTCTAGTGGCCAAACTCTCCTCTCAGAGCGACTCGCTCACTCATCTGTGCAAATCTCATTTTCGCAGCAGCTGCTCCTGTTTTTGCAATTTCCTTTTCGGTTTGCTTCCTTAAAAGAGGCGAAAAAGAGGATGGGGAAGAAAGAGAGAAAAAAAAAAGAGAGACGGAGAGACAGAAAAAGGGGGTTGCTTACGAGGGGGGTTGCAACATCCTTTTATGTCTGGCTTTTTTCTACACAGAAAAAAAGATCAAAGATCATGATATAAACAATATAAAACTTCAAAATAATAGATCTATGATACTTTCACCAAAACAAAGTTTGATCCCAGATATTATCACAAATATCAAATCAAATCCATTTATTCAAATGTTTTCTCCCTGTGTACCTGCGTACGTGTACAAACTCAAACAAGTATGAAAACAATTCGCAGAGCGTTGCAAGATTGACGATCAAAAGGAGTTGTGTGGAAAGTAGTGGAAGACTCGGGACCCCAGCATCCCGTAAAACATCCCGACGTTCTATATATAGAGTGCGACCAGGCATATGTTTTCAAGAAAACGGAGATCGTCAATGTCCGTGGTACTGGAATTCATTAAACAAGCTGGAGAAGAATCATCTTGAGGTGCTATATATAGAGCTCCTTTCTCAGAAAAATTAGCACCGAGAACGAAGGCCTTCAAAGATCTAAAAGATCGTAAAAATTTCCCAAGGAAGTGCCATATTAAAGACAACCATAAAAGAAGTTATTTCGAGGAAGTATAATGTTATAATCAAGTGAAAAACCCCAATAAATTTCACACAAGTACAAAATACAAAGTATTATGAATGATCTGTCAACAGGATTTAAAAGATTTGTGGTTTTTTATTCGAATCAAAAGCATTAGAAAACAATTCCATAATGTGTATGATTGTTTAATTTTCCAAAAACAGAACATTTCACAACTGTCTAAAGGCCTAGAAATTATACTAGCCATTTAATGTTCTTCGAATTTCTCGTTGAACATATATTTTCATATTATTCAATTGACCTATGAGACCTCTTGAACATTTTTATGTGCCCAGCTTTGCTTTTAAAACCGATCATTAAATGATTAATTTGACAAACATAAAAAGTACATTGACTTATCTTAAAGTGATCTTCCCCGCATTCTAATGAGCCGAAAATCTATCTTAGGAAACATTTAAATGCCTATTCATAGAGCACTTGACTATTTCCCCTCATCCGTATGTCTACCGATCGCAGAAGATCATGTTCAGAGCTCTGAGTTGGGACTATAATGAGCTGAAAACACGGGTGTAAGAGGGTTCTAGAGCGGATCGCAATGACTCAATGCCGAATGTTCGGGTTTATTGTGAAATTACTTCCCTTCTGGCCACATTCCAATCTTGGTCACATCGATTCTGAAGTTACGGGTATATGTACATATATACATATATCGGTCCAAAACGAGAAAACCCGCTTGGCTTTCAATTACCAAGTCGTGGGCTTGGCTTGGCTTGGCTTTTTTTGTGTTGGCCAGTTGGGTGGTGGTGCTGGTATACTTGATCGGTTGACAATGCTCCCGCTCTCTCTTCCCAAAGATTCTCGAGTCCAAGAAGCAGTAGGAGAAACGCAGAAAGAAGTTGAATGCCCTCGTTTTGGTTTGGAGTTGCCCACTTCAAAGAACATTAAGGAACTTTAAAACACCCTCGAAGATTTGATAACAAATTTGGGAGCACAAGATTTCCCAGTGGTATAATTGAGTTTAGGTTGTCAATTATGATTATTTTTTTATTTTAGGGGTTTTTACTTTTATCAGCAAACCCATAAATCTTCAGTCATTATGATTGTGGCTTGATGCATTTTTTTAATTCTGGCTTGATAAGCCTAATTTTCTTATAATTATAATAAACTGTGTTCTCGAGGTTTCTTAAAATTGTACAATTCAATGGCATTGGATAATAATTTTTTTACTACTTACTTAATTTAAGAGTAAACGGCTTAAGAAAAACCAATAAACCTCCGCACATAGATTTTAGATTTCTTATTCCTACATTTTGTTTAAAATGTATAACACCCATTAATAAGAAAATTATTTGTGTTGACCATTGTAAAGATAATGTTCATTTGAAACGAAGACGAAAATAGATGTAGATACAAAATCTTGTAATTTCCATATAAAATGCAACTTTCTTTCAAAAATCTCTATACCCGATTGGGTGAGTGTACTGTAAAACAACCTAAGAAAGCATACCAAAAAATGCCAACACAAGCCATAAACTTGGGAGACAAAGCAGAGGAACAAAGAGCGAAGAGCTGCTTTTGTATCTGTATCTGAAACTCTGGCTCTATGTGAGCCCGTTTGTTTGTTTTTATGCTCTACGCGTCACGTACTGAGTGCCTTTTACCTGTTGCTGGCTGCACAACAAGTTTCAGGTGGGGTCAAAGCCGATAACCGATGGGCCCGGCGATAGCTCTACCCGATTAGCGATTGCCAGGGCGCCCGCCAAGGATATATGATATAAATCTAGCCCTAGAGACTCTAGCCCTGTTACCTGGCAACCGGTTCTGCCAATAACAAACAACAGTGGCTAAGGTGAGAGAGCCAAGTCAGCGTCAGTGATGCCACAAGCATTTAATAGCTTACTACATTTAGTCCAATCTCAACAGTTTTGGTTCGTTTGTTTTTTAAAAATCCTGAATAGATTGTTTAAAAATTACGTTGGTATTTTTAAGCTTTACAGATCTGTACTTCTTGGATATTATAATTTTTGGGTAGATATCTTAGTATTTTTAGCGTTGTGTCTTAAAGACCATTTGAAGCCATTTAAACCAAATTTTAGAATTTAATAGTTAACTGACCTAACGTTAACTGGCCAGATCTCGCTTTAATTTTATTCATAATTCCGAATTAAGCTATCTTGAGTTTCGGAAAGTTACATTTTTCATAATTAAGCCTGGTTTTCAGAGCACCTATATAAATATCAATAAAAATACCTAAAAATGTTTTGTGTGACCTATGTTGACCTCTGGAACTGGCTAGATCTGGCTTGGAAATCGCTAAGAAAATCTCGCAGCTCATCGCTCCCTCTCTCCATGACGCTCTCTTTTTGGCCAGCGAAACGAGCGGGAACGGAGTCGCTGCGGCGTTTCAGTTCCAGTATAAACTTGGCATTTGCTGACGACGCTGACTTGACTGCTTGTTTTGCCTCGAAATATTGGTGTGACGTAACCATGTGGCACGCCCACTACGGATGGCTTGTAAGCCTGGCTTTCAGCGTTATCTTCCTGATGAGCCTGCAGGTGCTAACGGTATCTGGGATCGAGTGCTACGTCTGCGACACGAGCGATACGGAGCATCCGTTCCAGTGTGGCGAGTGGTTCGAGCGGTACGACGAGCCCGACATCCAGCCCCAAAACTGTTCCAGTGTCCATGGGGCGCAGTTCTGTGTGAAGCACGTGGGACGCTTTGAGGGCGGAATCGGCGCGAAACGATTCTGCAGCTCCAAGGACATGGGAAACTATTGTGACTATGTGCGAAATAAGGGCGATCGCATGGACTATCGCAGTTGTATTTACACTTGTGATACCGACGGTTGCAATGCCGCTGGAAGGCTGGAACTGGAATGGGGTGTGGCAGCGGCCCTACTAACACTCACCTGGCTCTTACGATGCTGACAGACGAGAGAGAATTAAAGCCGCATCTCAACTTTATTTTTTTTGTTAATTGTAAGATGTAACAAAGTAACTGAATCACAAACACACACTGTAGTATAGAGATAATTAAAGAACACAAAACCAAAACCAAAAAATTATAAACAAAAATCGAGAAAAAACAATGTTTTTGTATTCACGGGAGCAAGTTGGAAGTGAAACGACAACTGAGCGGGGAACTTGTGGCAGTGGAACATCAGGTAAATCAGATACAGATCGATTCTCGCTCTCTCTTTTGCTCTCTCTTTTTAAGCCACGCTTGCGCAATTTGAGAGCGATCCAAAATGATTACTGAATTTAGACAAATCATATATACCCTAAAAAAAAGGAACAACAAAACGAATATAACCAAGAATTTAAACGGCTTATTATTTAAAAAGGTCTTATTTTAGAAATGTTGTATGTTTGTAAGTTTTATATGAATTAACAATAACTATAAAGAAAATTATTGTTTATATTCTTATAATATAAACAACGTCCAAATTTTTGAACTAATTTTTGGTCTGAATTGAAATGATAAGATTGTAAATTAATTGATTGTTTTAATAAAAGTGGATGCCACAGGGTAAGGTAAGTTGATCAGAGAAGTGTCACTGGGAAATTTCAAAATCATTTAAAGAAAACGTTAGGCATCGAATCTCGATCCAATTTTAATTGGCCACACCCTAAAATGGTACAACCCCCGATGTCTTCTAGTCCCAAATGACACCTTGAGTAGTTCGATCGGTGACACAGTTTTGTGAAGTCTAAATTCCCAGGGCGATGCGGAGACCGCCTTTTTGAAAGCCGACGACGATCTGGTGACCTCCGATCGAACGGCGAACGCAATCAATCGGAATTGGATTTGACATTCCTCCATTTGGCAATTGAACGAGATCATTTAAGCCAGCTCAATTTGCGGCTGATTGATTAAGCTCAAAGAGAGCGCAACCTGGGGCTAAAAAACATATGTATACTCCCGCTAAAAGACGGACGGACAGGTCAACGGACGGACAGTTGCGTAATTGCTTAAATTGAAAGTGCCTTGAGGCGCTATCATTGGGCATGCGACACTAATTCGAGCTGGCCACCGATCTCGGTGACAGCCACGCCCCAAAAAAGGGGCTGAAAAAACAAGAATAAGAAAGGGTGAAGACATGGTATTCACAAAAAAATGGGATCAAATATCAAACGAATATGTGGGAAAATCACTCCCCAAAATAAATTTAGATTTATTACACTACATTATCTCAGAATATATAGTCGTTTCATCTTATTAAATCTCAACTGGTACTGAAAATCTTACTATCCCAGCATTATAATTTCTATGAAGCAATATAAACTTTAAATTAATTTCACAAACTTGATTGATTATTAATCGCTATGTTTCATAAGTAAAATATAATCACAGTGACACCTTTTTGATGATTTTTTGTCTATATATATAGAAAGTCCCAACAGCTGAATTCAGACCTTTTTGTAAACATATTTAATCACATCGTGTCGAGTCTTTATCAGCATTTCAACTGTCACATTTGCCCTGTCTTCTATCAGTTGTTCTCCCCCCTCACCACGTCTTTGCCACGTTTATTTAAAGATGGAAAAAAGTAGAAATAAAATAATTCGTTTTTTTTTTTAGCTCAAACATCGATAGGAACGAAGGTTGATTGAGAGGTGTTATGGTGTTAAATGGGATGGAATCATATGAGTGACATTTCAAATGTATTCAAAGTGATGGGTGTGTTAACTCTTCAGACTAGACTTTATGTTTAAGGTATATTTATTATTGAACTATGATGTCAAAGAACTGTAATCTCACGATTTTGATTGCGCAATGTAAAATAAAGACTCATGTGACTGTATTTTTATACATAGTGAGTTCAACCCCATGTCATTATCAATTTTGTACCATTAAAAAGATTTAAAGGCTTAGGTCAACCACATTTCCACTGATGGCAAATATTTGTAATCAGACATGTAAAAGATTTTGGGATTATGAAGTTTGGATCTTTAATACGTAGATCTGCATACCAGATGTTCAAGGTCAATGTGAAAGATCAGAAAATCTAAATAAATACATATAAGCAAAGCAGACTCATTTGGAAAATTCTCGTAAATTTCCAACAATTTCGAAACGTGTGCCACATGCTGCATTCAAAAACAGAAGGAGGTGGAGGAAGAAGGAATGACAGAGAAACAGAGGCGAAAAAGAGGGAAAGGAAGAGAGAATAATGTGGATAATATGGAACAACCCCCAAACAACAATCTGGTCAACCCTGAAATTTTAAACTGCTTCCTGGAAAATCCGCTCTCGCCAGGCTGCTGCGTCATTATCCTTTGGGGGTGGATCTCTCCCACCCAAAAAGAGCGAGTGAGAGAGAGAGAGAGAGAGAGCTAAATCCAGAGAGCCCGAGAGAGCCAGGTCCTTTGTTCCTGCTTCCTGATTCCTGTTCTCGATTCGCAACAAAGGAACATCAACTCAAAATCCGAACTCAAAAACCCAACTCAACTCGAACTGACCTACGCGTGAAAATATTTGCGTCGCCATTCGCGGAAGCCCAAGGATTCCAAAAGATGACGACACAAAGGACACAAAGAACGGAAATTTTCCTACGCGGAAAACGAAATTTGCAACGACGAAGGTCGTTCACTTGTGAACTTATTTTCCTGGGGGAGGATTCCTTCAACCAAAAACGATTCAATATTGCGTGTCATTTAAATTCCCATATTCCTTATCATTAATGTGGACTTACATATTTATTATAATTATCCTGCAGTTATAATAAAAATTTTATAAATTGTGCTACAATTTATGAGAACCAAAAATACTTGACAAAAACAATTCCCATCCCAATTATCTCAAAGACCCAATCACGTGGTAGGAAGTTACGATAAAAACTGTACCCAAAATTTGAAAAGCAAATGAGGCCCGGTTGAACTTCTCTAAATTCCTAATAAATCGCCATAAATTGCGACTTGTCTCATATAATTGGGAGGCCAGCCAGTCGGCCCTACGATGTCTAAACACCACCCCCCTAAAAAAAAAGGACCCCCTTTTCTACGACGTACAGCGGTGTCTGCTAATCCGCACAAATTAAATGCAATTGAAATAAATTTGCATGCCAAGAGATTGGCAAATAAATGTATGCAACAAGTGTCCCAATTGCATATAATTTATTGGCAACAAATTCCGGGCAAGGCACGGGGCATAATAAAGCTCTCGAAGGCACCCAATTCGCAACCCCATCTTTAGGTCTGGAATTCCCAGGCAGCTGCAAAAGTTCAAAAGTGTTAATTGTCGCATCAATTTGGATAATTGAAGGTATCCGCAGGGTGGTCTAGACTTTTGTTTGAAATGGAATGGGGAATACCTCTATCAGTTACAATGGTAAATGTATTTTAATTTATCTGTGGAAAATCTATATCCCAAGAAATATCCTCCAACTGATATACCATATTTGATCTAAGTTAGGTATTATCTTTAACAAGAAAGGAAGCAAACTTAGAAGTATTTACACAAATTAAATTTATAAAACCACCGTATTAACAACGACTATAAAAACAATAAAGATATGTGTGAAAAACCAGTCCCCTGGTGATGCATGAATATATATCCTTTATAGAGTTTGAAATATATATTGACTGAATACATAATACCCTCTGAAAGGGTATAAAAATTAACCGTATTATCTTCCCCTACCAAATTTCACCTCCTTTCCACGCACACCTTTACATCCAAACGTATCCAAACGAACCGATCTCCAACTCTCCCAAAAACACAGACAACAGAGCAAGTAAGTCACAAGGAAAAAATAATACTTGACATACCCAAACGAGAAGCAGACACGGCCAAAAGTCCATTTCGATCTCCAAATTCGATCTCATAAATGTTAACGGTCATTCACCAGAGAGGGGTAGAAACAACAATGGCCACTGCAACATTCACTAAAAAAAGGAAAACAAAATCAAAAAAAAAAGGGGAGATATATCTTCAGGCTCAAGTCGAATAGTTGAATATACTGTTTTTAAATTTTTAAAAATGGTATTTTCTTATAAAAACGTTTTTACAGAATAAGAAACTGATCAGGTTAATAGTGAAAATACATTGTGTAACTTATGTAATTTATTATTATTATTGTAATAAGACTATATTATTTAAAAAACCTATGGTTTTAATGGAACTAAATGGATTGCTGAAATTTAATTATTACAATTTAAAAAGATATTTTTTCAAATAATTTTTAATGGTTAATTATCATATTATGAAAGAGATATGGGGATAAGGTGTGGAAACCCTCTACCCTTTAAAACTGAAACAAACGTTAACCGATAAGGTAACAACTCCGACAACCGAAGAGCAATCGCAGAGTGAGCTAAGCACGTTATTTATTATTTGATGTATTCGAGAGTTGGCTTTTTCTGCTTTGTTGGGGTTTTACGCCAGCCAAACGAAAGAAATCACTTGATATGCAAGCGGCGATCGGATCGAAAAGAACACAACCAAATAGAATAAAACAGAACAGCCCCAAATCGAGTTGAGTCTGACCAAAAACAAAAAAAGAGTGGAGATCTCGCGACAGAGGCGACAAGAAATAAACCTGATCGGTCCAAAGTGGAGACCCCTTCTTCTGCCAGCAAATATGTTCTATACATATGTACGCTTCGAAAGTTGAACTTTTGTTAGACTCAATTCGATCCAAGCCGGTTGGCATTGACCGCAAACTATCAAAGCGAAATCTTGTCGGCTAATCAATGGGGATTCGGATTCCGATTCGGATTCAGATTCAGATTGAGATTCAGATGCGAATGGTGGCTACCGCTTTTGGTGGCACTCAGGTGTCATAACTAGCTTGCCATTACACCTCGAAGCGAAGTGGCGCAAGATGTGCCACTCCGATTTGGCAACAGTTGCCAAAATTGAGTGCCAAATGTGTCGGCCAAAAGCTTCTCGTACTAATTGATTGCTAAAGACAGTCGAAATGAAAATCGCTCCAAATATGGACTTGGTTATGACGGAGCGGCATGTGTAAATGTCTTTATGCGGTTCGTGGCGAGGCACGAAATATTGTCTCTTGATTCTTGGCACAAATCGTTATCTATGACGTGTAGTTTTTAAAATGGTTTATCATGGATGACGGTGTTTTTTCCACATTTAAATATTTATATAACTCTTGGTATCTCTACGCACATCCACTGGTGGTGTGTCATTCCCTCAAAGGTCTTAACGTTTAATACTAAATAAAGAGTAAAAGAACAAATTTGCCTATCAGTTCCTAGAAAATGCATTGCTTATTGCAGCTGCGACAAGAAACGTGAATAAATGTTTTCCCTTTAAAAAAAATTATAAGTAATTAGAAAGGCGAACCGTTTTGAGGAAAGTTACCATATGATTTTGATTTTATGATCTACAATCAAAACATTTTTTTAAGTTTCTTGGCGTAGCTAAAAAAGATAAAACTTGGCAGTGTTTAAAAATTGTAAAGGGGATTATAGCATTTTTATATTTTGGCTGTACTACCAGAAACTGCTGGTGATATCTCAGGATCTTTTCATCGGAAACCATTAAAATTTCACGTTAGCCTGTAAAAAATGATTTTCTTTAGGTTGCACTTACTCATCTCGGGGGTTTCGGTTTATGTTGTTTGGAAAACGGTCAATATCTCGGGATCTCCCTATGAATGTCCATTGAAGTTTCCCATTGGCAGGCCAGAGACTATGACCCATCCACGCAGCTTGGCGGTTTCACTGGGTTCGGCCCGACAGCTCCGAAACAAGCACTTTCGAAACCGCAGCTGATCACTCTAACTGGGTCACCCAACCGCAGTCACCACTCGGCACAAACTGTCGGCCACGCCCACACACTCCGCACGCGCCCCCCGCCAAAGGTGTCTGGTCGGTTTTGGATTTTTTTCTCCATTTTTTACCCATTTTTTTAAATACCAAACACCAAATTACTGTTTTGCTGTCAGCCATTTTGAGATTTTTTTTGTTTGGTTTTATTGTGCCCCCAAAAACCTGTTGCTTTTAACCGAAATAAAACAAAGCCGACTCTCTTAAAAAATAAATATATTTAAAATGAAATGATCATATAAAAAAAAACAGGTGTAAACAAGACAAAAGCTCAAATAATTAATTGCCTAGCGTTAATTGAAATGCATAAATTAAACAGGTAGTTTGGCCATCTCCGAAGTCGTTGGCCCTTGTACGCCCAAAGAGGGCGTGACTGCGCCCGAAGTGGGCGTGGCAGGATGTCGGAGGTGTAAAAGGGGTGAGTCCACCGTATCCAGACTACTGATGTCAGGATATCGAGACTTTGAGGCCGCGGGCGGTGCCTCTCGATAGGCATTGATATCGTTGTCGTGGTCGGGATTTGGGAACTCACTGGCCAGATGATAGATGACCTTCTTGAACAGGAACTCCGAGAGATTGGTGCGCAGGAAGAAGAGGAACATCCAGTTGGAGAAGTTGCACTTGTCAATTACCGCCGACAGTTCGTTATCGTCCAGTCGACCGGGCTTTGCCCAATATAGAGACCATCGCGTGAAGGTGACACTGACATTTGAATGGTGGGATAGAAGGGTTATCAGATAGCTCACAAAAGTCCCAACCCAATATCCACTTACTTTCTGTAGAAGAAGAGGGTCAAGAGCCTCCAGACCAATCCCAAAACAGTAACCACGAGCAGAAAGGAGTACCAGAACCATAGGATGGTATAGATCTTCTCGTTCATAATGTTCAACGCCATCACACAGAGAGTGTCGTGATCCTGTATGGAGCCGGAAGCACCAAATTTGTGGAACCTGCACTTGGTGACCTTGGGAAAGACTATGTCCAGGATGCTCAGTTCATCGGACCATCGGTTTTTGAGGGCCTTTGGTCCCAGGGATAGAAATTGTCCGCCCAAAAATCGATTTGTCCAGGTAATCTGCAGCAGTAGATTCACCAGATTGAGGACTTCTGCAAAGACCAAGTGCGCACCCCACGACTGATTCAAACGCATCCTGTCGATCATCGTGCGTCGAATGTCCTTGATGCGCTCCTCCGCCTCCGCCATCGATGGGATATTCAGCTTGCCGATCCGCAGGCTGTCGTTCTTCAAATACCTGGTCAGACCCACCATCCGAAGGCCGAAGACCAGGGCCTTCACCCTGCCGCCCTCCCACTTCTTCCACAGGAAGTGCGGCACGTAGAAGCAGAGGGCCTGGAAGAACAGGACGAAGGGCACCCACTGGTAGTAGGCATGCCGCTTGATCGTGTCCTTATCGGGATCGTAATGTCCTATTCCGGGGGGTTCGCTTCCCGGTCGAAAGGCCGTGTGGTTCTGATCGCGTACCTAATGGGAAGTTTAAAATACTATGTATCACTGTACTAATATTTAATCATATAAGCCCTATATTATCTATGTTAAGATAATTACTGTGTTTAACTTTCAAAAATGTTTCCCTAAATATCTTAAGCCTCATTGTTTGAGATATTTGGTTTTACAAAACGACTATATGTTTACACTAAAATATACAAGTGTATTCGTTTTTGGCACCTGGTTAAAAATATACATCTACCGACATTATAAATATATAAATAAATCAGTCACTTAATCATAACAGAAACTGATACTATATAGATTCCAACTAAGCAATGAAATCGGCGCCTTTTACTTTTACCTGTAAGTACTAAGGTATCCTAACCTGCTTATGGGTTTATTATTATCATTAACTGGTGACCTCGATTGTTAATTTTGGTGACCCATTGATACCCGACATTAATCAACTAAGCAAATGATCGAAGAACTTTGCTTGGGAGATTTTTACTTAAGCTTAACGTTTAAAGGTTAATTAGTATTATAATTATATAGTGACCTCAATTGATATTGATATTGACCCGTTAGACTCACAACTGTAAATCACGGAATTAAGTTATTTGAGATCTGATAGCCCTTATTGGTTTAAGAAAGTAAAGTAGTAGTAGTAGTGACCCCAGTGACCCCATTGACCCCAGTGACCCCTTGGTGACCCCACACTGAGCCCTTGCACTTACCACTGTGAAGGTGGGCGTGAAGAAGCAGAAGGTGTTTATGACCGGGGCAATGACGCCGTCGGATATGCACTGGATATGCTCCCCGATATACTGACGTGATGTGATCAGCAGGGTGGCCACCAGGAGCATCACGAAGGTCCATCGATAGTGCAGCTTGAACACTATGTTATCGATGACCACCCGCGTGAGATCGAACTTGAGGTACTGCCTCACCGAACTAAAGGTATTCAGCATTGTAGCGCCTCCCTTATCTTCGGTTTTGGTTTTGGTTTTGTTTCTGGTTCTGGCCCCGTTCCGATTTCGTGCTGGTTACGGTGGTTTCGGTTAGGTGGCGATTACAAATGGGTTTGGGTGTTGGGTTCCGGTGTCGGTTGGATTTGTGCGCTCCGCTTGCCGCGGCTAGCTCCTCGTAACTGCAAGGCTCGCGGCTCGAGACTCTGCTCCGGGTCTCCGGGTCTCCGAATCTGCGGCCTCCGGGCCCGATCTCCATTCTCCGCTCCTCGGAGAGGCCGTTCTGGCCCCTTATCGAGTGCTCTTTCTGGCCAGGAGAGCCCTCCACAACCGATAAGATAATGCCGTCGGGCCGAAATGCACGGAAATGCCGAATCAGCAATTAAATTGAGTTTAATTCAGAGTTGTCCAAGAAAAGAGTAAGTGATATATGAGAACCTACTAGCGTGCAATACACTAAGAAAGATTTTTGGTGAAAGTGAAAGACATCTTTGCGAAATTAGTTTTCCAATTTTTTTGGTTATATAATATACAAGTTGCTTTTAGATAACCATAATCCTTGTGAACCAAATTTAAGTTTCCCTAATTGACCATTTCTTTTTTCCCAGTGCACGCGAGAGACTCTCTTGAAACCCAAGAAAACCCCAAAAGTTTTTCGGTTAATTTTCAGATTTCGCCCACTTGGGAGATTCGGCATGCAATCGGTTCGTGAAAACACCGAATAGAAACGGGTCGAAACCCTAAAGTTCTCAAGGGTTCCCACAAAAGCGAGAAAGAGCAACGGAGAGAAAGAGAGAGAAGAGCGAAGAAAATATAGAAATTAGAACATTTGCTCGGGGTTTACTTAATCGATTTAGGCCAGGTGTGTGGGTGAGTAATTCCAGACCAATCTAAATTAAAGATCCAAGAGCGTAAAAAATAATGAACATGAGTGATCCAAATAAACAATCACAAGAAAAATGAATCAGTAGGAGAAAATATCTATGACTCAGGAGATTCGGGATTTAATTGATATAAGCACAATACATTTTATCGAAGAACCTTAAGAAGCTTAATAAATATAGTTAGAACTAATACATTTCATGGTAACAGTTTAGTTAAATAATTCCTTAATTCCAACTAAATCAAAGGAGAATCCAAACAAAGTACTCAAACTATTTTCATTACAAAAATGTATTTAAGATCATAAGAGGCTTGAGTGGCATTCTAGTCCATTTCTAGACCTCTTTTCCTCGTAATCTATAATTGTGGGGTCTTAAAGCGTGCCGCTATCGCCCCAATAGTGATTCAATGCTGTCTATTCTGATGGATGGGACATACTTTGGATAAATATGTGTATATATATTTACAGCTTGATATGTGATGATGTTATTGACCCAGATCAGTGTCAGACAGAATAATGGGGCTATATTTGTAGGGGGTTCTTAAGATGGATTCAGCGCTATCAGGACAAGGTTCTACGCAGGTGGATATTCACCTTCCATCCACCATTATATTTCATTCTTTGGCCCCGACAATCTTATCTTTTAGTCAATCCTCTGAAAAGACAACAAGTCAGGTACCCATTATTTATATATTTTTTTTTTGGCCCCGGAATGCCAACAGAGATCCGTACTATCAGTTGCTAAGTATCTATATCTGTTGCTTATCTAAATAGCGCGACTCGGAATTCGTATTCGGTGCTTATTACTTAAGCGCCTAAGTGGCCGCTCAAACTTTGCCGGATAAGATAGACCAGTTCACATATAGTACACATAGTACATATAGAAGTCGTGCGTAACCAGAGACCCACCGACTATATTAGTAATTGCAACATTTTTAGCCGGTTGACTGCTCGAATTTACCTTTACTAGGGTTTCGCTGGAAATGGCTTTGATTATGGGTCTTTCCTTTTGTTCACCTTTTTCTTTCTTTTGGTTGACGAAAGTTCATTGATTCATATTCGAATATCATACTACGTATCTTTTATTTTATTAACTTATAAAAAGTTTGAGGTACTTGTATGAGTTTTTTGATTTTGCATTGAAATTTAAATAAAGCAAACCGCAATGAAAACGAAATTCGAACCATTCAAGCAAGGCGCTCCACACATTACCCTCGGCTACAGATTCAATTACCATCCATAAGCAATATATATGTATATATGTGCTATACAGACATCGAGATATTGATATATTCGCATTCGTTGCAACAAAATTCTGCTGAAAAAGTGAAAGTGTTTTTTGATACATATTTTGTTTGCGCAATGCAAATGAAATCGTTGATGGATGGCCGTTCTCTAAAAGTAATTTTTAACACGACGCAATTTTAGCTATCTTTTACTTAGCTAATAACTATTATTTATTTTCTATCATCAATTTAATAAAGAATATATTTTTAAAACTAGTTAAGCCCGTTGATCGCTTGATCATAAAATATCAGAGTTTAATGTACGTTCAATTAGTGAAAAGTTGTTGTCCTCCAAAATGGAAATATATTGTTTTTAGGTCAAGTCTTTCCAAATTCAAATCTTAATTACTGTCTGACAAGTGTTTTGACATTTATAGAAGTTTCTCAGTTTCTTTAATTAACCTGATTGCAATTCGATATTTATGCAAATTCAAACTGTTGACAGTAAAAAGCTGTTGTGTATGCGAGAATTTTTATTCTAAACATATCGCACTCAAAGCACGTGATTGTAGCACTTAAAAGTAATTATTTAAAAAAATGTTATTTGTAGAAGTGGCCATCCTTAAATTCCAAACAAAATTATCTTTCCTTAATATGAATATCTTTGTTTTATAAGATGAGTACCTCCTTAAAAATATCTCTCACCTTTGAGTGAAAATCTCTATTAATTATTGACCCCATTTAAATATAATTTCTTTAATATTGCCGCCAATTAACTGATTAGACAAAGTCAAAAGTATTTAAGTATCTACAAGATACTTAGTAGCAAACATTGACATTCGCATTTACATCGCGTTGGAGTAGGCTAACAGAAAATATATATGTATATGTATATCCCACGAGAAAAAAGACGAATAAAAAATCTCGAGAAAGAAGCGCATGCGTAGCTTGATGTATCTTCTTTACACCAGATTGTTTTACGTGACGCATCCGATTTTCGGGGAATTTTCAGATATCTTTATGTTTGATTTCGCATGAAGACGATGACTGAGCTGAGACAATTAAGCATGTGCCAAAGGGAAAATGGCAATCTGAATACACAGAAAACAATTATTGATCAATAACTTAATGTATAAACTGCGATAATTTTATTTTTATTGCGCTACAATGATAACAATACAATTTAACAAAGTTCCAGGCTAAATTAAAAACTGTCTTTGCGATTCTTAGTATTGGGTGAATACATTTTTCCCTGTGATTGTTAGAGATACAGCGACTGTAAACAAAATTGATGACAACCCAATCGGCGATCAACAAACTGTATCTAAATATTTACTCCTCGGGCTGTCTTATCATGTCAGAAGATTTGATTTCCACAAAAAATTAGCCCATTTGTGCCAAATTTGAGATATGTGCCGAGGGGTTGGAACTGCACTGATCCAATCTGATTTATTGGACTCGGTACTGGCGTTAGTGGGCAATTAAGACCTCGGTCTCGCCTCGGTTCGCTGCGGTTTTCTCTGGCTATTTATAGCCCAGACAGTAGTCTTCTCATTTAGGGATATATACATACATATATATATCGGTGTGCGGACATATAGGCTTAATGGTTTTATAACCGATTTTTATTGCCGCTCGCCCGCTTCTCAGGTTGCTTGGCAGACAGTAGCTAATCATTATTGATTGAAGGGGACTCATTGGTGCAGCCTTTACGTTTTCGTTGCGAAAATAATTTACATCTTTCCTGGGGCCTTATTTTTTGTGTTCCAACCCCTGATCAGCGAAATTACCTTGTCAACTAAGTTATGATGTTTTTGAAGAACATTGATCATGTTTATTACTACTTATTTTGTTTACTTTGTGACTTAAGGTATTAAATACCAAATTAATTATAAAATTATACCCGTTTCTACAAATTTATATAACGTTTTGATGAATTTTTGAATTTTAGCTATAGCAATCACAAAATAAAAAATAAACTAATGTAGTTAGTTTTTGGTTATAGAATTGTATACCCTTTTCATTAATAATGTGTTTTGTTTTTACCTTGCAGAGGGAATTATTTGCAACTCAGTTAAGGTTTTAATTTTTTTAAAAATCGGACGACTATATCCTATAGCTGCCAAAGGAACAATTAAAAAAAGTATTGGGAAATCGACATAGCTTCATCATTTTCAAAAATATATATCTTTTGTTTTTGTAATAGCAACAAGGGTGTAACTTGGTCTTGCGTTCTTTTTTGTTAGAAAATTGAAGCAAAAAAAAAAGTGTGTACTACCTGAACCAAGCATACGATTATTTAACACTTCTCAATGTTTTTCGAATGTAATAACTTAGTCCAGTTTTTGGTTAATAAGCCTTGAACAGTATCTATATACATATGAAATACCTCCACTTCGAATGTCTGCCAGTGGGACCTTCAGACATCCCCAATATCAGCCCAGATCTACGATGTTATAACAGCTATGGCAACCAAGCAGTTCCCATGACAAATGTTCTATTCCTTATCAGCTTCTGAAACTAGCCGAGTATTGCCACATCTAGACTGTTTTAATTATTTTGTACAATCGAATACACGCACTTGAGAGCAATATTAGTTAGTACTTTATATAGGGTCATTATTATATACATATGTATGCATTTGTACCTCTGTATATATGGTATATACACCTGATAAGCCAGTGTGTGCCTGGATTGAAACGTTTAATTTACAATTGAGATAGTTTCAAGGGACTCGAAAACGATGGCTCCGAATTTATGGGCAGAGAACAGGTAAAAGAAGAATGTCGAACCTGAAGAGGGGGACGGCAGAACACGACAGATAGAGAGAGCGGGAAAGAAGAACGAGTGTAACAGGTAGTCGCGTTTTCGTTCGTTTGTTCCTATTTCAAGGCTCTCTTTTCTTTTCTCTCCGCAGAAGGGCATGAAAAATCCCGCTAAATTGTTTGTTTCCCCTATACCTGAAACTCAGGTAAATTCTGGTACGCCGGTAATGGTTGGAAATTCATCAGGTATATAGAGGTTTGCAGGTATAGAAATGCAGTGAAAGCAAAGAGTTCCAGCATTTTTCATATATTTCCTTTGTGTTCCCTCTTTCACTCGCCTCTTTGTGCTTTGTTGTACTTCTTCGTTTATGTTGGTGGTGCAGCAGCAGCTCCCATCTAAAAACACTCCAGCATCTACAAATACAACAACACAACGGGTTCCAAGAACTTGTCGCCTCCACATACAAACACAAGTGGAGCTCCAATATGGCAGATTCCAAGTTAAAAGTTTGAGGGGATGCGGGCGGGGTTGTGTCCCATCGGGGGTTAAATGCATCGACAGACTCATGAGAGTCGGCGTTGCCAGATGACATTAAAATTAAATCATAAATCTTGGGGCTTAACCCCAGAAGGTTTGCAACATTTTAAATTAATAATAAGAACACAAATTTCTATTTGAACATTTTTTTTTAAATTCTGAGGCTTATGCAAATGTTTTAGGTAATTTATTAATTTAAGTGAAAGTCTCAATTCAACAGGGTTTAAATAATTGTAACTTAACGGTCCTAGTCAGACTAAGGTTCGAGAAGTTTGTTTTTAATTTTCGGAATATATATTGAGGTTGTCTAAAACAAACTAAATGTTTTGGCTTATCGAAAAAAATTGTTATTTAAACGTATAGAGCCCTGTGATTTATAAGAATAAAATTCTAGCTTGCGGTTGTAAAGTTTTTAAAGAGTTAAGTACAATTTCTACTGATATAAGACTTCAAAATATATTTCTTCTTGTCTTATCTTTAAAGACCCGTAAAAAGGTTCGAAATCAAACTAATCTAGGGTTAATAGCGGATAAGGCTGCCAGATGTTCAATGTTACCTTGCTTACACAGGGCCCAAAGTGCATCAAGGAGGAGAAAAAATGGAGTGTTTTAGAAAACTGAAAGAAAATTAAACTATGGTAAATAATTACGGTGGTTTTACTTTTTTTTGACAATATTCTTGCAGCATCACTGAGTAAGTCTTTTTCTCCGGGATTTGGAAATGTTACCCTTTTGGTTTTTGGTCCACCGATTCAGCCATTCCATTCGAGAGAGCGGAGCACGAGTGCGGAGAGCCGAGAGAGGTTTAACAAATAAAATAAAGTATAATTTTTTTCAACAAGATCCACCCCAAAGAAAGAGCGCCGCTCTCTCTCTCTCTCCTCGGGCTCTCTCGCGCGACGGCGTTTAACGGAGCCAAGCGACTTGGGCTCAACGAAAAGCCGAACAGTTTGAATTTTCTATCCGAAGAGTGCGCTTAGTGCCGCTGCTGCGACGGCGTTTAAACTTCCACCTGGGTAACCGTCGCCCCCGCCGCTCCCAAAATTAGTTGTTTTTGTTGTCGCGTTGAGAGCGCGAAACGAAACGAAAAGAAACCGAACTCTCGAACCGAACCGAAGCCGAAGCTCTCTGGGGGATCCGAAACGGAGATCCAGTGCCAAACCAAATCCCACGTAACACTCTTTCCGATAGTTACTACTATCTTTTTTTTTCGTGTGCATTCTTGAAACAGAAACTGAAGAGTAATGGTGGCCGACGTGTGAGGAACCCGAAAAGAAAACATCATCAGGAAAAATTCGAAACATCAAGAGTTATCTCCGAGGAGAAGTAGTACCCTCCTAGTTATATCCAGATAAATCGTTTATAGCAAACAGACAGGATGTTTGATGTCTTTGGGTCCGTCAAGGGCCTGCTGAAGATCGACCAGGTGTGCATCGACAACAATGTGTTTCGTATGCACTATAAGGCCACGGTGATCATACTGATCGCCTTCTCCCTGCTGGTGACCTCGCGCCAGTACATCGGTGACCCCATCGATTGCATCGTGGACGAGATCCCGCTGGGCGTAATGGACACATACTGTTGGATCTACTCGACTTTCACCGTACCAGAGAGGCTGACGGGTGTTACCGGTAGGGATGTGGTGCAACCCGGAGTGGGTTCCCATGTGGAGGGCCAGGACGAGGTGAAGTACCACAAGTATTACCAGTGGGTCTGCTTCGTCCTCTTCTTCCAGGCCATCCTGTTCTACGTGCCCCGTTATCTGTGGAAGTCCTGGGAGGGCGGACGCCTCAAGATGCTGGTTATGGACCTGAACAGCCCCATTGTGAACGATGAGTGCAAAAATGATCGCAAGAAGATCCTGGTGGACTACTTCATTGGCAACCTGAATCGCCATAACTTCTACGCCTTCCGATTCTTCGTATGCGAGGCCCTGAACTTTGTGAATGTTATTGGCCAGATCTACTTTGTGGACTTCTTCTTGGACGGCGAGTTCAGCACCTATGGAAGCGATGTTCTCAAGTTCACCGAGCTGGAGCCCGATGACCGTATTGATCCCATGGCACGGGTCTTCCCAAAGGTCACCAAGTGTACGTTCCACAAATACGGTCCCTCCGGCAATGTGCAGAAGTTCGACGGTCTGTGCGTGCTGCCCCTGAACATTGTCAACGAGAAGATCTACGTTTTCCTGTGGTTCTGGTTCATCATCCTGAGCATTCTGTCCGGAATCTCGCTGATCTACAGGATCGCCGTGGTTGCGGGTCCCAAGCTTCGTCATCTTTTGCTGCGAGCCCGTTCCCGTTTGGCCGAAAGCGAGGAGGTCGAACTAGTGGCTAACAAGTGCAACATCGGCGATTGGTTCCTGCTCTATCAGCTGGGCAAGAACATCGATCCACTCATCTACAAGGAGGTGATATCGGACTTGTCCCGCGAAATGGGCGGCGATGAGCATAGCGCCCACAAGCGGCCCTTCGACGCCTAATCAGTGGGCGTGGCCGTGTGCCAGAGTGCCAGTAAGTCTCGTATATATCATCCCAAACTATCCCAAACACTGCCCCATATCATCATCCAGACACTAGTTTTAGTTAGCTTCTAGCTCAAGCCACACTTCCACTCGATGTAAACCTCGATTAAGTCCTAAGATTATACATACGATATACCATTTTTTTTTGGTAGTTAATTAACTTTTTTTTTGACGCTACTTTTTAGAGAAGACCTAACTAATGACAATAAAAAACTATGTTTTTTCCAACACAACAAAGAAACACTTTTCACAGAGCAAGAGAGTTCTCCTGGTCTTGAGCGTAACCGGCTTCGGTGCAAGCGAGACGGCAGCTGCGCACGCGCAACAGCCAGCCATAGCTGCATCCCTTTTACACACATGGTCAACTCGGGAGGGGAAAGAAAGAGAGAGGAAAAAAGTGTGGGGGGAAAACCAGTTTGACCAGCAGTTAGTTAAAGATTGTTGCCAGCAGGGCAAAAGATTCTTTCGGTCTTCTTTTGGCTTGGTATTTCTCTACACAATGCCCTCTAAAATTCCAGACAAAAGGTTGGTTTCATCTCCATACCTTCTTTTCACCGATCTTTAAGTATCACAAAAAAATAGTTCTTTTCAACACTGATTTTGATTGTGCAACACGGATTTGGTTTTTTGTATAGTTCAACATTTATCAGCACTTAGAGACTGTTTAAATGATGATCTATTGGGTCCCATTACCAAAACATATACAAATTAAGAAACAGAATAAGTAAAAGAAGGTTATACAACAACACAAGAACGTTTTTGACAGTTCGAAAAAATTTAAATATTTGTCATTCTATATAGGCTTCCAAGTTAAATTTGGCCCATATGCATATGTCGATTACTATATGGTATAAAAAAGTCCACGCTCCATCACTAGTGATGGTTGGACACCCGAGCTAACAAGCTCATTATTTATTTGTCGTTTCAATGGCCGCAGATTTTCTGAGATTGCCTCGGTCCTAAGACTTGGACGCCCTTACGACCCATGCTGCCACCACTACACAGACACAAAATAATAGTCACATCATTCAATAAGTTTCTATTAAATACCGAAATATTTTTAGATTTCTAAAGTTTTAAAAACATATTTTTCGGTTCAATTTGTTTTGGCTTAAAGATGCTTTCGATACCTTTAAGGTTCTAATCTCCATAAATGTTCCTGTTTTTTTATATTTAAAAGATAGTTGGAAACAATAATACAATGGTATATTTTTTTCAATTGAAATTAATGATTTCTCCATTCTTGTATCAAGCTACAAATTTAAATGGTAGTCTCTGGGATACAGCCTCGTAATTTTTTTCTGTGTGGCTATTCTTTTTGGGACAGAGACATCGGGTGGCGGAGATAAGAAAACAGCTCTCATCGTTCGGGTCTATGTTCGTCGGACTCGAACTCGTAATCAGCGTGGAGTTGAGTTTTACTTTGGCTGTCTTGGGTTGCGTTGCCCAATGTGCAGACATTTCGTTGGGGACTTGACTTGGGACATGCAATGCCAATTAGAAGTTGGGCAACTATGTGACAGTTTCGGGCATGGGCACTTATCTAATCGAAGGGGGAACAGCACCTTTTGATAAGGTGCGAGATACAGATACAGATACGAGATACATAAACGGGCGCAGATGCTGTTGCCGTTGATTGGTGACAAAGTGTTGCAATTAGCACACGTTTTCATTTCTATTTTTACCTCCCCCTTTCCCCGTCCCTCGTAACCCCACCTCAAGATCAGAGATCACAAGATCCAGGCCCCCGTAGATCCGTAGTTTCAATTAATGGCTGGCACACAATTCAAGCGGCCTCGACAGCTTTTGATGATGATCATAATCAACAAATAAGCGCTGGAAATGCTCCTGCTGTTCTCGGTTTTGTATCTCTGTATATACATAGCTATATGTGGTTTATTCGTCTGACCGCCAATTTGAGGTATCAATGAATTAATGAATGGACCGCTCTGTCACACCCAAAACCCACCCACCATCCACTTAGCCACCAAGTTGAATGAAACGACAAACAGACACGCGAAAACTTTGGCTCTCTATTGAATCTTCTTTTTTGTTCGCATTTTGTTGTTATTCTTACCATACACGCACTTAATTTTCAAGTCAGCAACTCATTTCCCAGGCTTTTAATTGCATTAATTGCTTTCAATTAGCGCATAGCGAGCGAGAGTGTCAAACTTGAATCGGGCCAAAAGTGAAACTCAAACGGAAAGTTCACTTATTTCCGATTGAAATGAAAATGCATCGTTTTTAGTTAGACAATGGCGATGATGGGATGATTTATCGCTTCCTTAGCAATTGGAAATTCTCAGGTGATTAGTCTTTAATGCCTGACAGCTGCGAAAATAGGTTTTTGTGGTCAAAATTGAGCGAATCGATAGGAAATTAATTCAGAACAGTTGTCTGGAGTTTGTTATTTTAAATGTCTGATGCACAAAATAAATATTAATTAATTAATTACATTTATTGTATAACAAAATATTAGGCATAAAACCGAATAGTTTATTAAGTAACAAATGTCGGTGGGGATTATTAAAACTAAAGAATGTTTCTGTTTTGTTATATCTTCCTCATTAGATCATGAGATCATTCATGATCTAATGAGCAAGATCTCTAAATTGGTATTATTCATTTCATATTTTAAATATTTAAAATCTGAAGGGTATTTGAATAGATCTTCATTAAAATACAATTAGTTTCAATGTATATTTGATGGCTTGACAATAAGATACCACAGAATATCGTTATATCTAGTGTGGGATATAAAACCTAAATATTTAAAATATTAATGGCAGAGCGCTCAAAAAAGATTCATACCGTATGGGAAACTCATATCTTTATCAAATTCCTGCGAAATCTTATCTGCCACAACCCCCATTTTTGTGAACTTTTATTTTGTCACATAATACTCACCTCTTCAAACGAAAAATATAACTTAATCTTAGGCCATAAAAAGCTACAACAGTCATTGCTTTATAATTAACCCCGAAACGCAGCCCGAAAATATTATTAAATAAAATGATTTCATTCTTCCCATTGCAGTTTCACGCAGCCGAAATTGGGTTAAGACGATGATAAGACGGAGTCGAAAAATGGGGAAATCGGAAAGCGGATGGAGAATATAGGAAGCCGGCAATGTAGATGAGGCCTTTCGAGCTAATGAACACATATCAACGAATTCCATGGTAAAAGACAAAATCGCAAGCAATAACCGATTTGTGTTTACTGTTTTGCGTCAACAACAAGACACGTACAATTACAATAAAGTAACAATAACAATAACAATAAATATAACAAATAACAAATACTAGCCGCAGCCAGAGATGTAAGCTAAGGATGGATTGGTTTCGGATTGGATTTGTTCAACGATCCCGTGACAATCAAATTTTCCATTTGCCAAAACAATGAATTTTCCGTATTGACCAAAATCCCAGAGCCAATCCATCGAAAAGCATTCTGGAAAACCTTTGAAAGAGAGGGGAAAAGACATTTTCAAACTATATATTTTTTTGTGCAGCATCAAACGAATTGAGATATAGATAGATCTATATACATCCATATATATTTTTAATAAGCAATTACACATATATTTATACATAAATATACAGACGGACAGAAAAAAAATATATATTTACGAATGCCACATGCGAGTAATATTTATGCTAAGAGTTGTGATCATTGATTAAGACATCTAAAAAATGCGAAAAATACAAAAAAAAAAGACAAAATAAGCAAAACAATTATTTACACTTAGTAAAGAAAAAACGCCAGCATAATAATACATATTTTATTTCAATTTTTACAATTTTAATTTAGAAATTTTCGCCAGCAAATAATAATTATAATTTCTTTTTTTTTTTTGCATATCTTTGGTAGCATTTATGTAGTTTAGCGCAATTTTTTTTACACACACCCGAACTCATCAATAAAGAAGAGCAACTAAATTTATATATATATATTTTTAGACGTATATATTTTTGTAAAATGAAAATACAAGAAATATACATTTAGCGTTAAGCATAAACATGGAAAAGACAAACAAAAAATGAAAGACTCAAAAGCAATATTTTAAAAAAAGCAATCGAAAATCAAATAAAAGTGTTTGTAACTGTGTGTTTATCCTCGAAGCGATGAACGAGCCAAGCCCTAAGCTAAGTTTCAATTTCAATTCCATATACTTATAAATACTTACATTAAATGAGAATAAAAACACCCAAAACATGATGATCTTTGTTATGATTTACTGTTTGTACTCAAGCCGAACAACTTCATTTCATGCGAAAATAAACAAGAAAATAAAACAAGGAAAATCGAAGCAAACATGGAAAATCTGTCTTATCGGAGGGTTCGGGAAGTTCTTGGGGGCAATGGTAACTATGTGTTCGCCTAAAACAATTACAAACAAACTTATGTGGACACTTCAAAGGTTCGGTTTGTGTACCCACCTTGTAAACTTGGTTTTTTATGACCAGTTTTCTCAAAACTTGTTTACGCCGGACAAACTTTGGAACAAATGGAGCTAATGGTCTTTGACCTTAGGACTCGCCCCAAACCACTTTCTACATATCTTTTTTTTCCCGGTATTCACTTAGGTGCAATATAGTCTTAAGACTCATTCAAAATGTTCAAGAAATTTAAATTTAAGTTTCGTGAAGCCAAATATTAAATACGCTTTTATAATGGTATGAATCTAATAATTTAAACTCTCTTACTTATATTTAATGTCAAATGTTTGCACAGTTTTTATTTTCAATCTAGATAACTTATTCTATTGCAACATAATTTTATAACACTTCAGCACTGATTCATTGCGAATATATGTTCGATAACAATGTTACATAAGACAAAAAAAAATATTAAAGTATAGTTACATTTTCTAAAAATAAAAACTAATGCTGACTCAAAGTTTTCCCTGATTGACCAACAGATGTGTCACCATATCCTGTTTATATCAAATTTCCCTATTGAATTGACGCACGTGCCAAATCGACATTACTTAAGAAATGTTTACAAATAAATGTAGTTTTCTAAGCTTTTCAAGACACGAGTTGACTGTAATATTACAAGGTCCCATTTCCTGTGAAATGAGGCCTTTGTAACGGATACTTTTGTTTTTATTTACTTACCCTTTGACGTGCGGTACGCGATGAGTGTTCTATAAGTTTTTATTTAAAATTGTAATGTAAGATAACTTTAAATTTATTGTATAAATTATTAACAATATAATAATTTGTTAAAAACAAAAGGAAATGTTTATAGCGCCTGATATTTAAAAATCTCAAGTAAACCCTTGTTAGTTAACTTTAAATATTACTTAATAGGGTATCGTAATAATTGAGCTTTTGTTGATTAGCTGATGAAGTAGCTTATTTTCCGCGGAATGCACATAGTAGTTCACTAACATTATACCGTCGTAATCGCGGGGAATCGGTGTATAGGAAACTCAAGTAATTCACTACGTCAACATGCCGCTTGTGCAATATATATGGAAAGTGTGGCAATAGAATGCCGAGAAGATGTTGGGAAAATTAGCATATCAAATTGAGTTAAACGCTGCAATTGGCCTCAATAAATATGTAAATAAATATTACGACATGGTGCGAGGAAAGCGAAATCGGTATGGAATTGCGAATGCGAATGGAAATGGAAATGGCAACGGGTTCAAGGAACTCTCGTCGACACAAATGTCAAAGTTCTGGACTTTAAATTATATTTATTGAATTTAATATGAAATATGAGTGGTTCATCTGGTAATTGATGATACTTTATTTGTGTTTAAATAACAAAGAAAATACGTTGATATAGGAGGATGTTTCAATAAGTCGCTATAAAAAAAAATAAAATATCATAACGATCCACAAGAAACGATTTTAACTGGCTGAACTAATCCAGAATTTCCTGGTCAACATTTGTTTTGCGTTTCCCCTCCTAAATAGTTTCATTTCCCGAATGCAGTCAACTGAACAATCACATATATAGTATAGAATACACACACCTTTGGATGACCTTGCACTTGCAATTGTCAAATTAATTTCGCGCAATTTCCCACAAAAGATTTACAGCATAAACGCCCCCATGCTATCAATTTCAGTGGCGGCCTCTGGTGGCGACTGCGGCAACCGCTTACGTAAGCTCTATTTCACGTAAACCCCTAAATTTCGCTTTAGACACAATTTATTTATTTAAAAAAGTCCACTTTTCGCTCTCAGTCTGTGAATTGTTGACGGTTTTGTCGTCTCTGATTTATTGTTATGGCTGTTTTTTTTTTTGTTTATCTGTTGATTTGCTTTTATTTTGTCGTAATTGTGTCTGGTTTTTGTTTAAGTTCTTTGTGCTTCTTGCTCAATGCGGTAAATTAACTTCAACGGGGCGAAAACAGACTTCCAGTTTGGCCTGTTTTAATTTTTGATTATTTTTTTCTTCGGTTTAAATATGTTATTTATAGTAAACCTATTTACGCGGTGACATAATTTAAATGTAGGCTTTAATTGAAAATTGAAACGAAGTTCCTACAAAACTAATAATGACAAATATCTATACAAATTTTTCTTTCATTGTCTCACCCATCTACGAAAATATTTTCTGTATATCATATCAAGCGACCTCTAACCTCTTATAAATCGATTAATTAAAAACAATTTGTGACACTGGCTAATTAGTCGCCGCACATGAAAAATAAACATATGTACGTGAGTATTGTATCCAGACTTTTTGCATTAGCATATCACAGTTATCGGTTAAAAGAAAAAGACCCCTGCTTTAGTAAACGTAAGCAATTTTCACTGGTATATTTGTTTTTATCGCAAATTGAGGACTTTGTATGCAAATCCTCACGGCTCGATATCTTTGTCATTTCTCTTTTGTTTTGTGACTTTTGAATTTTTCGGGACTTTTGTTTATCGAGCGGTTTTTGTTTTGCAATCAAAAGCGTTAACATCAGTAACTGCATACAACTGAAATATATCGTTCCATAAACACACTTTCGGGTCTTTCGGGATTCAGATTTGTGGTATGATTATGAAATGGATAACCGTTGTGGGTCTGTTTCTGTACTTAGTTCTACTTGGGCCATCGAATGCGGAAGTTTCAATCGTTTTTAATGAGCCTCATCGCAGTGACACAGAAAGTATATTTTGTGGAGGCGTCTTCTTGTCGGCTATACCCTCTAATATTTTGGTTATGCCCGCTTTTTTTTAATAGGAGGCACGTTTTTCCAATAGAAAGAATGTTTATAGTTTAGAGCAAAGACAGATTCAGTTATATTGTATATTGTAACATTTGTATTAAATATTTGGTTCCTTTTTTCGCTTTTAGCCACATCTTTAAATTGTGGCGTTTCAGTTAAATTATAGTTACATTTAAGCTACCTTTCAGTTACATGTTACCAACATTTTGATAACACTTAGTTGAATAACATTCTAGTTACTTTGTTGTTACACTTAAGATACTTTAAAGCAAAATTCAGTTGCTTAGTTAGAAAAAGATAAACTTAAAATGTGCAGAAGAAATTTGTTAAAATTTTTAATAAAATAATTTGCCATATAATGTTAGAAAAAAGGAAATGGAAGACAATAAAAACCAGCTATTTATGGGGAATGTGACTTATATTTTCGATTAATCATATAAATATTCAGAATTAGGGTACCCACATGCAAACACCCATTAGTGCCAACTGTGTGAACATTTCCCGGTGGATCTGTTTTCCATTTTCTGACATATTTCCCCCACCTTCCCCCCAATTTTCTTGCCTCTGTGCGGAGACAATCAACGATTCTAATTAGCCGGCCAGACGGCGAGTGCTTATTAGACATTCAATTGGGGGACGGGGGGTATGGGGTTCGTGCTCTGGTTTATATATAAACTATAGTTTTGAAACCATGTGGGACGATCCAATTGACGCGGCCGGTATTCAACACCTTTCGCAAAGTTGGGCAAACAGCAATCAAAGCAAACAAACAAACAAACAAAGGCGAAAAGCACAAAGCACAAAGCAAAGCAAACAATGCGAACAAGCAATGTTTAAACATTTGCTTAGTGCAGCGGCGACAAGTTGCATAAATTATTATCGAACAGCGAATGCAATTGCACGACCTGCTACACTTCCCCCACCCCCGCCCCACCCCCTGCCCCCCTCTCAATACACGCCCCTGTTTTTCTTTTTCAGGGGGAAAAAGGGGGCGCAACCTTGTTGCGCTAATGACAAATGCCTGTTGCTTGTCTTTCACTCGAATTTTGTTGAGGCCATAGACTCCATTAGCTTCACTGTGCTATTGGATGTTCAGTTATGTCACATGATTGCAGAACCGAAATATAACTAAGACACTATATAATGTAAGAAATATAGGTTTATATTTTGTGATCCACATATGAATACAAAGATCAGAGATATAAGCTCAAAACAATAGCTCAATACAATTGTATAACCCATACAATTTAAAAAAAAAATCACAAAAGTCTTATTTTAATTATAATTTTTGTGATTAACAGTATATTTTATAGAAAGAATTTTTATCCATTTTTGGTCTACCGAACAATAAATATAATCAATTTACTAACTAGTTTATAGTGTAATAACTAAAGATAAGCTTTAGGATGAACAAAAAACGTTACGACGTTCAAGAAATGTTAAAGGGAAATCGATCTGCTTTTTATGTAAATTCAACTCAAAGTGCACCTAACTTATATCACAAACTCACGATAAGCAAACACATATTTTACTACCCCTTTGTAAAGTATTTCACGAAATAGTGTTTTCAAATTTACTTTCAAATTAAACCTCGAGTTGTTCAAACATGTCAATTTCAAAGTAGACCAAATGCAATGCTGCATTTGCATCCATTTAAAAACATTTAGCAAGACGATAATAGTTTAACTGGAGCATACAAGGGTTACCAAACCAGATAGGAAAAAATGTATCGTTCGTATCGATTTAAACAAGTATGAGGGCACGAAATCACGTGCATTCTCGCTTATAGAAGAATTTATGAGGCTTCATCGACACCTCAAGGGGCTCATTAAAAAACACATTCAGGTGCCACAAATCTGTACATGAACTACAACAATTCCAAATGCAATTCAAATTTCCCCAAAGGAATTTAAAGTGTTACTATTGATACCCACGCCCCTGTGATTTATTCTATGTTTCACTAATAATACCACAATTAAAATCACAGCTTTGTCAGTTGGTGTGCAATTTTGGCATTCAAATGTATTTCTTTCCAGTTAAAACTTAGATATTTTGTATAATATTTTTTACTTCAGAAGTGAGGTTAATTAAAAAACCAACGATTTTTCTTTAAAATGGAGCCTTTAATAGGAATGCACATGATGTTAAATCTATAATTTACTAAGAATAGAAAAATCGAAACATTAATAGGAAAAGCTTTGTAATAAGACTTTCCTCGGTCACAAATTGCCAGGGTATTTGAATATTCGATTCCTTGGATCTGCCTTAAATTCTTGATTTTAAATTGCTCTCCCTCGAGCGATGGGAAATGCAAATGAGATGGAAAACGTTTACAATCGAACCGTATGAAATGCGCTATCAATTACGTCGGCTAAATGCCAGCGCATTTCCATTCCCAGGAGGGAAAGAGAGGGCGATAGGGAAGCCCTAGGAGGGAAAAACGAAAGACTTAGGCAACGAACTCTTGTCGCCCGCTGTTAATCAGCGTTTAAAAACGCCCGCTTCGAAATACTTGTTATATGAATAGGGACTCTGGGTTTTGGGGCATGCCGCCATGCTGTGTGGCGAATTGTGCCCCTCACATTTTATCCAAAAGAACTTGCTTAGCTTTTAACGAGTGCTTCCCACGCTTGAAAAATGACTCGCGACTTGCAAGCTGGACCCGAAACCTGAGTTATTTTCTCGATCCATTCGAGGTCCGGATTTTTGGGCCCGGTCAAGAGCTGGCTCTCTGTGTGTGTGTATAACATGTCTAGCCATGGTCGACGTCGCCTTTTGGTGGCGCTTGTTGGCTACCGTTGCACGCCGCGCCCAAAAGCCTAGAAGCTGTCGCTGCTCCGGCTGCAGTGGGTTAAGGAGGGCGCGCGGTGAGGGACTGGGGGCGTGGCAGGGGGCAAACCGGTTACCGGTCTCGGCCACAGACAAAAATGCAGCTAAGGTTGTATAAGGAGTTAACGAGCCAGAAACAGTGGAACCTTTAGCAGTGCTTTTGGTTGCTAATTTATAATAAACTATACATTTGCAATAAATTATATAAAATGACACTCTAAATGTATTGAATATATATTAAATAAACAAATTTTGGAGGTCCTTACAAGAACATGTTAATTGTTAAATATTAAATATCCAATTATTTGAGTATTTTTTAGCGAATCTTCACTTCCCACCATTGTTCACACACATTTATAAACAGATGTATACATACTATTCGTATGCTAAATGCGTTGGCCTGGCAGCAAAATCAAGTTTTGCATTTTCATTTAAATTTATTGGTTTCCTCCGCTAGCTGTTGCCAGGCGCAGTGGATCGAGTTGAGAGGAGTGCAGTGGCTTGGAGTGAAGTTGAGTCGACGCAGATGGAGATGGAGACGGAGCCATTGCCATGCCAAACCACTCGAAAACTTGCAACTTCATTCCCGATCGATTCTCGCATTCTTACTCTTCGAATATGACGACGCCGCCCAAGAACAACGACACGGCGACTACAATTGGAGTTTAACTTTTATGGGAGATATAGATACATAAATGAGATATAGGTAGGGAGATACGGGGGCAAATACACCGAATGACATAAAAACAGTGGAATACACTTAACGTTAGCACTTAATTAAAGCTGGAATCGAAATCGGGATGCTGATTTCGTCTACATTCGCACCTGGAACTTGCCCGCCTTAGTCAGGTATTTAACGCCCTTGAAAGGCTTGTACTTCTCGCCGTACATGTCCAGGCGATTCACCTTCAGCCCGGAGACGGCCAGCTGCGAGATCTGAAACTGGACATTCACGGACGGATTGGCATCAATGTTGGTCGTCCCGGGGGTAATGGAAACCTAATGGGATGTATGGAGAAAAAAATTACTTTAGAGGTGTCTTAAAAATCATTTCAAAATTATTGGTGCCCCAGAAATCTTTTTAAGTCTCCAATTTTTTTGTAAAGTTATATTATCAAATATGTAAACGTTGCCTCTTAAAAAGAAACAAATCATTTTAGAGAAAATCTGAACTATTAATCAAATAAGATTGGTATTTTAATCAATTTAAACATCTGCGACACCAAATTAAAAGAATTTGCCAGCTATCTCATAATATACATACCGATCCCCTAATATTTGGCAGCTTGGACACATCTATGCGGCCCACATCCCAGGACAGAGTCTTGCTCACCGAATCGAAGGTGTACTTGCCCTGATTCGGCGTCAATAGGCAATTAAGTACACACCGCGGCATGGTTAGCTCCAGCTTTACTTTGTCCACGGTGCGTCCCAGGGTATTCCTTGGTCCAATCGTCAGATCCAGACGTCCCTGTTCCCCCGTTTTAATTGAAAAGTTGTGCCGGATGTAGATGGGTATGGCCACCACTGACTGGGAGCTTATGTGGTACGACATCAGGCGGAAGTTACCATCGGGTGGGATGAAGGAGAGTAGGCGCTCCGCCTCCCAGCGCTTAAATCGCACGCAAGGATGGAAGGACACGTCGTCGAAGAGGCGCGGATTCATGAAGGACAATGTGAGATCTGGCATGCCGGATAACTTTATGCAGCAATCGATCTGGAACAGATAATAAAATAATAATCTTAGTAGATATATCATCCAATCTGGAGATCGATAGTGTATATCTCAGGCTCAGACTAAATACAGACAAAAAAATTCTAACTTTAAATGCAGAATTATTCTACTCATCATAACAAAGTTATTTTGAAGTTAGTCTTACATATCCCTGGATCTCCGCAAAGACAGTGGACCCCGATTTATCTATGATGGCGTCTACTTCCTCGATGACATCGAAGTACGCCTCGTTGTTCGTGTATCGTACGCCACTTCTGCGCCAGGGAATCGCTGACAACTGACCCGAGGGCAAGGTGGTGCTGACACTTTGGGAATACAAAATGGGATTAGGAGGCAGCCAGGAGGAGGTTTATCAGAAGACCCACTTGCTCTTGCCCGTCACCGTGTTGGCAATGGTGCGCAGGATGTTCGGCGGCTTGATCAGCTCCTTGAGGATGTTGCTCTCGGTGGCCAGCGGAAAGCCATTGTCCAGCATCTCGTCCAGCAGCTCGTACACGACCACATAGTTGTCTTTGATCACCGACTCGGAACAATCGCCAAAATAGTCCTGGAAAGTGTCTACCACGCGATGGAGGAACTCGATGACGAAGAGCGGGGGCACCTCCTGTTTGCAGGCAGCCACCAACGACACCGTGTCCCTTTGCACCGTAATCAAGTAGTAGTGGGGCGTGGCTATCACCGGCGGCACATCCTGAAATCGATAGGTATAGTCAGTATATAGACAATACGTGGCAGGCGGCTTACATATGGTGCGGCTCGCTGGGCGTCGAGGAAGTATTCGCACACGGATCGCGAGACCACCGAACGCCAGTGCTTTTCCAGGAAGACCTCTCTGTTTGACGGATATAAATAAGGTTACATCGGTTGTATATGCCTTCTGGATGACTGACTTACCCGCCGCTGTTCACTATAAACAGACTGTGTATCATATTTAGGCCCTAAATTGTTTACTATTTAAACGCTATTGTTTTTTTGCAACTCTACGTCTAGGGATGAGTAATTGGAGATGACAGCGTGAGCGCTGGTACTAACACACTCACGTGGCGGGGAACATAAGTGCAAAAACCTTTTTAAATATAAAAGTTTTATGATTTAACCGAATCCCACATGAAATTATAATTATAAATTAAGTTCACATTTTATTAAATTAAAAAAACAATACCAATTTCACTATTTTACTATTAAAAAATACACAAATTATAATAACATGAAAGAAATTCAAGTGCAAGTTTTAATTTATTTTAAGAAACACAAGATATAAATTAAATTTATTTAAAGATTTCTTATTAGTGAATATAATTTAAAGAAGGTATTCAATATTTTATATTAATAACAATTTCTTGTGAGATTTCGTGATTCCAGTACAAAGCACAATTATTACAACAAAAGAAATTTATGTGAAACATTTTAATTTATTTGAAGAAACCAAAGTTAAGAGCTTTAATTTATTTTTTTTTGTATAAGATCAAGAAGGTATGTGTTATGTTGGTAAAGCTGCTGAACAATATTTTATTAAAAAAATATTCATAATAGTTTCTTGTGACATTTCGTAATGCCACCACAAAGCGCACAAGAATAGAACATTTATGATAACAAGAAAGAAATACCAGCGAAAAATGTATGTAAAAATTTATGTAATAGAATTTCAAGAAGATATTTAATATTTTGGTAAAGCTGCTGAACAAAATTTTATTTAAGATAATTATAATATAATAATTATTGGGTACTTTTCGTGTGACCATCACTAAGCGCGCGTCCATTTCACATCTCTAAAAAAACAGCTGATTGCTGAGGTACGAATTGAATTGGAACCTGAGGTAAGTTGTTTGAGTTTCCATTATATTTTGACAATTATTAAATAAACAAACTAACAAAATTGAACATTTTCTATTAAAAGATCTAGTGGACTAACGTACACATATGACGGAGTCATAATATACACACGGCAACCTAGAATTTCGCCTGAAAAAGGGCGGAAAAGACACGAAATTATATAATCGCCGGTTGTAAACACATGAGTCCGTACAGCGGCTCCTCCGTGCGTCGCCTGCTGGACAGTTGGCCCGGAAAGAAGCGCTTCGGTGTGTACCGCTTCCTGCCGCTATTCTTCCTGCTTGGCGCCGGCCTGGAGTTCTCCATGATCAAGTGGACAGTGGGCGAGACCAATTTCTGTGAGAGTCCTTCTGCAAAATTTGCTTTCATCAAGACTTAGTCCCCCCTTTTCCCTTCAGATCGCACATTTAAGCGTCGCCAGGCCAAGAACTACGTGGAAGAGCAGCAGATTTTGCAGGCGAGGTCGAGCAACAGCACAAACTAAAGACAAAATGCCCGCCGGAGTGTCCTGGGGCCAGTACATGAAGTTTCTTGGGTGTGCAATGGCAGCCATGATGGCCGGATCGCAGGCGGTGCATCTGTACTACCGCCCACTGGAGGATCTGCCAACCTACATCGAACAGGAGCAGCACAGCACCAAGGTGGATCCCACAGCCAAGCCACCAGACTCTGCCTGAAACTCTGTAATCAACAAGTTACTGACTACTAAAGTTATTTAAGTGTACATCGGATTTTCTTAAGGAAGGGTTTGTTCACGTTTTTTTTTTTTACCTATCTGCCAATTCTTTCTAATATTCCAATCAAAACATTATTGCAAGCAGTTGATCTCCTCTAAATCGGGGCCTTTTTCAAATCCCACTTCCTTGCTGCGTTTAAGCACTAAACTTTTAGGTAATTGAGTAGAAATATTTCTATTACTGCTTTATAAGCTGTCCAAGATTATTGTCGTTGACCATTATATGTATAAATATTTCTGTCCTTGTCATCTTCATTAAGTTTCATCTCTTAAACAGAGATACAAATTAATGAAACCAAAAGTTTTACAATTTATCAACTGAAATGACGAGATGTTTAACAGACCCCAAAAAGGACCCTTTAGTTGCAAAAACTCAAAGACATGGAAACTTTCGACTAATCACTGTATTTAGGAAACTACTCTTATTAAGACTAGCTAAGACTACTTCTCGTGCACCTTCCTGTGGTTTTTGAGGCACGTCTGCTGTCGGAAGGCCTGTCCGCAGGTGCTGCAAACGTAGGGCTTCTCGCCAGTGTGGATATACTCATGGTGTCTCAAGGTTTTCCTCGAAGCAAAGCTCTCCGAACAGTGGCGACATGCGAAGGGCTTGAGCTTTAGATGGACCGCCCGCACATGGGCCTCTAGTTCGAATCTTCGAGCAAACCGCCTGCCGCAGTGCTCGCAGGGCAACTTGTCGCTAGAGTGCATCAGCATGTGCTGCAGTAGCATGAACTTCTTGGCCATCCGGCGGCCACAGACCTGGCATTCGTGCGGCAGCTCCTCCTGTTCCTCGTGCTGCTGCAAAGTGTGATACTTGAGGGTGTATTGCGAATGGAACTCCTTTTGGCAGATGTCGCAGAAGTGTCGCTCCGCAGCGCCGCCTTCCTTGGCGGCCACCTCGTCCTCCGTGGGATGCTTCGTCTTCAAGTGGTACTTCAGATTCGCTGACTGATTAAAGCTGGCGCCGCACTGCTCGCAGATGAATTTCTTGAGGGAGTCCCTGTCCCTGGGACTGTGCTTCAGTCTTTTGTGCTTTTGCATGGCTATGCGGCTGGTGTAGATCCTCTCGCACCCCGGCTGATCGCAGGGATGACGCCGCTCCTTGGGAGCATGCACCTCCCGAATGTGGGTGTACAGACCGCCCATGAAACTATAGGCCTTTTCGCACTGATCGCACTGGAAGGGTCGCTTGCTGCCCTCGTGTACTTTACGGATGTGGGCCGACAAGGTAATCTGGTGGGCAAAGCTGTGCCGGCACAGGGAGCACTTCAGAGTGTTCCTCGAGCCTCTGGAGGATTTTCGGGCCGGTTTCTCCTGTTTTTCGGCGGGTTCATCGATGGGATCTGGATCGGGATCGGGCTCAGGTGGATCCATACTATGCAGGGATTCTTGCTCTCCCTCCCTGTCCTCGTAGACCACCTCAAAAGTGGGTTCCAGAAAGTCCTTCTTTAGCATTTCCAGAAACTGCTGCCTGCAAACCTCAGCTTTCCGGCGGAACTTTTCGAAATTCTGCACCAACTGCCGGCATTCTGGGCACAGTTCATTAGGCAGCGACTGCTCCATGTCCTGGTTTTCCGTTTCCTTCGAGTCCTGGCTGAGATTTATGTTAAGCAATTGCTGCAGCTCCTGACTGATTGGAATCTCCTCTGATTGGAGCTCTGATTTGATGTCCTCCTTGTCCAGTTGGAGCATGCAGGTGCGACAGAGCCTTCGAGCGGATTCCCTGGTCAGGAGTGGCAGCATTTTACTGGTTATTTAAATAATATTTTAAATATGTTTTTAATTTAATTTAATGCATTATAATCAAATAATATCCCGTTGTATATTTAATGTTGAACTTTAGTTGGTCACACTGCGGTAGAGTATTTTCTAGAGGTGGCCAGAAGTCAAGTCTTCCGATATCGATTACATTTCCCTAACCTATCGGCCATCTGCACAACACCGGCACGTAAATAAAATCAAATAATTTAATATTTCAAGTAAAACACTTATATTCTATTATTTGTTAATATATAAAGGCTTTACCTTGAAAAGCACGTAGCACAGCGGTGAGCACAACGCAAGACACCCAATTGAACGAACGGGGAAGCCGGTGACCGACAGCTGAAGCCCTTTATTTCTGAGTTCTGTTCAGGAATTCGTCGACATGGTGTTCTACTTCAAGAGCAATATTGTCCAGCCGCCGGCGCTGCTTTATATGGGTCGTGATAAGCACGAGAACGAGGAGCTGATCAGATGGGGATGGCCGGAGGACGTGTGGTTCCATGTCCACGACTTGTCCTCGGCCCATGTGTACCTGAGGCTCCGGAAGGGCCAGACCATCGATGACATACCCAGTGACGTCCTGGTCGATGCCGCCCAGCTGTGCAAGGCGAACAGCATTCAGGGCAACAAGGTGAACAATCTGGAGGTGGTCTACACCATGTGGGAGAACCTGAAGAAGACCCCAGACATGGAGCCCGGCCAGGTGGCCTATCACGACGAGAAGGCGGTGCGTCGCATCCGTTTGGAGAAGCGCATCAATGAGATTGTTAATCGCTTGAATAAGACCAAGACGGAGGAGGAGCACCCCGATTTCCGGGGACTGCGAGAGGCCCGGGATGTCGCCGAGCGCCAGGATCAGAAGAAGCTGCAGAGGGAGCGTCGGGAGCAGGAGAAGGAGGCCACCAAGCAGCGTCAGCTAGAAGCCGAGCTGCGCAGCTACGCCTCCCTCCAAAAAAGCGAGAATATGCGCACCAACTACGATGCGGGCAACGAGTCGGATGACTTCATGTAGTCCATGGGCTGGACCAGGTCCTGATGCACCCTCGCATTTATCCCGAACATCTCTCGCTGTCCTCTACTTTTTTTTATTAAATCACATACAAATCGTTTTGTAAACTGCACAATTGTACTTATTTCATAGATATTCACTGTGTTTCAAGGTTGTTGTGCAATATTTCATCTAAATATGGAAGCACCACCCCATGCAACTTCAATTTTGAACTTATTTTGGTATTTCAGGGGCCATCCATTGTTTTCGCATATTCTATGCATTTCGCTCCCTATAGAAAGGCTTTTTTTTATTTATATTAAAATAGTTTTCCCAATGCCTTTCAATTAAATATTGCAAGCATTTAAATAACTTCCAAGTAGCGAAACCTTTTTATAATCATTTTTTTTTTATTTAAAGCATTGGCAACTGAAAGTTTAGCTAGGTTTTGGGTTAAAACAAGTTAAAATAGGTATGTAAACATGAACCACTAAAATATTCAAAAATTGATCTAATTAGTTTATACTTAGTCACATTTTAAAAGTTCGCGCCATATTAAACATGAACTAAAATCAATGCGCAATCGATATACCTAAACAGTTAACATTACATACCTTGTTATTAACATAACTGTAAGTTTAGTATCAGAAATAAATGTTATCAACACGAACACGAGCTGTTAACAAAAAAATTCGGACTGTCTGGCAGCCCTGCAGACAATTTAAAATTGGGGCGGAAATCAAGGCAATATATAAACTGTTTTAGCGACATGCTCAATTGGCTTACATACTTTATTGTCCCGAAAACGATTCGCACCATCATCTGGCGCATTTCCCACAACTTTATTGCCCTCGGCAACATCTGCAGCATAAACCTTTTCTTGCTTTCATGGTTTTCATTTATTTTTTCGCCAATCTTTATTAGTGTTTATGGGCTTATGAAGGGGGCGTTGAGGCGTTTTTCTTTGGGTTTTTGCTGTTTGCTGTTTGCTGACCGTTTTATGGCCTCAACGGCTTGTTGCCTTTTTGAGTTTCTGGACAATTTGCTGTCAGCACATGAATATGAATGGCTGCAAGGCTGACAGAACTTGGGTCCGCGAGTCTCTCTTTTCGTTTTCGGGAACGCACTCATTATCGGTCATTTTATTTTCACGCATTGTTCGCAACAACAATGGCTGCCTAACAACAAAGGGGAAGCCCCCGAAAATGCGAAAAACTTGATGAGGCTGCGTGTCCTTTTGATTATGCCATGCCAATCTCCTCCTTCTTTTCCCAGTGTTTCGTCATTATGGCCAGTCGTAAACATTGATGACAGTGGGGCTGCACTCGGGTTACGCCCCCTTTTCGCCCCCCTCTGATTGATTCCCGGCGCTTGTGGCACTGTTTTCTCTGATTTAAAATGATTCTGCGAAGATGTTTTATGGCCGCCTTGGCAGACAACTTAGTTCTTCTCCTCCAATAATAAAGTGGCCCGGCCATGAAAGTGGCCAATGACAGGGGGGTCACTGTCAAAGGAATCCCCCTCGAAGTCCCCCCCGCAACCCCCGCGGCAAGCCCCCTCCCCCCTTTTGGCCATCAGTCCCGGCAATCGCCGTCATTAATCAAACTGGCAACAGTAAGCCTCAACATTCCCCCAAACATCGTCAACGAAAGCTTCCCGCTTTCGCTCTTTATTGCATTTGTCACCACAGCATGGATGCACTGAGAGAAAACCTTGCACATTAATGATTAAAAACTTGTTGCTTATTAATAAAGATTTTATAAAATAGCCAAAAAAAAAAGGTTTCACATAAATTGCAAGCAAAATTGTTCTTTGAAAATGCTAAATTTGGATTCATTTATTGTCTTTAAATTTAAATGCAGGTTGATAGGTTCTTTTGTTGTAAAATTTAATACACTCAACCTTTTTTAAATTCTGATAATTATGTAAATTTAAAATAGGGAAAACTATTTAATTTTTATAGATTTGCCAAGACTGGTTTTTGGATTTCTTGTACTTTTAATTACATAAAACTATAAGAACTATAAAACTATAACATATTTTAACGACCAAGTTGGCTGATATTTTCTCCCTGTGTGGACAAAGGATCGTCTCAGAATGGTGAGAAACCACACACATTGTGCTGGCAAAATGGAGGAGGATGTCCATTACCAGTCACAACATAATTAGCAGACCCCTTCTGCCGCTTTTTTGGCTTTGACCAAAGACAGGGAAACTGATTAGTTAGTGGCTTTTGGCCCGAATGCAGCTGCATATGCAAGTACGATTAATCATATTGGACTGCAAAATGGAGTGGATGATGGGTGGATGAAAGTGAAGGTTTTGCCGGCTAAAAGCCAACGCTCGTGTTTTGGTAATCAAATTTCATGTTTGTTTGCACTTGATGTGCGAGTAGATGTACGCCACTTGGAAAGCAGCCAGTTGGTGTCCCATTCCCCAGCAATCTGGGCCATCATTCATGCAGCCGGCAGAGGAAGGAGGCCCATCCATCACATCAACTGGACCGGACCAACTATTACCAGGGGCAAGACGAGCGGGCACCATTCTGCATAAATCTACAAAATATTCCCCATCTTGATGGCCGAATAGCTTAGCCCTCATAAAGATTAAGCCATAAAGACCCCGGAAAAAATGACTTTGGTTCAGGATTTATTGGGAAATGAAAGCTGTAAAGAACTGAAGCTCTAAAATAGTAATTAATTTAAGCTACCTATCAGTGCTTAAGCGATCGCTTTTCTATGTAGATTCTTGGACATATTTTATAAGGGAACTATTTCAGATTGACATAGGAATAACTAGGCTTCGAAATCACATATCCAAATATCTTAATGTGTTTATTTAAAAATTCCCTTTTCTATCCTAGAAATTTAAGTCACAATGGAGTTGCAACAATGGGAAAAAGCCATCGCTTTTTCGGGCCATCTAAAATTCTTATTTACGTTTATGACCGGCGGCATCAAAATAAAGCTGCGGCAATTAAAGTGATCGCTCATGTGGGAGTCACTGGGAAAAGTCGGAAAGCGAGTGCTGCACTGAAAATTTTATGCGGCTGCCGAGGGACAAAGGGAAAAGTGAGGAAATGGAAAATGGGGAGAAGGACATGGAAAGGGAAAGGGAAAAGGAATTGCAAGTGCGCAATAGCTGTGTGTGTCCTTGCAACGAAAACGAAGACGCTGCCGAGAGTTGGGGGCGTTGAAGGCTTCCGGCATTTGTGCCCACAACAATAACAATTGCTGACGTGTGGATGCTAGGGCAGAGATTCCACTTAAATGTCCCTCAGTGGACAAATCAAAGGTAACGAAGAAGGAGCAAAGAAAGTAAATTGAAAAGCGGGAAACATCCACTGAGTTTTAGGGAATATGATTGACTTTATACTATGGTAGTAAACGTTAGTTAATTGCTTTTTAAAAGAAAATGTGTGTTTTCCTCTAACTCTAAATCTAAAATTTGGAACAATTTATTTTATTTTAGCTGTGAATGGTAATCGATGGCAAATTTTATATCGAATTTAGCGAGGTATGATTTTTGGCCAAAATATTTTGCAAAGATTTTGTTGCGAAGAAATTTTTTTTTAACCTTTTTTTTTCTGTAACAAAAAACCATCATTTTGGACTATAAAACTATAAAATTTATAAAATTCATGATTTTTTTGCGAAAAATTGGTTTTTACGATATCCAATTTCTGTAAATCGGACTTTGTGGAAAATTTTGTCACGAATTCATTTTTTAAGGGTTTTTTTGTTGTAGCTTTGCCAAAATAAGACGCACAGCCAAAAGAATGACTGTTTCGTGTAGCTGACAATTTAGCGAGGTATGATTTTTGGACAAAAGATTTTGTTGCGAAGAAATTTTTTTTTTTTACATTTTTTTCTGTAAAAAAAACTATCATTTTGGACTATAAAACTATAAAATATATAAAATGCATGATTTTTTTGCGAAAAATTGGTTTTTACGATATCCAATTTCTGTAAATCGGACTTTGTGGAAAATTTTGTCACGAATTCATTTTTTAAGGGTTTTTTTATTGTAGCTTTGCCAAAATAAGACGCACAGCGAAAATATTGACTGTTCTGTGTAGCTGACAACCTACACAATCGATTCCAGGAGGTGTTTGTAAATTTCATTTTTTGACCGATTTTCGCATTTTTGATAAGGGGTAACACTTGATTTTTTTCCAAATTTGGGCCGAAATAAAATTTTTGAGCTGAGTACACCAATCGATTGGAAATTTTGTAACGAATTCAACGAGGTATGACATTCCAAGATCTGACCATTATTTCCAAGGGTTTTGATTAAAAAACTGAAAAAATTAGCTGTTTTTTCTGGATTTTGCCCATCAAAAACATATATTTAAAGGGTTTTTTATTTTTTTTTTTTTTTTTTTTTTTTTATGTTTTAAGGGTTTTTTCGTTGTATCTTTGCCAAAATAAGACGCTCAGCGAAAAGAATGACTGTTCTGTGTAGCTGACAACCTACACAATCGAGTCCTGGATGTTTTAGTAAATTTTATTTTTTGACCGATTTTCGCATTTTTGATAAGGGGTAACACTTAATTTTTTCCCAAATATGGGCCGAAATAAAATTTTTTAGCTGAGTATACCAATCGATTGGAAATTTAGTAACGAATTCAACGAGGTATGACATTCCAAGATCTGACCATTATTTCCAAGAGTTTTTATTAAAAAACCAAAAAAAAACGAGCTGATTTTTCGGGTTTTGGTCAAAATATTTTTAAGGGGTATCCCCATGATTTGTTTCCGAAAAAATTTGTTGTATGATATTTTTTCTGTAAATGCCACTTTGTTGGAAATGTTTTAACGAATTCAACGAGGCATGACACTCCAACATTCGACCACTATTTCCCAGGGACTTGATTAAAAAACCGAAAAATTAATCTAATATTTGTTATTGTTTCGTATTCATCCCTTAAGTTGTTTACAGTCAAAAGATGACTATATATTACAACAGATTACTCAGTTTAAAGAAATATACATCAGAAAACACTATCTTAGCTAACGCAAAATAAAATTTGCTGTCTAGTTTGTATCCCCATTGTTAACTTGATGTCGATGTCGACAAAAACCAAATGCAATCAAGTGCCGCCGTGACCCACAAGTCCATAAATCCAAAACCATCCCCCAAAAAACCTTTATGCTAAGCGATTTCGATTAGCCACTTGTGTTCAACTTTTACGCAGCCTCCACAGTCATGTCAATCAATCTTTGACACGCTGCCACAAAATTGGCCAAGATTTGCATGTCCATGTGGCCAAATGGCAGGCTCCAAATTGGATATGGTCGTGTGCCTGAAATTAATTCACATTGTCATGCAGATTCCCTTCGCCATTGACATCGTAAAACGTTTTGTCGACTACGGCCTGCGATTACGTTTTAGCTGAATATCCATAATTTTGGCTAAATTACCAGTGTGGTAACAATGTTCATGACATTTATTTTGGGGAGCAGCAGTCTTTTTTATGTATTTCATGAGCTGACTCCGTCGAAATTCTTGTTTAATAAGCAACATCTTGACACGTTTGCGCTTTGCGTGGCGTTTCATGATATTCATAATTTTTGGTGATAATAAAATTCAATTGATTTCGGTAAAACAAATCGAAAGTTAAGTGTTTGTGAATTTTCTACTTATTTTGGGCTATTTTAAATTTGTAAGTAATTTTTAAATATAATAATAAAACTGACAACTATAAAACTTTGTTTGGAGGAAATGAAATCATTGGGTAAACTGGTAAAAATGAAGACGAATTTCCAGCTTTTTGATGGCCATAACTTGTCCAATCTTCTATTGTAGCAGCTCAATAAAGCACTGCTTTTTGGGGTCAAGTCAACTGGTGTAAGAGCCCCATTTTCCAGCAGTAAGGAAAGCCACGCCACAATGCTCCACACCACTCCCAAAGTGTGTCACTTGGTTTTCTCACAAGCTGCAGCCTTCGAGGCGGAGAAAAGGGGGTGGCGTTTGATTTGTGGCCTGCGGCGGCGACAAGGTCGTTCTTCTCCTCTTTCTCTTGGCTGCACTAACCACTTTCACGCAGTGTTGTCACAGTGATCTACATGGAAACAGCCAAGTCCACATAACCAAAGAGTAAAGGCATGTTTATCCTTACACCATGTATAACACTTTCCCATTCTAATGGTACATATTATATTTCATACATTTATCCAGCTTAAGTCATACTTAAAGCTTAACATGAGAGCGAGAAACCAAAATTAAAAACAATTTTTACACTGAATTTTTATATAATTTCAAAATTTCTTTGGAGTTAAGTTTCACTTTGGGATTTTATGTAGTAAAAGTCTAGATTTTTCTTATTTTGAAAGTGGATTACTTTTCTTAATCACTGATTTTTCTTAATGTAAATAAAGAAAACCTAAAATATCAAAAGAAAAATTTAAGAGCTAAGGATATTGCCTGATTAAGTCGAACTGAAAAGTAGCTGAAAAACTCAGTAAGAGCAAAATACCTTTTTTCTCTCTCCAATAGCTTGCAAATTGTCTTAAGAAGTTAAGAGAAATGAATTTAATTTGTACATTACCTAAACACTTTTGGATTTTGGTGTGCATGGGTCTTCCAAATTGCTGAAAGTAGCTCCAAAATGGCTAAAAGGGCAGCACTGGTGCCATCATAAATCGGCTGCACTTGAACCCGATGGCCGAGATGGCCAGACATGGAATGGCTTCCGTTTATTGGCCACCACCACGCCCCGTTGCCCATTTACGCGCCTGTTTCTGGCCGTGTTGTCAAATGTGTTTATGGCCAAAAGTCCAAGAGACCCCCCAACCCCTCCAACCAGTTCATATAATGCCAAAAACCAAGGAAAACCAATCGAACCGACAAGTTCGACGACATCTGTGTAATGTCGCCCGTTTATGGGGTCTCAAATTTACTCCCAAACAAAAATCCGATTTGGTAAGAGTAGAAAGCAAATAGCTTTATACTTTATTGCCCGCCCACATACCATAAACACTTTAGACGAAACATTAAAATAAGCAGCTGCCCTTTATATTGGCCATAACTCAATTGAACCTTTTAAATATCGGAGTAAGTCAAAGTCAAAGAATCAAGCTTTATTTTGGGTCTCTGTTGGGCTAAATATAATAATATTATAATTACAGCGATAATTTTCTCAACCAATTAAAAGGGAAATTGTCATTTGAAAACGTAGGCGTGCTGAAAGATAAGTCGAGAAGTACAAATCAAATTACAATCCTTAACTTCGACATCTGAAGTTCGATGTGAAGTTCCGTTTAATATTGGAGCAACAAAGTAGGAATTTTCAGATGATTAAGATGCAGATGACGTCACAAATACCGCAGTATATGTGAATAATGGTTTAAACAATTATAATCCTCGTGGCTGAAATAGAAATATAAGGTCGTTCCATCCTCACAATTAAAATCCCTCATATTTGTATAATTCTCTTGATAATTTTCCACTAAAAATAAAAACATTCGTTTGGCTTCAAATATAATCTTTAATCGAATTCATCAAAATGTATATAATTGTTTTTTTGTTTTTGTTTTATACATGTATATATTTTATGTATACATAGTTTAGTTTTTGATATAGTACACAAGTGTATATATAATTGGTTTTGCTCAGGCCCTTGTAAATATTCTAAACAAGTTAATTAAACATTAATATTCAACAATATATTTATTTATTTTATTTTTTTTTTTTTTGGTTTTCTGAGTTGTGAGGAACAACTGTCTGACCGTGTGAGTTATCGTTAATTCGAGGTTATATTTATAGTTGTAGTTTTTGGTAAAGTGTACATTGATCCACATATTTTTCACTAGACTTTTTGGTAGAGACTTACACACATCGGTATCTGTAGTTATCTTAGGCCTAAAGTATAATTCTCAGCTGCGGTTTAGTTTACTTCGATCTGGATGGGTTCTTAGTTTTGCATGTCCCCCAGGCGACCCAAGGAATTTAAAGCTTTCGTTAGTAGTTAGTTGTTCATTTTCCACTTTTCCACATTTTTCCCCTTCTCTTTTTTTCTATCTGCATACTTTTCCAGTTTTTTTTTGTTGGTCGAAATCACTTATGTTAAGATACATTTTAAGGTGGAGTACAAAGGTGCTGGGGAAACATATAAATACGGAAACTTTGGTCGAGTTTGAAGTTAACACATACATGCCGATGGATTTTTGAGCTTTGGGCTTACGAACTAAACAGTTTCGCGGATATATTTATTTACTTTACGTGTATACATATGTTTATGTTTATTTAACAATTTGCTCTGTCATCCAATATTGTGGAGTAGGAAAAGGGATTAGGTATAGACTACGTTGAGTAACACTGGATAGGGCTAAGATAGATACTCTAAGATAGATATTACTACATATTTTCGGTATGTTTAGCTGATAATTCTGTGTGTGAACTTCTGCTTTTCACAGCTGGTTAACTGGTCCTAAATAAAATTGACTCAAATTGACTCTGTGCCAGCACAGAAATAAATATGTGCGACAGAGATAGTTAGGAAATGGCATAGAGTTAGTTGAGAGTGGTAAGTATTTATAATTGCAAATATTGGACAGTGCTATTCCGTCTATCATTCCCTGCCTTCCCAATGGCAGTTACCCAAAATAAAACTGAAAACCATATCAACCCATTTTTTCTCTGGCTTTTTTCAAAATATAGTAGGTAATAATAAACCCTAAAATACCATGGAAAACTGGAGTAACCAAATTCCTTGTATTTTTTAAAGCTTTGATGTTTAAAAAATGTTTGCAGTTTTAAAAATGACTGGAGTGGCTGTCTAAAAGTATGCTTAAAGAGTTTGTCTACAACATGCTAGATTACAAACACACCAAATAATGTACTGCATACTTTTAGGCACACACACACACACACAGTATAGTGCTCCGAAAACGCGTTATTTAAATGAATGCTGAAACATATTTGTTTCCGAAATTCATTCGGCTTGAAAGCCGCACTCCCACTCCACTTACACTTACGAACTGACTTAGCACTCTCTCCCATGGATCCTCCACTAAAGTCCTGCCTACACCTGCTCGGCACTCTCGTCCAGGACCATGGAGTGCAGGTCCATCGCCGAGCGGGTCTTCCTCGGAGGTCGCGGCATCAGGTAGTGGCTGGTGCTGGCCCCCACGAACACCGAATTCTGGCGCGGACGCGACGCCGACACATGCGAGGCGTATCCTGGAACACACGCGAGGCAAAAAGGATAATGGTTCAGTCTCGGGATAAATTTGTGGGGGGTGGGGGGTCACACCCTTGCCCCTGGTGGCGCAACAATCAGGGGCATGAATGTAAACTCGTGGATATGGGTATGAGTGCGTGAAATAAAATGTAACTTTCATCTCAAATACATTTCTTTAAAGCTACTAAACTTACACAGTTATATATTCATATTTAAAGCTGAGCCTCAATCAAAATAGTTTTATATATAAAGAATTTAAAACCATATTAGGTGAATAAAACAACTAAATTACTACATATTTTAGTATAAAAATAATGCTTATTTTTGTTAACATTTTTTTATTTTCTGTCAGTTTAAAAAATCTGTTATAAATATACACTTCTTTATGTAAATTAAAATTTTTGACATTATTTTGTACCCATAAATTTTGGATTAATTACTTATTTTGCAATCCATTAATCAATAAATCTATTGATTGATTAAATAATTATCTTATATTTCCAAACAGAGGAGCCACTGCCAAAACGCATCAATTATCCTTGCAAAACAAATTGATATATGGCCTCTACTTAGTCAAATGCATAGTTTAAAGTGGCTTTACATGCTGTTCAATCTATTTTCTGTAGGCCAAACTTTAAATTGATGGATGTGGTTTTCTAATTTCTGATGCTGTTTTTAATTTTAATTTATATGTCAGCATCCCCTCACAGTTCGTGTCACGTTCTCCTCATTGCTTTTTGCTTTCTGCGATTGGGAATCCCCTCTGCGACGTTTTCCCGACTCAACTTAATAGACTTTCCGCTGCGGAACCGAGTTCTCAACTCAGCATTTCCACCGCCTCGCCCCCTGCAGATTTATCCACATTATCATCAGCTCCATTCATGCAGAGCAAAAAAAAGTTACATTTCCATATTGGCATCTTGTATTTCTTATCTATCTTTCATCATAACACTATTAACATAATATGACTATTATATAGAATAAAATTCTTTAATTTTAAAAGACAAGCTTAAGGTTTCATTGGAATTCTTTTATTTTATATTTTACAAATTTGAATAACACAGAAAAGTTTTGGGGAGATTATTAAGAAGGGGTGATTGGAATATTCTGTTCCCATATTGCAGAAATGCCTTATATTTTATTTATTTTCATTTCCCCAATTTATATCAAATAGTGTTTTATGGTTGCCTTACTCTAATTGATTTAAACTATTTAATAATGTCTAACCTTTGAAAAGTTTGATGTTCTAGAAAAATCACTAGGATTTATTGATTTCTTAATTATTTTGGAATATTTTTTATTTGATTTTGTTCCTCAAAGAAGTATCTTTACTCAACTGAATGGAAGATTTTCTACGTGTATTTCAGCTCTGGCATGTTTTATGTGCGTATGTCCTATCTTGGGCCGCTTGTCTTCCTGTCCGCGTGTTCCCCACGTTTCCACGGGATTTAATTGCGTAGCTCTGGAGGGGATTGGGGATTGGGAATGTGGATGCGGATCTGGCTGTGCATGTGGAGCACAAAAAATCCAAGGGGAACCCCCAGCCAGTGGTGGCATTAAAATTGTATTGTTATTTGCTTCACTTGCGCTCCGCTGCCTTCGCTCAGCGGGCAACTTAATTGTCTGGCAACTCATTAAAAAAAACTCCTAGGACCGGGATCAGGATTGGGATCGGGATGTGGGACAAGGGATAAGGGATAAAGGGGCGGTAAAGTGGCTACGACTAAATGCTGTATTTACCAGGGGGCGTGGCAATTCGAGGGGGCGGCGGTGTTAACAAACGCTTCAAATAGCGCGCATTACGCATAAGTATTTCGATTCGCATCGACTTTGCTGGGACATTGGGGCTCGTTAAAACTGGAGGGAATATTATAAAGCTGGAGGGGATTGGCAATGAGAACAGTTGTCTGCATATGTTAATCAGCTCATTAAATTCAAGTGGTATAAGCTGTAAAATATGGTACTGAAATACATGTTTTTATTATGCCAGGCTATACAAACTATTAATGTGTTCTTTTTATTAATGAGTAATATAAAAAAAGGGAAACTGTGGTACAGCAAACTTTGAGAAACCTATTGAACTGATTACAAATTGCACTAGATTTATTTTACACCACTAACAGACTAAATTCGTATTTTACTTTTTAAAATAATCAATTGTTATGTGAGCATGTCAAATGATATTAATTATTCTTATCATGATATTAATTATTCTTTTAATTTACCCAAAAAAAATGTTGTCATTTTAAATGCATTTTGAGCCACTGTGCCGCTCTGGGCGACGCACAAAAGTATGCAGTACAAGTTGCGAATACTTTGAGCTCGTGGATGTTCGATTTTAATTGCGTTCGGGGCGTTTTGATGGAGGATGGGTGGTACGCGAAGGAAAAAAAAAATAGTGGGGGCGGATGAAAGAGCACCCAAATGACGTACATACCCTTGGCATAAATGTTGGGATTATAGGCCGCAAATTGACACGTCGGCATATTGAGATTGTGCACCATGCCCATCGACATTCGAGACACGGAGGAGCGCTGCAACAAGAAATGTATATATATATATCAAGCGATGCATGTACTATATAAAGTTCAAGTCATTTGACCACTTTTCAATATAAACACCCATACAAATAAGAGAAGACTTAAAGTTTGAGTAACGAAAATTGTTTACGACTGAAATCACTATACTTATAAATCTGTCTAGAAATATGCAATGAAAAACAAGATTAATTAAAAATATATTGTTGCATACTTTTAGACGCCTTAATCAGTGATTTAAAAACTTTAATATTTTATGTATGTATTTAACCTGCATCCGAAAGCTCTTTATAAATACGTATTGAAATAAATATAGTATACTAAATTGGCAAGTGTCAAAGTATTCACAAAATATGTACCATTTTATGCAGGAACTACAGAAATTACTTTACTTATTTAAAGTCCTTTTGCTGAAGGCATGAGGTTCGGTTCAAATTCATATACAAAACTACATTGTCAAGGTACTAAAAGATTGTACGGGTTCTATGTTTAATAAATAATATTTAAGAAAAAAAAAAAAAAAAAACTTTACTTATAAATCTGTCTAGGAATATGCAATGACGTTATTAATTCAAAATATATTGTTGCACACTTTTAGACGCCTTAATCAGTGATTTAAATGCAACCAATTGATCTTTTTAGTACCACCCTTTATATTTTAACCTTTATGTATTTAACCTGCATCCGAAAGCACTTTATAAATATGTATTTAAATATATGTAGTATACTAAATTGGCAAGTGTCAAAATATTCACAAAATATATACCATTTTATGCAGGTACTACAGAAATCAGTTCACTTATAAATCTGTCTTGAAATATGCAATGAAATATATTGTTGCATACTTTCAGACGCCTTAATTAATGATTTTAATACAACCAAATGATCTTTGTTTATTATATATAAAATGTATGTATTTAACCTGCATCCGAAAGCTCTTTATAAATACGTATTGAAACATATATAGTATAGTACTAAATAATCTAATTGTCATGCCAGGAATAAATGATATCAAGTATGAATACCTGGTGGGTGGTGACCGCATCCAACTCGACCAGTGGACAGGAGCTGCGGTGCTGCTGCTGGAACTTGGGCTGGTACGGCTCCAGCATCCGGATCTTGCCCCATCGGTTGAAGAAGAGCATGATGGCGCCCACCCAGAGGACGAGGACCAGGCCCACAATCAGGACCTCTTCGGTGCGAACGATGATCTTGGGTCCTGCAAGATTACGCGCAAATGCGATTTGTTTATTTACTTTCAATGCCAGCAAACGACTTCTTCTCCTCTTCGCCGTAAACATTATGGATTTGTTTGGATTGTTAACTGGTCGCACGTACCGCACGTAAATAACTCAAGAGTCAGGCTCGAATTCAATTATCGTCGACGTAAAATCGTAAAATCTCCGCGATAAACAAATGGATTGCGATTGCGACTGGTTAAGGAAGTGGGATTTGGCATTGGGATTTATTAAGCAACCGAATCAGCGACTTTAGCCCGCCAAATCCTGCCAAGGGATTTCTTTCCAGGTGTTGAAGTTGTGTGAGTGCAAGAAAAATTCAATATTTGTAGAGGCAAAAAGGAGAAATTTATCCATACGATGCGGCTACATGTGTCGCATATCCTTGGAAAATTATTATTCCGCGAGTGGAAACACCTCTAATCCTAATCTATGCTCATTGAAAATTAGCTATTAACAAATCAGGATGGATTTACTTCAATTTGGGGAATTACATCTCATTTACTAGCATATAAGCAGCTTATATTTGTATAGAAAACATATCTTTTCCATATGTACGAGAACTACTTCTGAATTATTTGGTAGCCACAAAAAAGTCAACCAATTAAAGTTTGGAAATTGTTTTTCTTTTTTTTTTGCAACTGAAACTTTGATTCTGCAATCAAAAAATGCAAATAACTTTTTTCAACACAAAAAACACATTGACTTGTGGTATTTGCCACGCAAAAAAGTAGCAAAATTTAAATGTTGTATTTATGTGCACTTTAATAGAACGGTTCCAGAAATGGATTTGTCTTTTAATATTTAAAAATATAAACGAAAAGAATGTTTGTGAAATAATAACAAATAACAAGTGAAATGGAGGCTAAGTTGGGGTGAATCAATTAAGCCCACCTGTTTCCTCGGCGGTGGAATTGGAGGCCCCTGTTGTGGCACCTGTTGTGAATCCCTCGTCCACCTCCTGGCTGCCCAGTTCCCCATTATAATCCTCGCTGCCATTGGAGGACGCCGAGGACGAGGAGGGCGGTGAGATGGGGGCGGTCTGTTCGACCTCCACGAGGAAATTGGTGCCCCGCCAGCCGGAGCCCCATTCTGTGGGGTTTCGAGAATCGGAATATTGAATCAGAGTCGCTCAATTTAAATGGGGGGAACAACTCACCTTCCGACAGGCTGGCTGCAGTGGTGACCTCCTCGGCAAACACCTCCAGACGCACAACTGAAATTCGATTAGAAAGGATACACTTGCTTAATAAGAAAATTCTCTATAAAAGGTAAGTAAATTGTTATGATTTCCTATTTACTAACACCCCTTAAAATGCATTTCAAAACTGGCAAGCTTTAAGGAAAATCAAGGAAGAAACTTGATGCCTGGGAGAAGCATTTCAAAGTCAACTTGAGTTTGTGGCAAGTGGCAGCTTGGAAAATATTATCCCACGCTCGAAAGGACGAACATTGTGAGGGAAATGTGCTTGCAAAAGGAAAATGCAATAAACACTCTGCAAACAGATTTGATGGCCGAGGAATTATGCCAAGTTTTGCACTTGAAAATTCCCTCTATTATGCAATCGTGGAGCACTTAAAGGATCGCACATGGCCATGCTTATATCCTTTTACCCAGATGATTGCTTAGAAGGGCTGGATGTGGGTGGCAAGTTTGTGTGGGAGTGTCAAGGATGAAGTTTTTCAGACGCTGACGTCAGTGAAAGTTTGACTAAAGTGCTGCGACTGCATATGCAAATGTGGGTGGCCTGGGTTTTTTGGGTGTTAAAAAGGTCTGGGCTTCTACTGCCCTCCACCCTCCACACCCAAGACAAACTAACTTTCCGTAGTTATTTAGTGCATTAAAAGTTGGAAGGCCTTCATGCTGATGCGTGTGTTTGCGTGTTCCGATGATAAATGTGCCAAAAAGGGTCCGTACTCAAAATGAAAACCAGACCCAAGCCGAAAACCATCCGACCAAGAACCACAACAACCACAGAGACCATCGCTTAGAATGCGAACAGGTGGAGTTCGCAACCACCTCCTAAAATCCCCTTCAAAGTGCTGATGACACTGTGAAAAATATTTCCATACCTTTTAATGAATGATTCAGGTCTTATGTTGTTGAAGAACTCTAGATTTTAAGATGAATTCATTATAGAAGTTAAGGAAATATAAATGAATATTCTATGATCTTCAAAGCTAAGACTTCCTTACCAGAAAATTTAATTTAAAAGACAATATATTTATTCCATCAATTTCTTACCAGAAAACTTAAATTAACAGGTAATATATTTATTCTATCAATTTGATATTTTAAAATCAACTTGTTGACTGTTATTTTTATTTGCAACGTTTCTTGAAGTATCGATGGTAAATATGTTAATGGAGTTAAGATTTTTAAATATAAAATGTTAATGAAATTACAAATAATGATGTAAAATCACATGAGTTTCTTATACAAAATGAATACAAAAAAATAAAAAAATAACTAGTAATATAACAAAATGTCCTGCTTTTATTCCAGTGTAGCCATTGAGAGCCAAAAGGAGCCATGAATTAAGGGGAATGGGCCATTAGGTTGGCCAGTCAGCCTGTTAGGCAAACGACCTTGAAAGCGTTTAGCGCCCAGCTGCCACCAACCCACAATGCCACCCCCTTTGGAAGCGGAAAACTGGTCCACCCATGAACTATTTATTTAGTTGCTTCATTTGCCTAATTTGCTTAATTACATGTGTTCGACGATGGGCTCAAATTTATGCCCGAAATGAGCTAATTAACATGAGCAAATTATACGCAATTCCCACAGGGATAAGTACAAAGGATGTGCCATAAAAGGAGGGGATTTTCCGGCGAAGAGTGCGGGGAAAAAAAACAACCTAGCTATCTGCCGAATTTCCCCGTAATTTATGAATGAAAAGCGACAGGACGAGCAAGCAAGCAAAAAAAAAAAAAAAAGAAGCAGACATTGTAATGAACTGGGAAAAGTGTAATAAAAATCAAATTAGGGGGAGAGAGCGGAGGGAAAGGGTGAAGTGGAAAACCGGAAGGGAAAATCGCTGCAGGTAAGGCCAATCCGAATTTGTCTTCCTCTCAGTTTATCTCCAGCTCTTCCTGTGTGTGTGTGTCACCCAGCTTGGAATTGTCCATTAAATGCTCATTAGAGTAAACAAATAACCCACAACAAGCACGACGGAATGCAATTTTAATAATCAGTAGCTGAGGGACAAAGACCAGGAATAAGACCAAGAATGAGAAGGACGAACAAGGACTCAGCCAGCAATTAACAAAAACATTTTGCGCAATTTGTGAATCACCAAAGGGACATGAGAAATGGGTCTGGAACCAATTAAATACGGAATTATTTCAAAGTGGAAGACAGATCATTTGCATAATATTACACACAGCTCGGAATAAACCAGACAGAGAGATGAATTTAATTAAATTAACACTAACACTAAATAGATGAGCGGAGGGACAAACTATATATTAAGCAGAATATAAATCTTTTAGATATATTAGTTTAATTAAACAAATATTTATTGCATAATCTATATGATACATACACTATTATTTAAAGAAGAGGCTAAGAAATATCTAATATATTACTCATATTAGACTGAACAGAGCATTGAGATGAATTTAATTAGTGTTTTTTTTAAGACATTCTCTTTAGTATATCAGAATATCCACAAAATGGATTTTAAGCAGAAATTATGGCTTATTTCAATACCTGTAGAAAATAATAAATGCCTTCAATGCTGCATAAATTCTAAGTAGTTAAATAGTAAGCCAATAAACTAACACATTTGGTTTGTTTTCCTTAAAATTTCTTCATTGAACTAATGGGTATTTTCTCAGGCTTGAAGAACAATTATATTAATAAAGAGACTTTCTGGATAAACAAAGCAAACGTGTAAGTATATTTAGATTATGTTTAGTATGTTTTTCCAAGAATCACACTTTTTAAGGAATGAGATAATTCTAGAAACACTTCTTTAATTATTTTATATTGTTAATAAACTATAAAAAATTTCTTATATCTATTTGTTTTTTGCAAGTTTTGAAGATATTACACATTATGTAATCCTGAATTGATTTATTTATATTATTAATCCATTTCGAATATACCATTTATTAAAACGTCATGTCTCAAAGCCCTATACCTTATTTGAGCCAATTCCAATTTTCATATCCTGCAGCTGGTGCCAAGTCAAACAGCTTGTGACAAAATCTAACCGAAAAAATATTATTTGTCTCCACATGAGCCGACTTTTCCTTAGATGCAAACGCAACCGAATCAGGCAAAGTTTTTTCAATAAACTTTATCAAAAAGCGGCACAAAAAAGGAAAGAAAACCGGATTACAAATGTAAATAAACATCAAGCGGAGAAAAACTCCGTAAGCCGTTCAATAATTCATAAGAAGAAAACACAGACAGACACAATGTCAGCAGTACACTGAGAGAAATGTGTGGTAAGAATGCGCAGGACGACAGTCATAACACAACACACAATTATAACTGGGGGAATGCTATTGATTTTCTACGATAATGGGGGGCACAAGTTGTCTGCCTCACGTTGTAAGTTCCCCAGTTCCCGAGTTTCCGATTCAAAGGGGGCGGAACTGGGCGTAGGGGCGGAGGGGGAGTGGCAGGTGTGCCGACTAAAGCCGCTTACCTATATGGCAGAAACTCAACCGAATTCGACTCAATTCAACGTGACGGGTGCAAAGGCTTCCGAGGAGCCAACGTGGCAACAAATAACCAAGATTGGGGGAAAAACGAGTCGAATTCGGGGATATTGGTGTATTATCTTTAAAACATCCTGGTTTTACACACACAACTTTAATAAGAAATCATTTTCTTTGGGACAATGCTAAAAGACTTTCGGCGCTGCTAAGACAAGATAATTTTTAAAGATTAAACTAAAATTGTTTTTATATTTTTAAAATTTTTTGGGAGGAGCTCTTTTAAAAAATAAGAATTTTTCCAAAAAATTTGGTTTTAAAATTTATCGTTTCTTTGACTGTGATCAACCATTTCAGATTTTAAAATCAAATTAAAAACAATTTTAAAGCAAATTTCAAACACTTTGAACAGAAAAAAACCTTATTTGCTAAGATTTTTTATAGAATTTGTTTAACGATTTGTATCGATTTCATATATCCATAAAAGAAACCAAAACTAATGCATTTAAAAGGGGAAAGGAATTCCTATCCCCGGCATACATACAAAAATGGGAAGAAGCACTCAACTAAACCAAAATAAGAAAATAATGTGGGAGCAACTTTAAGGGGGATTGGGAGTGGGCTTGGAGCACTTAGTTGGCCCATCTTCCGACCACTAACAAAATCACTTTAAAGCTGGCCAAGAAAAGACGGCGATGGACACGTAAAATGGTCATCGTAAAACGAGTCTGAGAAAGGGGGCGTGGCAGATAAATGGGGAATGCTTAATTGTTGGGGGCACTTTTAGTCAGAGAAGCATTTGGTAATTTAAGCACAACTGTACTTGAGTGATGCTTTAGTAGATGGTCTTCCGGTTTAGTTTACGAACCCATAAAGTGTACTCTATATCTGTGTACTTGTGCTTAAATGCAGATTAAGTTGTAACAGCCACTCCATAAAAGTTTCAAGAATATCTTCAACAAAATTCCTATTACATTTATTTGTAATAATATTAATAATAGGTCCCTAACTATTATGTATGATTACCTAAAGTTATTCTTCGATAGATTTTTAGCATATCATACATTTTGATTTAAGGCATTTATAGTTATATTAGTTTAAACATTTAAGTTCCATTTTTGGATAATATTTGCTGTTTAAATTATATTCACTATGTTATCTTTGGGCATTCAAATTTCATTTTAAAATTAGTTGACAGATATCAGCTGTACTTCTGCGATATTTCTCGCAATTCCAGTTTATTTCCTGGACTCACCTTCACTTTCGACTTGAACTTGTAGGCTTCTTGTGGTCAAGGACTCGCGAGCACCTGGTCCTGGGCAAAACCAGGATCCAGCTGCGATGTCATCAGGTGATTGGGCGATAGCCGAAATTAGAGCCTAAGTAGCCTCGCCTCGAATTGCAAGGAACACATGTGGATCGATCGGTGGATGTCCAGGGTGTTTTTCCCCCGGCTCAGTGCGTCGCGAAATTCCCACAGGATGCGGAAATACCATCCAGGACATGGCACATTGGTGGGCCTTTCCGAGCGCCCAGCGATTTCTGGTACGCGACTTAACTTGACCCTGTCGCGGGATCAACAAGTGCGCTGCCATCGCTGCAATCATTATCATCATCGAGGTGCGAGTGTCCTCGCATGTCCTGTATATATCGTGTAAATATATACATATATATATATGTTTATTTAACCTGGCTACCTGACCGATCTGGGCCTCAGCACGCGGTTCGGTTTATGGCTTTATGGCCGTGGCCAAGGAGTTGCCGCCGATACACGGAAAATGCGTTTCGTAAACATAATGCGGCCTCCTATTCGCATTTTCACTTTCACATTTTCCCAACTTCAGATCCCTCCCTCCGCCCGTTCATGTTTTTTTGTGTGTGTTTTTCTTTGTTTGTTTGTTTGTTTGTCACAACTCAAAAAAAAAAAGGAGGAAAAACAGAATATGGTAAATAGAAATTGCATTGATGATCTCAGGATCACAGATGTCCTGCGACCGCGAGAGTCCTGGAAACGGTCATGTCCCTGCCATTGTCTTGACTCGCATCCTTCGCTTTTTCTGAGAGGCCAGCTGGCTCAATAAAAAATATCCGAACCGAAATCCAAGACAATTGCTTGGCTTGCACTTGTGCCAAAAGTTGCATTCAACTTCATCGAATACGCCGGAAAAAATCGGGGGCAAGTTCGATTTTATTGTTGTCCTTAAAGGTTCTTTATTATTTACCATAATAATACACTGATCTTTGTTTCTTGTTCTAGAGTCTTATTTATATGCATGTAAAAAATAAAAAAATATTTATGGTTTTCATACCAAAGTTGAAAAACGCCATTAAAATGTATGTTGTTTTCATTGAACATTATTATAATGTTAAGAATGAGACTAAATTTAATTTGATTGGCATATTAATAACGGTTGTAACACTTAATAATTTATTTATCTTTTTATATCAACAGATTATTAGGGGTTTTTCAGTACCAACATTACCTGCATTTAATTTTTTTTTATCATACAAATAAGCTAGTTTTAACAATAAAATTGAATATGCGTTCAATTTAATTGTTATTATCTAAGATAGAAAAAAATAAAAACTGTATGTAATTAAAAATGATATGTTCACATTCATCGACATATATATTTTAATAATTGTTTTTCGCTACCTTTTTTGTCAGTGTACTTGGTTTATTTTATTTCAGTTTTGGATTCAGTTCCATTGCAACTATTTGGGGTTCCGGCACGTCGCTTGCTTTTATCCCCAGTTCAGTTTCCCCCTTTCGAAATCTGTGTGTCATTGGCATTTCAATTTCGTGGCCATTTCCTTGGGACTCCGTGCGGAATTCCCTGCATCCAGCCAGATGGCATTTAATGGCCAGTCAACTGGACTCAGCCGAACTGGAGTCGAGTGGACTTGGGGCTCAGGACGAAAGGATGAAAGGACATGGATTGTCTTGCCCCTTTGCTTTGATTTCTGCCACAAAGTTGCGAATCGTTCCAAATGGCTGGAATCCTCAATGCGATTGCTCCTTTGTCGCAAATGGGGATTGCACACTGCATACTCGATTGATTCACTCTGTTGGATGACTCAAATTCTCTGCACTTTATTGTCATTTAAATGCAGTTGCAAAGTTTTCTCTTCCCTCAATTAAATAACTTAATTAAGGTGAAATTTGTAACTTTTCGAAGTATTTCACATGTGATTGCCTCAAGGAGGTGGTGTATGAAAATACATTTGGATAACATTTTAAAAAGCACTTAGACATTGACACAAAGTCACACGGTTGTATTCCAAATTATAAGCTTTAAAAATACCCACCTATCAAATAAAAGCTTTAATAATTTCTTAAAGACTTTACTATTTACTGAACGGAACAATACTCAAAAAGTGCTGTGGTGTCTTATCTATAAATTATATTTATGGGTACTATTATTTAAAACAACTAGAATTGGCCCAAAGAAAATAGAGCATACTTGAACAAATTTCGTATGCAAAGCAATGAGGAAGTCGTGAGTTTACTTTGCAACTCACTTAGCTAAATTGTCAAGGGTCATTCCTTATACGTGCTATTTCCTAACTTTGTATACTAACTTTATCAAACTCCCACTCAATCGAAGGATATATAACCACAGCCTATTCCTTGCTGTTAAGCAAGTCGACCGAATCGAACATAGTACCAGTTCACATGGGCTACACGAAAACAAAAAATAAAAAATTAAAATTAAATTATAATTATATAAAATCAAATAATGTAATAAATTGTAAATTAATTAATTAATTAATTAAATTATAATTATATAAAATCATTATATAAAAAATTATAATTATGTAATACCAAAGAATGTCATAAATGGTAAATTAAATATAGTTTACTATTCTTAATGATAACAAACAAATACTTTTTCTGTCTTGGATGTTACTTAAATATCTAACAGGTTTCTAAATTAAATACATTTCATGTATTTTTTTTTGGTAAAAATACTTCCACATTATTTCTCTTTTGTTTGAAAGGGAACATTGCTGTTAGTGAAGTTCCAGGGACACTTGGAGCTCTTTGACTTCCGTTTCCGCATTTGGATGCCAACATGGAGACCCGTCACGTGCAGCCAACGAATGCCGTAGTTACGTGACTGCCAAGCGGATGTAGATGCGGATAAGGATGCGGATGCGGATGTGGATGCGGATGCAGATTCAAATGCAGCAACGGATCAAAATTCGCCAAACAAACGTAGTGGGAGCAAGCGAGATGGCAGGCGAGCGGGAAACTCCGCCAAGGAAAACAGAGAAAGGACGAGGAAATTCCGCTGCTCGTTTTCCCAGCCAAAAAAAAAAAAGATGCGGGAATTTCGTCGATTGCGTGTGAAAATGCAACAAGAAACCAAAACAGCAAACACCAAATGTGCGATAGTCAAATGAGGCCTGAGGTTGACCAGTTGGCCAGAAACAAAAGCCAAGTTAGTTTCCCGTGAAAACCGAAAGGAGAACCCGGAGGTTGGCCCAAAATGGGTGTTCCTTTTCATTCGGACCCCAAAGGACGAAGCGATGACCACGTGCCACTGCAGTTGCAGTTGCATTCCGTTTCGGGATAAATTATAGGGGCACACGTCGGCAGATAAGCCATTTAACATACAGATTCTAGGGGTCTCTAAGGGTCTCAAAGGCTGGCGAGCCAAGCCCTTGCCGAAATTTACATAATACTAATAGATAACTAACTGATAACTGATTGTAAAAGAAGCAAGAGGAAGTTTTGGGAATAAAACAAATATATATATACTATAATTTAAAAAAATTTAAAAGAGTTTAAAAGTGTTTAAAAGAGTTTAAAAGAGTTCACTATCGAAGAATAGCTTTATGCTATTTTAGTTTTGATTTATAAACATTAAAGGGTGTAAAGGAGTGTGAATGTAATAAATTTAAAATATATAATTTTGTAATAACATAGAAAATCGTATTAAAACAGCCATATTTAAGCCATATTATAAGAGAATTCTTATTCTCTAAATAAGAAAATAAAGTTTGAGATTTACCTATGTAGTTTTCAAATGAATTTCTTATTTATTTTGAGTTCCTCAATGGATAGGGGTACTTTATTGCGAAAATCTCTCTGTGTTTTGCTCATTCTCATGACTTTTCTTCAAATGCAAAATGGATGACCATTTTGTGCGATTAAAAGCAAACAAGTGACACGTTCTAGGCACTTGTCATGGCCAATCCAGCATCATTAATTCCCCATTCCGCTCGGCCATTTCCATCGTATCAATGGTTGCACATCAAGCGCGTAATCATTTGCCAATTTCCATTTCCATTTGCCCAATGTCGCTTTTCATTTGCATCACGATGTCGATGCCGATGCCAATGTCGATTTCATTTGGCCTCGAGTCATAGAGTCCAAGAATGGGAGTGCTGTTCCATTGAGGAGTTTCGCCCGAATTAGATCGCAGTCGGTGCAGCTGCGTGGTTTTCGGGGTTTCTGATTTCTGGTCCTTGGTTTTTGATTCGGGCCGGGAAAAGGTCCTGTCCCGTCGATTCGAGACTTGTGGCCGGCGTCAACGGCGTTCCGAGGACTGCGCCACGGCGTTTACACAACAATTGGCCAAGGGAATGACGAAGGATCTGGCCAAAACAAAGGCCCAAGGCCGTCGACCAAAACAACATGATGTCAGGATATACATATATATTTTTTTTTTGGCCATAACTCATAGCTGTATTAAAAGGCAGATAAAAACCCAAAAGGGTTATGGCCAGAGGAATATTTAAAATAAGTGAGCGAGGAGTATTTGTATGGCGATCCTTAACTCGTTGGCCAGATCAAGGTCGTTTCGTGAGGATTTCAGGTACTGGCCGTGTTTTTGGCCAAATTGCTGGGCCATAAAGTACCGCGTGTTTTCATGAAATCCCGCTCGCGGATTAGGCCAGAAAAATATTTGTAAAAACGAAATCAGGTAGCAGTGCGGCGATTCCTGGAACGCCAGCAACCGCGGCTACCTGCTGGCCATATATAAGGCCCCTGGGTTTATGGCCATTGCCAACAGTCGACCACGAATCGTCAAGCGAAGAACATCCTACTTGTTTAGCACTGAATACCAACAGAAAAACAGAGAACCAATCATGGGTTGTTGTGCGAGCAGTCTGAAATTGAAGGAGCTGAGCCTGAACAGCAGCATTTACATGGCAGCCGGAGGATCTGGCAGTCGCTCCCTGAAGCGATTGTACAGCAGTCGGAACAGCAGCGGCGTGGGCAGCAGCTCATCCGCATCCGCATCCTCGTCCTCGAAAAGCTGGAGCACTTGGAGCCGCTCCAGCCAGCCCATTTGCGATGACTTTGCTGAGCAGCCGCAACTGGACAGATCCTGTGGCTATTACACCTGCAGCAGTGCCAATTCGTCGCCTCGCAAGGATCGGGAGGATCACGATGAAGATTCGGATGCGGGCAAGGAGGAGGAGGTGCTGATGCGCACCCAGGACATGAGTGACGGATCACACACCTCCATGGAGTCCAATCGAACGGTGGGCAACCTGGAGTGGGAGATGTTCATGATGCAGCAGGCGCAGCACATCATGCCCAAGACCTCGTCGCCCATCAGCCTTCGTCGTGGCAATGGCCAAGTGCCGGCCTCGTCCTACCAAAAGTGGCGTAACTATCTGCAATCCACACCGGCCCACATGCTGCACAATGTCACCCACATTCCGGAGGCCATTGCCGGCCACTTTTGCCCCACCGGCTTTCCCGGCTTCAGTGATCTGGAGGAGATGGAGAGTGCGGCCAAGAGGTTCAAGGTGGACGTCGGCGAGGAGGAGCCCATGTACACCACCTACCAACTGCTGGCCGGGCACACGCACACCATATCCACAGACCTGTAAGTCAATCTCACTAACTCCGCTTGGATCGGACTTCTTGGGAGATTGATGGACCCATAGACGTAATCCCCGGCGAGGACTGGCAACAGGTGTGCCAGCTGTCAAACAGTTGGGCAAGCAATCACTTCACCCACAGCGACTTCCATTGCCCAGCAATGCGAAATCGTACAGACGATTTTACAAAACTATATATGGTATATATATTATATAGACAGATATTTTTTTCTTGTATATCATACAACTTAGACTTAAGGACAGGACAACCAACGATGTGTACATGGTTGGATAATAAAATTATGCTTGTAATTATATTGTATAAACTCGAAACTATTGGCTTTTCAATTTTACTAATTAGCAGCGGGTCAAAGGTCATGGGTACTGGCATTGTTACGGCCCAGGGAATTCGCCATTCAGCTGGGAAATTTAATTTCTGGCCTTTGATCAGGCAATTTTCGTGTATAACTAATAGGCTAAATGTAAATTAGGGCCAAGGAAATTGAAACTAATTAGAAATTACTACTTCAAATACGTTACGACTTATTGCGATTTATGCAAGTGAGGAACATATATCTATAATCATCTTATTTAAAAAAGAAAAGAATTTGTTTAGCGATTATAAGTTGGACATAAATTTAATAATCGAATAGTAATCAGATTACAAGTGAAACCCCTATGGTGCTAGCATAAATGACTCCATTCCGCAAAATACTTTCTTTGAAACAAATCAATTAATCTAAGTTTCTGTACTAATTTTCCCAATTTTCAGCCCACCCCATTAACTGATTGCCAGCCACAAAATGTTTTAATTGGGCTTTGGAAATTCAAAATTAAACAGCCGCCGCAAACCGCACAGAAGGCTGTCCGCAGAATGGAAAAAGCTGGAGTTTTTGGGGGCTCATTCCATATTCAAATCGGTGGGAAGAATTAGTAGCAGGCTGCGCGTAATTACGGGGATAAATGTGCACTAATTAGTGCAGCCCAGCCAAAGCCAATCGAAATCGAAATGGAAATATAATTCGAAGCCAGATATAAGCAAATACGGATTATGGATTGTGGCTTCTGAAATATTTGAATGTTTGCATATATAATAAGTGTGGCAGGACAACAGGACAAACTTTGTTTTAACGCGAAATAATATGGCATACCCTTTAATTAGCTATGAAAAAATACTACTAAAATAATAAAAACGTTATTTTAAATATTTGTTTTAATATTTGAAGAAAATTGAGAGGTTAATTTCTAGCTTTTTTGGGAATATAATTTTTTGCCAGCAAAATTTAAAATATTTGTACAATATTTAAGAAATATATTGTATTTAAGAATTTAAAGGTTTAACCACAAATCTATATTTTGTCAATTTAAAAATAACAAATATATATAATATTTTCATTTCATTACTTTCTATCTACAATTTTGTTGTCCCATCTATTGCTAAAAATACGATTACCCCGCCTTGTTTACAGGGTATCGGTTGGCAGTATCGATTTTAGTGGCTTGTCAAGTGTCTGGGTGCCCACTTAAGTCTCCCCATTTCCCTGTTCCTCGCACCTAAGGTCCGAAGTCCTCGCATTTTTCCTGACATTTTTCCCGCTCCTTGGGCTCCTTGACAAAAGAGAGGAATGGCACTATTGCGGACAAGGGCGGGTGAAAGAGATGGCAGACCGGGCTGCCACCAAGTAGTTGAGTTTGCATCGGTGAGTTGCCATAATTGGTGCGGACTCTCAATTGTTCCAGCAATCAGTCAATCAATCAATGACTTCGAGCAGTATGCACTACAATTTTAGCCACCGAAAGAGAGGGGTATATGGCAGGGGAAAGAGACAGCGCGACAGTGTTGCACCTAATTGCGAGGTGAAAAAGGTGGGCCAACAAGTGCCATGTTGATTATTGCAAAACTTTTCCTCACACTCCAAAACTTTTGCACCAAGGCCAACATATGGTAAAGGGAAAATTGTTCAGGACGAAAATAAAGGGCAGGGCTAACATTAAAGTCGTGTTGAAGTGTCAGAATTTCTTTTCATTATTTTATGCAGCCAACTTTTTTGCCGGCTGACTTTCATGAGCTGCACATAAAAATGATGTAGAATTATTAAGTTTTTCCGTTTGGCCTGTTGGCTGCCATAAAGAACAAGTTGAGCCAAAAACAAAAAACCCTGCCCAAGGGGCTTCCCCTTCCCCATCTCATTCACTCCGCCCATCTGGCAGCATAATAAATAGTAAATGGCGCTATTTTATAGGGAATTTATGCGCAAAGAAAAGGCAAAGAAATCAAATAAAGATGAGAGCTACGTTCTATTGTGTGGAAAATTGAAAAAGATATTAAATGTTGCCCAGATATGAATTATGATTTAAGAAGAGGAAATATTAGAGAACAAAAATAATTGTAGTAGAAAGAAATGGGAAATATTTAATAGCTGACTATATTAATTAGAAATTATAAGATAGATTTAATTCGTATTTATAAATCTTAACGAAAAGTGAAAACCAAAACATTGGGGGGCTACAAACCTTTAAAGTTGAGCATATTTCCCAGTCGCTTCCGGTCACCTTTTTCCAGCCATTAAGTCCGACCCATCGTGACATATCCTTTGTCTTTCCCAAAGTCCATGAATTATGCAGGCTGACATTGACCCTGGAACCTGGCACAATTCCTGGCGATTCCCCTGAACTTCTCAACTCATGGGACAAACTTTAAAGTGTCAAACTGTTAGCATGCAACCAAGTGGGGGCATTACGGGGAAGGGGACGCCGAGGAGCACTGGTTAAATCAAACTATTCAGGGACGGACAAGGCAAATGCATAATTAAAGTGCCACTAGGCTAACACAGAAAGAACAACAAGGCGGTATTAGCTGCCTGTTTGCACAACAACTTTTAATAGTTTAAACTACGGTATAAGTTCATTATTTTCTAAGTAACCTTTTGCAGGCAAGTTAATTTAATCAGGCCAGTTTTATAAGCCACTTGGGAAAACCCTTTAAGGAATTCTTTAAAATATAATTCATTTGGTAAAATATGTACTACAGTAATTCAATAACACTACAATCTGTGTTTTATATTTTATTTTATGCAGTTAATACCCAAAAATTTATAAAAGAAAGCAACTAATTGAGCGTAACAACCTTTGGGGAGTTCTTTAAAATTCAATTCATGTGGTAAAATATTAGAGATTTAAGAATAATTCTTTTGGCTTACACAAAATCTGTATCTGTATTTTATAAGAATTATACTTTAAATCAAAAAAGTATGTTTTAATACCAAGAAATTTAAAAAAGAAAGCCACTAATTAACCGTAAAAACCTTTAAGGAATTCTTTAAAATACAATTCATCTGGTAAAATATGAGAGATTTAAAAATAATTCTTTTGGCTGTTTTAAAATCTGTATATGTATTTTATAAAAATTATATTTTAAATCAAAAAAGTAAGTTTAAATACCAAGAAATTTAAAAAAGAAAGCAACTAAACAATCGTAGCTTATTCCATTTTGAAATGCTAGAGAGCAATAGTTTCTCAAACGAGAATTAGCAGAGATTTTGGCGATATTATTGCTTGGCGTGTCCTAGGAAAAGGACGAGGACAAGGATGAGGCTAAGGACGAAGTGCGGAGGAAGCCAAAGGACTTTGCTGCCGTTTGACAGCCGCAAGTGTTTGGCTGACTCCAACGCGACACTTGAGCCTCGAGTGGCGGACAAAGCGAAGTAGTCCGGGAAAACAAAAGGCGCGAGGCTGAACAGGAGCGAACTCAAGTGGTTGGTCCTTTGGCAGGACCTACAATGGTGGCCGAACCGCTGGCCCAGATTTCGGATCTTAAAGCCCCGCTTTAAGCCGCTGAGAATCGTGAGTCCGCTCTAATTACAATCTGGCCACAATTGAGGATTGCTCGCGTTGCGTGTTGCTAGGCCATTGAATCCATTCAATCCATGGAATTGAAATCCTGTCGAAGATTTGCCTAATCGTCGGCCCCGCAACCCCTCCCCACCCCCCTCCCCGCCTGTCGCGTGCTATGCGGTGTGAAATCTGGCCGAAGATTACCGCGGATCTGCGCAGATATGGCATGTATATATCGCAAAACGTTGCCCTTTGGTGTACGGCATGTAGGGATCAAGTGGCCGGATTAGAGATTCCATGGAGGGGGAGGTGGAGAGTGGGCGGTGGGCGTGGTTAAATCCTTGTAAATCCATCAGTGGGATTAGGCCATCCTGCGGTTTTAATGCCAGCCAGCCAGCCAGCCAGCCAGCTAACCAACATCTGTGACCAACTAAGCCACATTTAAGCCATTTAGAGACGCTGATGAATTTATGGACCGTCCAATTCGGTGAGACTGTCACATTCAGAGCGCCTCTTTTTAGGTCCAGGATTCCCTTTTATAACAGGGTATTTTAGTTTTGAAACATTAAACAGTTTACTTCTATTCACTAATCTCGTCGCTTATTTTGTTAACATACTTTAATAGACTTACCAAAAATAAATGTTAGATTTAAGGACTAATAATAGTATGAAGTAAGAAATATATTTAAACTCTTCATTAAGATTTTTCGAATAATATATTATCTAGAAAACATTATTAATTTGCAAAAGTAAAATATACGTTTTCCTTTCAGGCAAATAGTTAGAAATTCTTCCTTGCCTTCATTTGATTTTTTCATTTATATATATTTGTTTTAATATTAAACAATTTTACTGATATCTACGTGGCAAAAGTGAGAAAGGAACGTATACTACATAATTCTTTATAATTCCTTATAAAACATTAATTCTCTATAACTAAGCATTTTATATGAATATTAGAAAAGAGTTTTATTTTTTTTTTTTTAAATAATATTTTATTCACTGGAATCTGTTCAGTGCCTTCTGAACTTAACCTAGCGTAATTAACGAGAAAGAAATTTTATGCATACATAGAAAAGAGTTTTAAGGACCTTATCTGCGGCGTGCCCAGAAGTATGCAACAATATTTTCTTTTCAGGTAAATGGCTCAAAATATTTCATTGCCTACATTTGAGCAAAATATATTTTCTGGTGAGTTGTCATAGAAATTTGGGCAACTTTAAAAGAATAATGTCCATTGATAGCGCAAAATATAGAATCTTCACAACATAATAAATTCTATGAAACATAAATATAAATATATTGCAAAGGGCAAGTAAAAGTTCGACCTACGTAATAATGTAATTTTTTTTATTGATTTTCCCCATGTGTGTGTGTTTTGCAGAGAGGAAAATCAAGGGGGGATTGGGAACCGGAGCAGGGAACTCGATGCGTGCCAGCATCAAAACTACAGTGTGGAATACAGGGGATTGGGGGCACGGACATGTCCATCGTTCACTGATGGATGCTTCCCTAGATTGGAACTGGCAGCATGTTTGCCACCATCGAAATTGAAAACCAAGAAAATAAACAAAAAACATTTTTCGTTTCCCTTTTCTTTTTGTGCTTAAACAAACTCAATTATGAAAAGTAAGCGAAATTTGTTTGACATTTAAGAGGCGACCAGGACGGTACCTATTAAAAGTTGATAAAAATATTGCTAGCTGAAGAAAATGCAGAATAGAAAAAAATTGGTTATAAAAACTATATCAGCTCGATTTAAAATCGGGTTTTAAATGAAAACCCTGGGAAATAGTGGTCGAATGTTTGAATGTTATACCTCGTTGAACTCATTTGTAAATTTCCAGAAAAGGTAGAATTTACAGAAAAAAAAATTTCATAAAAAAATTTTGCCGAAAAAAATTATGGGAGTACTTCCTATAAAAAATATTTTGGCCAAAAGCCCAACAAATAAGCTAGATTTTTCGGTTTTAAAATGAAAAGTGGTTGAATGTTAGAATAAATATTCCCGTAAAAAAATAATGGGGGTACCCAACAAAGCATTTAAACATTTTTAAGTCACAGGGTATCAAATGTTATGGATCTATAGAAAAGCTGAGCGGGGGAGGGGCGGGTCAGATGATATCGAGTGGGAAATTGGGGGGACAACGCATAAATTGTAAACAAAAGACTGTCAAAACACTCCCCTCTTCCACTTTCATGTGGGGAGTGTGTCAAAATCACATTAGATGCTGTTAACTTTTGTCAGTGACTGTGTTTGGTTGGCTCACATTCTTTTTGGTCAATTTGTTTGTTTGCCCGCAAATTGATTGATTGCTATTGATGCCTGATTTGTCCTTAACCCTCACGCACAATGTCCTCGTCCTTTTCGTCCTTTTCGACTCCCTACATTTTTTCTCTCTTCCGCGTTTCGCTCTGCTGAGATTTGTGGTCATCCCAAATGGCTTTCTGTGGCCCACTAAATTGCAAAAGACAAAGTTAACTGGATGATGGTGTTCAGAGTGTGTGGGTGATTGAGTATATAAGTGATATTAACTTTGGCTTACACTTGGCATGTGTAAACTTTGTAATCTACTCGGGGGGCAAGGGTGATTGAATAAGATTGATTTTTTTGGCCAGCTTAGATGTGGGAAAACCGATTACATTTGGTCAGTACTAAAAGGGTTAGAATTGACTGAGAATAAGAAGTATAGGTTTTTTGGGATTATTGCTAATTGTTTAATGTTACTCTTTCACTTAAAAACCCATAAGATGATGAATGGGTTAATGGCTTAATTTTATTTAATTATTTACAAATTTCGATAGTTTTGTTGGCCTACTTTGCACATGCTAATATTTAAGAAATACATGTTTATTATTTTCTCAGGGGAGAGAGTAATTTTAAAGCCAGACTTTTGATTATTTAAAAATATTTTTCTCTTTCAAAATAGATAAAAGACCTGACCACTTGAACACCTTCACCGCGAGAAAGTTGAACTTTGATTTGCGCTACTTTATCTTAATTTCGAAGGGCAAACTTTGGGCCAACTCGCTTTGTCAGCTCGGGGAGCAACCTTTATTGGCATTTCCATTTCGCCCATCCCTGTGCACATATATTTCTCCTGTGGCCCCAGGGAATTCGATGACACCTCCACGCTTGACACACAGGGAAATATTTGCAGGACAAAACGCCTTTGTCCTTTGGAATGTGCAGCGCCAAAGAAGAAAAAAAAAAAGAGGTTGATTTGCATACGGGGAATACACATCGGACAAAGAGAGGAAATAGAAAGGTTTAGGGGAATATTCCCAGATGCATTTTTTATGCCCCTCAAAAGGGTTAAATAAAAAGCGATTTTTATGCCATTTGCCATTTTTTTCCATTCACTTATTTTTTATTTTGCCCCGTTTTATGATATGCCGACATGTTGGTCAGATCGTAAAAGCCTTTTCAAAATGGTGTCAGGTAAGAATTGAATTGAATTGCGTGAGCCGTGGAAAATCCAAAAGGGGAAAACTCTGATGGCTCTTTTTAATTAAAAAATTTAAATTCAATTTGTCATTGGCCTTTGACACTGAAAACTGCGAATCAATAAAATATTTAAAAGTACATAAGTTGCCGGGGGAGAAACACTAATTAATTGCCAGCCACAAAATGTGCAATTAAACGAACTGTGGCGGCAGTTATTCAAATATGCCCATATATTTACTGTCAATGATTACAATATATTATATATGCTGCAATGATAATTTGTTTTCCTTCTTATTTGGCATTTAACAAATGACTGCAATTAAGTGGACTTTTCTGTACGACCAGAGGAGTCGAATAGATGCGACCTTTGTGCCCCTGCAATCCAACTGAAAGGTGAGTCCTGCCAAGGGCACTTGGAACTCCAAAAGCCGCAAATAGCTGTCCACCTGACCCCCATAGATTTCCATTTTAGCTGCAGCTGACAATGAATAGCCATCTGCATCCTTTCAGTACGCAGGGAAATGGTTTTCACAGGCTTTTTTAACTGAGTGATGCTCTGCTAAAGAATTTGTATTTACAATATTTAATGCTTAGAAAAAAATAAACATTTAAGTTCAATATTTAGTATATTTCATTAGATGCAGAAATAACTTCATTTCGAAAGACCATTTGTTTAAACATACAAGAATGTATATAACAAATTACTTTTCCTTCACGAATGTAGAGTACACACCACCTCGTTTATCTCGCTCAAAAAATCCTTTTATTTTACTACTGTCGGGAATTTTCAAATGAATTTTCCGTTTTTGGTTGGCGTCGCTTTTTGTTCGTCTGAAGAATGGAAAATCGGAAAAATGGTCTCTGTTGCCCACAGGCCACCCTCCCCCCTCCCCGCCGGTGACCTTCGGCCTTTGGTCTCGAATTTTCCAGCGAACAAGAGACGGTATTTTGCGTTTCGATTGTAATACAATTAGAGGATGCATCGAAAGCTGAAAATAAGTGGAAGCTGTGTGAGTTGAAAATTGATGGGCAATGCGAATTTCCATAACAAACATAATTATCGTACATTTCGAGTACTCAGCGTTAAAGATCAGCATTTTCCAGGAAGGAAAAATGCACAGCAAGAAAATACAAGACAGGATTTTACCATAACAAATATATTTAACTAAAAAGTAAAGAACAATAAAACAGTAATACAATTTTAGCATAATTGGGATCTGTAGAAAAATATTTCGCATATATTAAATTACACCCATTCATTTAAAGTTGAGAAGGAAAATACAGAAAAATAAAAACCCATTTTACAATTGAAGACTTCCAATAACTATTCGTTCTTTCTCTCAGTGTATTTGTGCAATTTAATTGGTTTTCATTATTTTCTCTGGCTTGTTTTTCTGCACTGCCCACTGTACTTACATATGTCTACTTATAACGAAGTCAAAGCGTCTTATGTCCTCACCCACGCAATTACTTATACACTCGCAGTCACGCACATACACGCACACACACACTCCAACACCCACACAGAGACAAAGACAGAGATAGAGACAAAGACAGAGACGGAGGGAGAATTGATGAAGGCACTACTGGCATGCAAAGGCTGATTGACACACAAAGCGAGCATTCTGCCAGGATGCTTAACCATGGACCTCGAACCTCCCACCTCGACCCTTCACCTATTCGCCGCCCCATTCCCAACTGCACTGAGAGAAATCATGCTTAAGTTATACACGTCCCCAACTCAAGCGAACTTAAGAGGCAATTGTCTTTAAATATGTACTTATTTATAAGTTTTATGATCTCCTTAAAAATGTATTTAATTAAATAATATCAAAAACTTTCTAAAAGTTAAAAAAAGATCATCTTTAATTGACTTTAATTCACTAAAAGAACGAAAAAGTATTACGACCCTTCGAGAAGTCTGATATAGCCTTATTATTTCAAGTTCTTAAAGAAATTCTCTTGGAGAAACTTATAAATAAATATAAATAAAATACAAAAAAGGTCTTTTCTCCATTGAAATGATATGGTGCTGGCATATTTCCCTCAGTGCATTGTGCTTCGTTTCTGGCTTTGCTGCAATTCATTAAGATTTTCCCCCTGCGATGACAGCCAAGTCTTGAGTGGCTGCCTCGTCCCCGTTTTCCCCACTAGAACTGCACATCCTTATGGCGGGCAATTATGTCTCGAGGATGTTGGATATCATCCTGGCCAGAAAGCAGCAGGCTACAGCAAATGACAGGCCATTAAATGACCGCTGCCTGCTGGCCAGCGTAGTCCTTGTTGCGACCCTCAACGTCGAACCAACCCGAAACCCCCTTGCACGTGCATGGATTGCAGGGGCAATAAAAAGGAATCGCGACTCTTGCAAAACCCCGCAATCGTGGCCAAATGTTGCCTCATAAAACTATGCAAAACAAGGGGATTATGGTCAGGGTTAGGGGTTAGGATTTTATGAGGGTAACGCGCGGGTAGCGAATAAGACCCAATCCCTATTAGGGATCCCAGGTACCTGACCCCGATTTTCGGGTATATATTCCCACCGCCCCGTGGCAATCAGCATCAGTTGTCCAACAGCAGCTAAAGCGTTAACACCGTTTTCTAAGAAACAAAAGTACAGACAAGCATTTCGAAGAGCTACCTAAACTAACTCAGTGTGCCCAACTCACCAAACGAGTCTCACAAAGAGTGACCATCACATCGAAATTCCTTTAAATACTGAAGATCGTAAGCAACTTATTGAAAGATGGGCAGCACTCATTCGAATGAGAATATGAAGAGCGGCGAGGATTCCACAGGCCCAGTAAATCCTGGCATTTTCTGCACACCTCTTCCCAGCTTTGTGACCAAAATCCAGCGAATACTGATCCGCAAACTGAGCATCTCGGCCAGGAAGCAGAAGCGCTTGAGCAAGCGGTCCAGGCAAATCCTGCGACCCATGCCCCGCTGCTCGTCCTTCGGATCCTGCGGCACTCTGCTGACGCCCAACAAGAAGGCCACAACCACGATTGCCGATCGCCGCTATGCCCAGTGGAAGTGCAGCTTTGAGCATTTGGCCCAGAAGCAGCAGCGACTCCACGATATTAGCGAGGCCATCGCCGGACAGACCACGCCCCGCGGATTCCCCTCCCACACGGATCCCCGGCGATGCCTGATCGCCGAGGAATCACCGCTGCCGGAGTCACCACTCTACGATATGGTGGGTGGCCAGAAGATCCGCCGCCGCCTCTCCCTGCGCAGCCACGCCCCCCAGCGACGCCCCTCCGCCCGACAGAAGGCCGCCCAGGCCAAGGTCGACGCCCAGCTCCAGCGGGATCTGTGCGACCTGGAGGAGTACTACGGCGGATTCCACTACGCCCAGCGCAGCGAGCGACTGGTGAAGATTTAGAACGGAATTCCAGTGTATTCCCAAAGTAACATATTATTTTATAGCAAATATTGTGATAGCTCGTAAGCCTAAATACTTGAATAAAATTCGAATTGAAAATCAAATCATAAAATCTTTGAAAACGGGAATCGAAACGGGAAATAATGTAAAATTATAGCTTACATTTTTTGGTTCATCATTTTTTATATTTTGATATTTGGGAATATTAAACTGATAGTCACTTAAACTTCTTACGGACTTTATAAAATGTACAATGATTTTGAGTATTTTTAAAGTACTTTTAAATTCTCATAAAACAATAAAAGATGATAATATTTTAAAAGCAAATCAATTAATTTTTTATATTCGTAGAAAAAAAAACCTTTTAAGAACGTTTTTCCATTAAACAAGAGCTTAAAATAACCATTGATTAAGTGCAATTGTCATGAATTAAGTATGTATCATCGAAAGGTCAATAAGATAAATCTCAAATGGGGATTTTTTCATGGCAGACGTGATTTGATTGCCACGACAAATATTTTCCCACATTTCCATCGACTTTTCCCCTTGCCAATTAGCGGTGGCATTATTTTCAACGCCAAGAGTTCATCCAACTATTTTTAGAGAATTAAATTATTGAACGAAATCTCATAATGAGAGGCTGGCACTCTCGGTCCGAATCAAAATCGGGGGCATGGTCAGGAGGGGCGTGGCACAAACAGGCGAGGCAATTAATCAGTTGCCAACTAACACATAACAAAAGCCCACCCAAAGAAACAAAGTGCAGCAAAATCAGACAAAAGGCAGACATAAATGAAAAATTTGCAAATACTTGGTGAGAAAGGGGCGGAAAATTGTGATGGGGTGAAGGGGGGTGCCGGGAAAATACTGGTGCCAAGGGAAGCTCTTTGAGGCCTTGCCCGATTTTCTTGCTTATTTGCTTTTTGGTTCCCACAGAGAAGAACAAAAAAATATATGTAGTCAGTTCTTAAAATCCATCTTAAGTATTTTATTTCAAAAATCACTCTTTTAAGCAAACCTACAAAAGTTTTAGGATTAAATATTCATCTTATAAAATAAGATTTAACATCGATAGCAAGGAAAGTATAAAATAATATTGTAAGTTATATTTTATACTTCAGAAATTTTCTTGTTCCGTGTAGGCTCATTTTTTTTTGGTATACTTTTGCCACCAGTCACAAATAATTATTTTTTGTATTTTTTGGCAGCTCGCTTTCATCTTCAGCCAGCCAATTTGCAACGCTGCAGATTGGCGGCGGATGAATAATGATTTCGCTTTCGATTCGGATTTCCGAGTAATGCACTTTCCACAATGACACTCAAACATTGTCGGCTGCGGCGGGAAATTAATGTCGGGTTGAGATGTGTATGGGGATGAAGATGAAGATGACCCCATAATAATGCCCCCTAAAAAATGCAAATGCCCCAATGAAATATTTGTGGCGCTGTCGTCGCCAAGTTGAACGAACCGACAAACAGAAAAAGAATTCAGTATGGCTGCCATGAAGAAATTGAAACGAAATTGAAATGGATGGGTATGAAATGGGGTGACGACGAGGGCCTGACCGACATAAAACAAAATTCCGAACAGTCCATACATTAATGCTTCAATTTGGGCAACGCTCTCTGACTTTTTGGCCAAAAGTCGCCGACGAGTTGACATTAAACAAGAAAGGAAAGCTAACATCGGGCGGAGCAGAAGAAATTTGATCATCGTTAAAATGAAAATTTTGAAGGCAGTTTTTTAGAGAATCAAACCACAACTCTTAAGAGATATGCCACTTTGAAATCGGATTAAATTTGGTAAAGTTATGAACTCTGGAATTCCAATTGTAGGTCACCTTTTAACAAGTCATGGGAAACATGGAAAAAAATGACATGAAAATGGGTCAAAAATTTGATCATCTTTAAAATAAAAATTTTGAATGCAGTTTTTTAGAGAATCAAACCACAAGTCTTAGGAGGTATGCCACTTTGAAATCGGATTAAATTTGGTAAAGTTATGGACTCTGGAAGTCCAATTGTGGGTCACCTTTTTACAGAGTATTTTGCAAGGGTATATCAACTTCGGCTCCGCCCGAAGTTAGCTTTCCTTTCTTGTTAAATGTTTAATATTGCTTATTAACATTAACATATTTTTATTGGTTCTGGAAAACATTGAATATTTAAAAGTATCATAAAGTATTTTTATGTACTCAAATAAGAAGAAATTAAATTAGGTATTTCACTGATAATACAAGATATATATTTTAGGATATTTAAGTGAATTAATAAAACTTTGGATTGTGCAATTACCTAAATAAGGTGTATTGTATTTAAATAGCAACATGGTCTGTTGGCCTGTTCCATTTCCAAAGGCTTGCCCCAGTGAACTTTGACCCCCATTGGGACACAGATACCCCTTAATGTCTGGTCGCAATTATCCGTTATTGGTCGGATGGCAATAATTTGACCATTAGCTTATGGACTACTATATTCATATGTACATTCAAATCGATACAAGAAACCAAGTAACCAAACCAATGTCAATATCAAAGCAAAGCCGAAACCGAAAATCAAAACCAGAACCAGAACCCAGCGTCACGTGCGGGCAAAACCAAATCAACAAATGAAAACTAATAGGCAATTATAGGAAAATGTTAGACAAAAGGGTGGGGGAGAAGGGGGACGCGGTGGCGGTGGGGGTGGGGCAAGTCATGTCCATACTCAAGGTCGCGGTCACAGAACGCGTGCAATATTTGGTGAAACAATGTGTCAAAGGGAATCGGAATTTCCCTTGGTTCAGCTGGTTCTCTTCGTTTAAAACTAATTTACATTAAAACAGGCAGTTTATATACTTTTGCAGCTGTTAAAAAAATTAGGTATTCAATGAAGTTAAATAAACTATGAAGTTAGGATATGACTGATCAACAATATGTATACTTTATAGGGTTGTGAATGGTTCATTCACTGCATTGCAAACTTTTGACTGAAATTAAAATACTCTTCCAAGGATTTAAAAAAGCAAATTTTTTATTTGTAATTAGAAAATACTTTTTCTGTTTTCTTTTAAATTCCTCATTTTCTATGCCACTCACACTTTTAGTATTGATTACATTGCCAAGTCAATTCTTTATGTGCCACCAATTTCCATTTGCCTCTTTTCATTTTCAACCACATGGAAATTTTCACGCCACTTGAGGCTCCCATCGTGTATTTTTTTTTCTAGGAAATTTGATTTTACGCTATTTATTTAAATTTATTTATACTTTATCTGCAATTTGGTCGTTGGCAACATGGGCGAACGACGAGCAATCTCCGCGTCATCCTCGACTCATCCTGTCGAATGGTTTTACTTCCTTTTCAGGGGGCCTCTGCATACATTACCTACCACCTCACCAGCCCACCACCCCACCAGCCCATCAGCCCGTTCCCCTTTGACCTCAGTACCGTTTTCTTTTCACCGCCTGCCTTTTTCCTCTCATTTCACATCCCGTTGACGTTGACGCTGATTGTGTGCAAATGATAGCAATATGGCAACAATCTTTATATCACACCATCCACCCACCACCCACCACCACCATTTTCTGTCCAGAGTTGTCGCTGCGCTTGTTTGTTATTGTTATCATTATCATGCTTCGCTGATGACGATGACAATCATTACGATGCTGATGATGATGGTTTTTTTCCCTTTTATATGGGGTATACTATAAGAATAAACATGACTTGGTTAGTTGCCTAATTGAAAGGAAGATGTTGAAGTGAGATTAAGATTGAGACCTTGCGAAATGGAAATTCCAGGAAAAGTGTCAATGAAAGAAGAAAGAAACCCTATTAAACATAACAATTGGGCTTAACTACTGTGAATATTAATCTCTCTAATCTATATTTCTTATTTTTAGAATCGTATTTTCTAGGAATTATCAGATATGTATGTATGGTTCAAAAGCTTTTAAATAAAATAAATGTCTTTAAACAAAATAATGAGTATATAATATATAATTACGAGGCTGTGAGTTTCATTAAAGCACACGTGAAATAAAGTTAATTAGGCATGCAAGTGTACTTTGAGTACCCTATATTAACATAATTTTGCATCTCAAAGTTAATGTATAACTAAGTTTGTTCGTAAGTGTTATATATAAATTCAGGGATTAAACAAAAATGTTTTAAAATGCCTTAAGTCTACAAATTTGCCTAAGTCCTTCTGTCTTTCTGCCATTTAAGGATAGTACGGTGCATATACAGAGTAAAGCAGTTAATTTGCATATGCGTGACTGTCTGTGTGTGTGCGTGTGCAGGACACATGAACAGGACGACAAGTTCATCGTGTTATAAATTATTACCAGCTCGGAGACAAAACGAATTTCATTTGATGTTGCTGCGCTCAGGCGGATATGTTGGCAATAATAGTAATAATGCCGCTGCCGAGAAATGGTAATAATAATGTTGATGCTGCTGGCTATGATCATCATCATCAGTGTCCTGTTCCTGGTTTTCTGCAAACTTCTTCATGTGCTTTTTCGGGGGCATTTAATTAAATTTTAATGACACCGTACACTACTAAATCATGGCCGCAAATCCCCCCAAGAATACGCGAAAATTTTTGGGATAATAAAAAAGTGAGTGCTGTGTGCAGGATCAACATGGACTAAGCCCCAAAGCGATGTCCTTGCCGCTGTCCTTGGCAAATCCCACTTAAGGCACACGCGGCGTATACGCAATTAGTTGAGTTTAATTTATGTCGCCTGCTTGTGCCCCATCGCCCAACCGAAATGACAAAAGGATAAAAAGCATTTTGCCGAAAGAACAAAAATATAAATTAGGCTGGGAAACAGGACTCGGGACTCAGGACTTGGAGCACAGCATCAAGGGCTTTTGACGCGGCTTTCGGTCTAAGCCAGAGTGCGTAAGTGGCAATTAAAAAGCCAGAAAATAACACACAGCCACTGCCGAACGGGAAAATTACGCAAAAAACCGGGGAAAGAAAAGTCAATGAAAAAAAATGAAGTTCTAAGAGC